TCTTCTTCTTCTTCTTCTTCTTCTTCTTCTTCTTCTTCTTCTTCTTCTTCTTCTTCTTCTTCTTCTTCTTCTTCTTCTTCTTCTTCTTCTTCTTCTCCTCCTCCTCCTTTCCACCTTCTCTCCTTCGTGCCTCTTCTGTTCTCCCTCCCAGACACACAGAGCGAAATGGATTGCGAATAAACAGGATCTATCACTATTATCGCTTTTCTTCTCTGGAATGGCTGACTGCATATCGATGGGACCGCGGAGACGAGATGAGAGACTCTCATGTGCTTCTGTGAGCATCCAGATGCTCCTTCCCAATTGCTTCCTTTTCCTTCCGAGGCGATGGCAAGGCAAGGAAAGCAGGGCGACACTCCAAAGAGGACCTGAAGTTGTACTATGATGATTTACACGCACCAAACTCGAGCTGCAAAAAAGTATACACACTCATTCGAGACACGCACACACTCACACACGGGTCACAAGAGTCTGGACAAGGAATGGAGATACAAGAGTTAAACATTGACCGAGTCGACCCTATACCCTAGAGATTCCACCCCGGAAGAAAAACACTACCAAAGGTATATCACAGTAACCAGCTATATATCGGCCTGGCCTTGCTGTCGTTCGAAGCAAAAGAGAAACATGAATGGGGTTATTCACAGAGAGGATAAAGAGAAGCTCTAGTAACCCTTGTTACGGAAGGTGACCTCAATCTTCTCGCTCTGGGCACCCATGCTGCAGCCGCCGCCGACGCCCTGCATGACGACGTCGTAGCCCTGGCCACCGCCGTTGCTGGCGCCGCAGTTCCTGAGCTCGTAGCCGGTGGTGCACGACTGGACGCTCTTGTCCTTGCACTCGAAGACGCACGTGTTCATGTCGGAGACGCACTTGGAGCCGTGGGCCTCGATGATGTCGCCGTTCATGTTGACGTTCTTGGAGACGTCAAAGGTGCCGACGAAGGAGCCGTCGGTGGGGCCGAAGTTGGCCTCGAACCAGGGGTTGTTGACGCCGCCAAAGTTGGCGAGCTGGGTGTCGGAGTAGATGGGAGCGCAGGCCGAGGCGACCTTGGGGGCGAAGGAGACGGTCTGGTTGCCGCCGACGGGGATCTTGATGAGGATCTCGGGCTGGTTGACGTTGATGGTCATGCCGGTGAAGGAGTTCTCCTTCCAGCAGGTGACCCAGACGTCCTCCTTGCCGGCGTTGTGGAAGTTGGCGGACCACTCGGAGTGGCCGAGCCAGATGCCGCCGTTGGGGCTCTTGTCGTTCTTGCCCGGGTTGGAGATGCCCTTTTGCTTGCAGAAGTCCTCGATGCCGTCGGTCAGGCCCTCGAGGAAGTCGCCGATGGCCTGGATGGGGCTCTTGTTCTCCTCGGGCTTGTCCTGCACCTTGGGCTTGTCCTGGCTCGGGGCAGGAGTGGGCTCGGGGGAGTTGGAGGGCTCGGGGCCGGGAGCGGCCTGCTTCTTGTTGAAGACGGCATCCCAGTCAATCTTGGACCAGTCGACGCTCGAGTAGTCGACCTTGGACCAGTCGACGTCCTGGAGGTCGCGCTTGGCTTCGCTGCGACGTGTCAGTAAGAAGCATTTGCTGTCGGAGCTGGAGGGCACTCACGCGGCCTTGCGGGCGTGAAATTCGGCGTGACGGATGGTATGGGCGGCAGCCTGGCCGGCAGCGAGGGTGCCCAGCACCAGAGCAGAAGTGTAACGCATGTTGATGAAGAGGGTGGTTAAGAGGCGGGTTTCGCTGGTGGAAAAGGCAGAGTCGTTATGTCGTCAGGGGGTGTGATCCGAGTCTGGGAATGAGTGGTTGCTCAAAAAGAGTGACTGCGACAATAGCGAGTTCGCGCGTAAAGGAGTGAACGCGTGAATTGGCTATTGAAAGCGAGGGCAAAGAGTGGTGGTGGTGGTGGTGGTGGTTGGAGCGAAGGACGGCAGAGCTGGCTGACTGTGAAGAGGGAAAGGAGGAAGAAGAAGAGGGAAGCGAGCGATCAAAAAGGGCCTCGTCAGCCCGTCTGGCCGGCGTCAGGGGTCCCGCCCCTGGCCCGTTGGCGCCGCCGGTCGACCTCCACTCTCTAGGCCCAAATGGGGAAGGCGCCGTGGAGCCCAAAAACAGCTCCTCTTTAATTTCATCCTCGCGGTGGCGAATCAGGATGCGTGCCTGACCGGATCGGCAAAGGCAGTGAATTGTGATCCACTGTCATTGGTGTGCCTGGCCAGGAACCGGACTTGGCGCTGTTGTTGGCCGCACGTTTCACTTTCACACCCTTTTTGCGCACAACCCGGTGACAAACCGGCCAACAAAACTTGCCGATTCATGGCGAACAACATTGATTCACAGCCTGCCCAGCGAGCGCACAACAGTGACTGTGAGCTGTTCACTCATTATTTGATGGTGGTCGGCAGCGACATGGCAGCGAGAGCACGGCTCGGCGAAAAAATGTCGACTCAGCGACTACAGTCGCCTCAGAGATCATACCATTCCAGTAATCACCCGCAATAGTCCAGGCCCCAGGATGTGGAGAGCGCAATAATCACAATGTTTGATGAACTGCCATCTGCCATTCCCCATCTCAGTGGGACCATGAGTCGCCGCCTTTGGTCTCTTTCCGGGCCTTGTCTGGTGGAGCTTCCCCTCAATATTCCCACAACGTCTCTCCGCTCTGTGGAGCGTCACGCTCACATCAGACAAGTCGCAAGAGTTTTTCCTTGACAACGCACATCAATCTGTGAGACTCGGACACGGCATCTCGTCAGCGGCGCATGCATACTCGCAGCACTCCATGGCTGACGCGAGCGCCATTGTTTTTCGCTTCCACGTCAGCGATGTGTGTCACCGCCATGTCCACTCATTATTGTGCGCTTCTGTGAGCACTGCAGAGGTATCGATCAGGTTATCGCAACGGAGCCCGCAGCTAGACTACTGACGTGCGACGTGGATCCTGTTATCCCGGTCAGGTACTTTCCTACACCACAGAGAACGACCGAGTCACTAGACAAGGTACAAATGGGATCTTGCCACAGGCTAGAAAACTGACCGACGTGCGACTTGGATGGGTGGGGCTGGTTGTCGAGGATGGAGAGAGATTCAAATTTGCATTCTTGCCACTGGTTCGACAGGTGTCGAATCACAGTCTTCTTTTTGTCAAGTTTTTCTTTTATTATTTTTTTTTCTTTTTTCTTCTCTCTTTTCCTAGAACTCCGTCACGTCTATGCATCTCTTCTCTTTCTTACTAATTTTCACCCATCGCCGTCCAGTCTCCACTGCGCAGTCGCAATTCTTTCTTGCCAATCAACATCTTCCGTGCCTCCGAACTTGTTGTGAGCGGTACTGCATATTTCCTCAACAAGGATACGGTAGCAAAATGGTCACCTTCCTAAAGGATTCCCTGTATACAGTCCCCTTCCCAGCAGTCGCCTCTCAACAAACACAACCAGTCTTCGAGCTTCGCCAAGTCCCACTAGCTTACTAAGCCTAGCTATCGGAGCACTGCCTTCACACTTCCAGAGATGCTGGTTTTCTGGATGCGAGTATACAGTTAGAAACGAGCATGCCCCGCTATGCGGACACTATGAGACCAGAGCTGTCTCGCCCGCCTTGCTCCATTCGCCCACCTTAACCACCCGGACCTCCAGTCGAAAATGTCACGGTTCTCAGGTGCCAGAATTACTCCCTGTCGTGTACCGGTGACGAAAAAGGCGAAGCACTTGCCCAGAACTCAGGTTCGCAGTTGGTGCCATTAGGACCCCGCACGCCGTACCACTATGGTTGCTGGTACATGCCTCGAAGCGCACAGTTTGAGGGTGTTGAAAGCGTGCAGGGTAGAGTGCGAACTTTTACTGCCAGATAAGCGGGTAGGGAGTACATTGTACGTATCTGATATAGGTGGGTGCGGAAGTGGAGAGGAGAGGTTAGCACATTGCGGACGTTGCTTCGAAACACGAGTATGATGATAGATCACCAAAGAGTCGAGTCCTTGCACGCGGTCCGGTAATCCAGGAGATGACGACGAACAGGTTTACCCGGAGCATTCTACATTCACACTTTTACTAACTGTGTAGCGTTCTAGCAGAGGACATCACGAATAGCCCAGTCTCGATGTTTCTCTACCAGATTTCTCATTCGATTTTGCTTCCAACTTGCTCGATTGCGTTGACGCCGAATGATTTGGCTCTACTGGGGATGGGAATGCGGTACTGCGGCGTACTTCTACCAGCTCCACGATCTCACCGAGGATCCACGCACTGCTCCAATCTCAAGCGGAGGAAATGAAATAGGCCTTCCGAGACTATGTCGAATGGAAGAACCATCATAACTACCCATTTCGGTTCCATGTTTTATACGCTGTCTCAAAGTCTCATTCTCATCACCTTTCTACACCTCGCCGACAGCATGCGTATACCAGACCCCCGGGTCACTGCCACATTGCGGCGCAGTACCTTCTTCCAACTTGATAAAAACAGCATCGACGCCTTAGGAACCGCTGAACTGTTCTCCCGAAGTGAATATGGCTAGCTTCATAGTGCTCACGTTGTTTGCGGTGCTGCTGCCCCGGCTGCAGTGTATCTGGAGATGTCGAAATGGTGGAGGGATGGGGTTAGTGCGGATATTAATGTTCGGATGGTGGAGAGGTTGGCGGTGAGGTTGGTTAGGAGGGAGAGGGAGAGGGAGAGGGAGAGGGAGAGGGAGGGGGAGTAGGTGGGTGCTATGGGGCCATACCAATGGCTGAATGAATGTGTGTATATTGATGATTGTGGGCAACTGTGAGATGGCGTTGCTGTCACCGAGGTGAAGCTGGAAGGAAGTCACAGCCGTTTGGTTGTTATGTGCGTCCCTTGTGAAGATTTCATTCATTATATGCAGGTATTTTATGCCCTATCGGCCGCCGGATGTCGACCAACGTTGTACCGGGTAGACAAACACTGCTTTCACACCGATCACTCATCATCATCGTCATCATCGTCATGCCCATGCTTCTTGGGCAGAGCCTTCTCCAGGTCAATCAGCGTGATCAAGATCTTTGCCGGCGTGTCCTGGCCATACGACGCACCAGCCGTGATGCGCAGGTTCTTGTCGTTGTTGGCGGCTACACATTTGCGTCAGCGATCTCCTCATATACGAAGCGTAATCGTGTACTTACGGATCTTGACCTCCCTCGAGTAACCACCTCCAGCAGGGACATTCAACTGCTTCCAGATACCCTGACCAAGCGCCTGGTTGATCCACACGGGCTCCAAGTCACTGTCCGACACAACAATGGTGCCGTTCTTGCCTCCATAGGGAGTCCAGGTGACGACGGGTCCGCCATTGGGCTGCGCGCCCGTGTCGACGACGAGCTGGTGGATGGGCTCCTTGGTGAAGTTATCCGGGTCCCGGGAGAGCTTGTAGAAGATGGGGTACTTGTAGTCGCCGGCGGCGTTGATGACGCGGGCGTACTCGAAGGTGAGGATCCATTGGCCGTTGGGGAGCTTTGCATTCGTTAGCAATTGCAAGAGACACTTCGGAGGAGAAGTTTCGTACCTCTGCCACGGTCGTCATGCCCGGCCTGTCGGTGTAGTTGGCCAGGGCGACGTCGTCAATGACGCGGCCGAAGTTGTTGAGCGTGCCTCGGGTCGTTTGATGCGCGAGCTTCTGGCCGTGCTTGGGGTCGCGCTGGTCGGAGTAGTAGACGATGAGCTTGTCCTCGCTATGACGATGTCAGTTTACACGAATCAATTGAGAGTCGATGCCGAGGGTACATACTGCTGCAACAGGAACGGCTCCCAGACAGGCGTAGCACCATTGGTAGTATTTGCGCGTCCGCCGACGGCAACCCTGCTCTCGAACTTGAACGACTTGCCATTGTCCCGGCTGGAGTAGAGCTCAATGTTCGTGCTATTGCTGTCCCAGGCGTTGACGGACAGCAACACGGTACCCTCGTACTTCTTGCCGAACCTCTTGTCCAGCTGCAACATGTGAGGTTGCACCAGTCTGCGGCCTGGCACGTCCGACTTGCAGCTACCGTAGGGACTCCAGGTGTGGCCGTTGTCCGTGGACCTATAGATGGCCAAGGCGTCGCCGGAGCCGCTGAAGCTGTTCCATGTCGCGAGGATGCTCTGGTCCTTGAGATCGAGGGTCCGCGGGTAGCTCGGCTGGGAATTGTTTCCTGGATCGTAGATGGTGACGTTGGTGTAGCTGTCGGTTTTGCCCGGGTGAGGTGGGTGAGGCGGCGCCGCGAGTACGCTGCTGGCTCCAAGGAGCGCCCAAACCAGAGAGGTGTACATGTTGATGCTGAGGGGATCTCAGAACACTTGATGCTCTACATTTCCAGTTCTTCTCATCTGCTTTTCAATAACTGTTTGGACCTTTCGACGCATCGAAGCTTAGACACCGGTAATCGGGCCGCGGCTCTTTGGCACCCAGCTTATACATCCTGTGTATACCGTTTAGCCATTGAGTTCGACGATGAGAAGCGTTCGCTTAAGCAATGTTGTCAGTATAGCATTCAAGGCCGGCTGTTGATATCGGCAATCGTATTCAACGCTGCGACGATCAAGAACGACCAGGCAGGGCGGTACCCCGCGATTCACTCTGGATAAACGCAAATATGTGGCTTGGTGCTAGACCGAAAGGGGGAATTTTCCCAAGCTTTGTACCGTTGTTGGTCAAAGGGGTTTGGATTCGTTCGGAAGCAATGATCGACAATCCGTACATACTTGTAGAGGTTGACCCGGGATACTGATATTGGATTTGCGGCTGCTCTGCAAGACAAACCTTATTCAACAACAAGAGTGGTGCAAGATTCATGTCGTACCTGATTGTATATTGAATTCAGACGCGGGCGTATAGTCGAAGGTGCAAACACTGGAACCGGATCTGCTGTTCCTGGCTAGGTCGTCGTTCTCAACCGATGCTCAACCCCAGACCCACACCTACCTGCACTAGCCTGTCTTTCAACCCTCCCAGGAAGTCGGCTTTGCCCTCTACTTTCTCTTCCTCCTCCTCTTCACCACCTTCGCAAGCCCAACTAGAAGCTCTGAACCCGTCACCAATGCCCATGTATTTCGACTTCTTCGGATACGGACACAGTTCTCTCGTGATTCGTTCACCCTTTGCGTTCTCCGTCTCCGCTTCCAGTCGTTCCGGCGGCTCCCCCTTCTCCACCCAGTCGACTAATGCCTGCAACGGATCGTTCGGCACGGGCCCCGCACCGAGGCCGCAGTGCTCTACCCCAGGTGCTATGAATAGACGGTAGAACTCATTGACGGCCTTGGGTCCGCCCATGTTAGCTTCAACTCTCTTCCGATACTGCACAGTGTTCTGGTACGGGATGACATTATCGTTCGTCCCGTGCCATGTAAGTAGCTTTCCACCGGCTTCTTTGAACGCCTGCAGGTTGTAGTTGCCTGAATTCAGCAGCCACCCATACTCCTCGTTAGCCTGGACCCAGAGACCGAGGTAGTCTGTGTAGGAGAGCTTAGAAATGTTGAAGGAGGGGTCTTTGATGAGGAGGTGCCGGATGGTTGACGATGCAACAAAGTGAGGGTTGGAGGAGCGCAGTCCTTGAGCATCGATGGTGATGTTTGCGGCCATGTCTGAGGTTGTACCGATGGGGAATCCGTGCCAAAGTCTCGAACCGAATGGCGAGGTCGGTCCTTGCCAATACTTCTGCACGACATCTGCCATGGCAGGAGTGATCTCCACCACTTCTCCGTTACACTCGATCTTGTCCCCTACGAGCTTCCCCGGTTCGAAAGTGCAGAGTTCAGGATCCTCGAGAATACCGTCCCGTACGCCATCCAGAATATCGCATTCCTCGATCGCGCGGCTCATGAAGTAGGAATATTCGCATTGGCTCAACCAAGTCCCCGCTTCCTTCATCGCGACCTGCGGCCAGAAGAGCCCCATTTGCATATTGACGAAATCCATGGCGGGAGCAGCCGCATGGATGCCATCCAGCAACCCCGGGTACTTTTGCGCAATCTCATACCCCTGGCGGCCACCCTGACTGCATCCGTTCCAGTACGAGTGGTGCGGAGCTCTCCCGTAGAACTGCTCCGTGATGCTCTTGCCGACATAGACCTGGTCCGCCAGACTCCGGCTGGCGAAGTTCTGCAAGAGGTTCCAATCGATGCTGCGGTCCGGTTTCAGTGCCCAGCTTGCATCTAGTCCTTCATGGCCCCCGTCCGTCGCGGATGCGGCGTAGCCGGTTTTTGCTGCGGGTCCGAGGAATGGATCGAAGAAGCCTGTCGCCCATGCACCTCCTCCTGTAGCTTGGTAGCGCCCGTTCCAGCTCTCCTGATCAAGTGGCAGCCACGTTTGCACGAGTACCTTGTCTTCCGTACCGGGATGGGTGAGGTAGACTTTAACGTCACATATGTCAAAGCCAGACACTCCGGGGAACATGAAGAACGGAGCGGTGGCTACATCCCGCCTTTCTTCCGCTTCGATTGACAGGACTTCGGCGCCAGGGACGGTAGGAGGCTGGAACGTAGCAGCTGCGCATCTGGAGGGAGGTACATCATCAACTGCGGCCGCGGCACGTAACCGCAGTAAAAGGAAAAGAAGGAGCAAGAATGCCATGTCAATGAAAAATGCTGGAAAAGAAAAATAGCGACTGCAACCGCCGTGAAAATCCAGGTGATGGACGTTGGATCTGGTGGTTTTCGAAGGATGGATTCAAATAAGCGCTAAGGGCTTGGCAGTGAATATGCGAGCTCGAAGGTTCTACGGTCACTTGGGATCTATTTGGAAGGTGGTAGTCTACGTGAGTAGATGAGACATCGTCTGGAAGTTGTCAGAAAGCTTGAGACTCTATTTTTCTATCTAGGGCTTTGTCTGTCGCTTACGTCATAACATAAGTGGACAGACTCTTCGTCATGAACGACGTAAACAGCCTTGGCGGAGGGTATTCATCATGTGAACTTTCGACGTTGAGTGCTGTTTTACCAGAGCACTTCACGGGAGATATGACCATTGCGCAAATCGTCACATTTGTTTCAGAAAACGTCCCGCGCAGACACCCACTGCTGTACCTATATTCACAATGGGAATTGCATGACGACTTCTATTCATGGTTCGGGTCGAACATCCCCTCGGAAGACATGGAACTAGGGTCTGGGTGTTTAAATAATAGGGGAATATGCGCGATATCGCTATTGACTCTTTGTAGTGCTCGGACACGACGACCTAGCTAGAGGAGGCTTGCTTGAACCTGCAGGTGGAGGCGATGTTGCGACGCGCAACCCAACCTTTGCTCGTATTGACCTCTATCCCACGAGTATGCAAATTTCACAGATACTACAGCCTTGCTCGCCGTACAAACTCCGCCAACTTCACAGCAAACAGCGCACATTGTGCACTCCAGCATTCACACTACACAGTAGATTATCGCTATAAAACACAAACACCACCACCCGTTTCTATAAAGGCGCCTTCCCAAGCTGAGTACAGAAATTCTCCATTGACGGTGCCGGAAAATACTTAAACCACATTGTGTGCTCTAAAACTATCAGTTCTCAATATGTCGCATCAGCGCCCAAGCTCCGCCGCCAGTATGCATACAATCTTTGACGCAGAGCTAAAGACAGTGGATGCTCGCCCAATTTCCACCATTCCAGCAGACCATAGTGATCCTAACCACCCACATAATGGCGACGTGGAACGTCAGATTGGCTCACCTCGCAAGTCACTTCCCAGCAAGAAGATACTGTGGATTCTTGGTCTTGTTCTTCTGGCCCTCGGCACGCTTGGAGCTGCTGTAGGGCTCGGTGTGTGGTCTGGTAAAAACCACGGGGAGAGCAGTGATGATGCAGGCCGTGTTGAGAATGCGACGGCTACCGTCTTCACGACCGTTGACCCAGTCGACATCGCTACTACGACTCTAATCAAGACCATCGACGGGACCAGTGCGACCACGATCGTCACGCTTGCACCGATGCCAAATAACCAGGTATGCAAAAAAGGCGGACGATGGCCCTCAGAAGAATTGTGTAGGGAGGCCTGCGTTGGCATCCAAGGGTACGAGCTCGTTCATTGCGGGAAATTCGACGACAAGGGACATTTTTGGCAATGTCATCAATGTGCGGCCGTCAAGCCTACTGTTTCCTTCAAACCGCCAGTCCCAGTGGAAGCCACTCCGATACCCGATCCGAAGTCTGTCGCATCTCCGCCGGGTTCGTCAGGTCCGAAGGAGGAGAAGGAAGGGCAATGCTTGATCAGTGGGCACTTTTCTTCAAAGGATGAGTGCAGTGATCATTGCAAGATTGGTGCGGCTGGTGACGAGAAGGTAGCGAGCTGTGAGAGTCGGGCTGGGGTTTGGAAATGCATCCGTTGTTAAGCGGTTGCATGCACTGCGACATAGCTCATCGTATAGGTACGCTTGAGGCTCTTTTGAACAGCGCGTCCTTGTTGAGCCGCTGGGATTGCGGCAGTGGTACCGTGACACTGTCAACATGCTTCTTACACATTTTGGAGAAGTGCGATGGTACACCTCGTGGTAACACGCGCTGTACATTTACATACACATAAAATATCTGCTTCTTGACCCTAACCTCGAGAGTAACTCTACATCCTTGCGTACGTGAGCACAGTGAGATATGAGCTTTTAAGGCAACACCTTCATGCTTCCTGTCGCAGGGATTTATAACATCCATTTACTAAAAACCTTCAAAACCGGTCACCTACTTGCCATGTTTTCTCGTTATCAGTTTCGAACCAGCATGATGTATTGTACAGCACGGCCGCGCAAACGGGAAGATCCAGACCATTGTAATATCACAACCGATAGACGTACAGAATTGGAGATCAATTCCTCACGTCCCAAGACGCGTCCACCCGACAACTCCAGTGCGAAAACCACTCCCAGCTCAACCTTCTGCAAGATCAACCAGCTTCAGAACCAATGTCAGCGAACAAACTAACCAATATCCCCCTACACGCCGCCGAAAATCCGATTTCTCCATCTGGCATCAACATGCCTGCGGAGCGCTATCCAACGGATCTACCCCCGCGTCGCCGCAAACCCTCCCGCTTGAGCAACATCCTTCACAACCGTAAGCTCGGTATTGCTGTCGGACTCCTACTCTTCTCCCTTCTGGTCGTCGGTACCGCAGCTCTAGGCTTTTTCGTAGGTGGACGGCGCAACAACGAAGGCAAAACCACTGTCCACGCAAACGCATCTTACCCGATTGCCACTGTTCGTCCCACGGAAACTGTCAAGGTCATCGTCGGCTGGGAGACCGCCACGCAGCTAGTGACTCACGCACAAGGACTGTCTACTACGATGGTGACAATCTTCGTGACGCCGCCTAACAAGATGGATGGGGTGGCAGAGATGACGCGGAATATGGGATCGGATTCTCGCACTGAGTAGGGTAGGGCAGGGATTGTTGTATAGTTGCCAGGCACTTTGGTACGTCCTGGCAACCTGCGGCTGGGTTACCAAAGCAATGCTTTGCTTACATTGTAGACTCACGCGAGACTTCAGTTACTCAGATGGCGCTACCATTCCAGCGTCTCCAGCCATAGCTGTCTACAGCTAGTATTCCCGGTCGCAAAGGTGGAACAGTTGAGTTTGCGTCAGCGATCTTGTAGGTATCGACCAATCAATCGAAATACTCTTTTACACTCAGCCTCAAAGTGTTAAAAAAGGGCTTCTAGTGATCCAAATGCTGTGACGTCCGAGTACCCAAGTACGCATTCAACAGAATCTGTGTTATCAACGCCAGGAAAATGAAGCCTTTCGGAATCGGAAAAGAGAATAAAAACCGGTTATACCTTCTTTGCTTATTTGTAAAGTCGGTAATATTAGCAGCCAAGGCCTATGAAGTCTGTTTACAACAGCTTCCCAAGGGTTGTTCTCCCATAGGCCTCCAAGGAACTACGGTAAGCAACTGAAAGTCAGCCGTACGGAGTGCCACCAGCTCTGTCACCCGCGTGCGATGTGCTATGATATTCACCCGTCCTCGTTATTCATGGTGGCAGATTCATGTTGCTACCTTAGGGTGAACTCAGGAGGACTGAGTGCCCCAAATCGGGACCCGTAATATAGGCTTGTTATACATACCGGGCTCCTTGCCACACTCTTTCCAGATGCACTAATAGATAAGTGCCCTGAAAATAGAGTAAAACGCCTCAATCTGTGATGAAGACAGAAGAGGTGGCACAAAAACGGTTTGGTAGAGTCTTGGCGACCCCTCCACCATGTGCAAGTATGTACGACTCTGTCCCCATTCTATGATAGTCCCCATCCTTACATCATCGGACTCATATTCCAACTTCGCAGCACACACCCAGCTTGAGACGAGCATGTCTAGTGAAACCCCTGGACGACTGATCTCGCACTTCCAAAACAGGTAGTCAACTGCCCGCACGATCATCGTGCGAATCCAGCTAAGGGTAGGCTGTATACAGCTAATAGCACCCTTAGACCAGAATCGCAACATGCCCAAGGCTGGTCCGAACTATGGGACAACAACGAAAGCGACCTCTGGGACCGAGGCTTCTGCTCACCAGCATTGACTGACCTCGTTGCCGAGCGACGCGATCTTCTATCCCCAGTTACTGCGGATGGGAGTCGCAAGAGGGCTCTTGTTCCCGTAAGCAATACAGACACCTGCAGAAGACTATGTCTGCGTACTTAATCCACTCACAATGAAATTTCCCCAGGGCTGCGGCAGAGGCTACGACCCAGTCATGCTCGCCCTGCACGGCTTCGACGCATGGGGCCTGGAAATCTCCCATACGGCCGTCGAGGCTGCGGAACGGTATGCCGCCGAGCAGATGCACACCCCTTCGCCGAGCAATTTCGCAAGCTGCGAAACGGGTACGGGGATTGAGGCAGGGACGGTCCGTTTTCTCCAAGGCGACTTTTTCGACAACGACTGGGTAGCCCAGTTGCCGGATCGAGACAGGAAATTCGACCTCATCTACGATTATACGGTAAAGCGGCCTACGTCAGGTTTTTCTTTAGTTCTGTGAATTGATGTCTGACGAGGTTAGTTTCTGTGTGCTTTGCATCCTAGCATGAGGCGTTTGTGGGCGAGGCGCATGGCGGAGCTGTTGAAACCGGGGGGTTTGCTTGTCTGTTTGGAGTTCCCGCTGTGGAAAGATTTGAAGGCAGAAGGGCCTCCCTGGGGTCTGAAGGACGTGTATTGGGACCTGCTGGCGTGCGGGGGTGATGGATTGGTGCAAGATGATGGGAAGGAAAGGGAACCGCGTAACACTGAAAATGTCCAGTTTGTAAGAGAGCTGTATCTGAAGCCAGCGCGGTCTTATAAGCAAGGAAGAGGAGAGGATATGCTGAGTGTGTGGCGTAAGCAGTAGTCATAGGTGATGAGAATGCAGTCTCGGACAGAAGTCATCACGTTGGCTTATAAACAGCACGGCTCGAATGAGCTCAAAGTGGGGGCCTAGCGGCACATATGCTCTCCCAATGAGAACTTTTGTGGTGCTGGTTCTAGTACGACCGTGGCGAGCAATCGTATTGTTTCTGCTCGCTCAAGTCTCATGACGGTGATCATTTTCACAGAGAATATGCAAACGTCAAAGTGCCACTGCTGTCCTAGCATCCACATCATCGGATATAGTTGCAAAGCCGAGAAACAATCAAAAACCCAGCTCAGCAACACACCCCCTCTCTCAATAAACTCCGGCAACCAGCGCATCCACACAGAAACCGCGCGCCTTCTTCTCCATGACATTCACCCATTCTCATTCCCTTGGGCTCGATCATAACCTGCAACACCGCGAAACAAACACCAAACAAGAAACTATTTCAACTTCAATAACCGATTGTTTGAACTCCTAAAGTTCAGAGACATAATGTCCTCTTTATTGGCTTCCCCTTCGCCGCGCTTACGCCTCCAAAAATTCCAAAACATGCGCCAATGTGGCGTAGTCCTCCGGCACCCCATCCTATCAAACAGTAACGAGCTATCTTTAGCCATTATAGCTCGGCTAGGGATTACTGGACGATAAGCACTCTAAGCCGTGAAAGCGAGCCCGAAGGTGCATTGTTTGAGCCACCAGTGGTTAAGCTTAATGTGCATGTTCTTCCTTTGACGATGGTGCATAGGCGCGCGGAGAGACAAGACTGAAAGTCATCAAGAAGTTTGGTTGTGGATTTGTACATGGGCGTCTAAGAATCTCATACCGAAGCTGTGTTGCTCATTTGACAGGCTATCCTGTTCCTATTCTACCAGTGCTTAAGCTTAATGTGCATGCTTTGACTTTGACGATGGTGCATAGGCGCGCGGAGAGCCTTAAAACTTCGGCTTTGGTTATGCACCTGGGCGTTAAGACTCTCACACCGAAGTTGTGATGCTCATTTGACAGGCTATCATGTTCCCATTCTTATCCGCTATGAGAGGAATGAATGCTATATTGCGTGCTTCACGCAAGGCACTTCCACTCCCAAGCGTATGCGAGTGTGTAGTACCATTGCACAACCTCGCTCCTGCATTAACGCATACGGAAACAGCTATTGAAACGGATTGTTTGTTTGAAGGACGAAGCGCGCGAAAGCAGATGTGAGGTTTCTGGGGGATGGTAAAACAGTGCTGCGACTTTGATGGACGCGTGGGTGAAGGGGGTTGGAGGGGGAATGAGGAATATTGGTGGAAGTGAAGGAAGCTTGACGAATTTGAGCTTGAAGAGGTTTGACTGCAGGAGCGGACGGCAAAGGAGACGGATTAGGTGAAGGAGAGATGGATCACGTGCTACAACCCATCTCCCATATGGTTGGAATGTCCTTCCTCATCTCCGCCTTGTAGGCCTTTGTCCTAGACTGTAGACTTCCAAGTCGTTCAGGTGTCTCTAACAAGAGACGCGTCATCTTGAAAAGCCCTTCGTAGCAGGTGATGGGGGCTCCCCTTCTTCTAGGCTGCTGCTGCTGCCTTGCGAATGTAGCACAACAGAAGCCACAAGCCGAGGCGTGGACCTGCATTCGCAATCATATACCAAAAGGGTATTCCGGAATCACGGGGGAAAGAAGAAAGGCTGCAGGTTCAAAAAGTTTGCTCCCATGTGCCTGATTATCAAGTGTACCTAGGTACGCCTTTGGTAGGACAGTGTTGGACCTGACCTGACCTGCATAAGGAAACTTTCCTAGGCATCAACAGGATATAGCCGTATGCACGCCATAAGGTGTGCAGTAGTTCCAAGGGCGCTGTTCGAGCGGGTATGCACATTGCAGACGCTGCATGCCGGACGCAAGGCAACTGAGACCGTGGCGCAGGCCAGCAAAGCTCGATTGATAAGACGGCGTAGGAACGTGTAATGATGGCTCTGGACTATTTATCAGCGATTGAGACCATTCGTTGATGATGAGGGTGTTTATGTAGTGGAGTCATCAGCTTGAGGCAGGTTTCCATCTCGGCATGTCTAGCCACCTATTCTCCTCACGCCGACACCCGATTGTCAGCAGAAGCACGGCAACACCTGATCATCTATCGAGCCTCACGAACGGCGACTCCCGGTCCTCGGTCAGCCCTTTCCGCTTCTCCGCATCGCCGAGTTTGTCGGGAACGCAGGGGTAGGGGTAGCTTGGAAGAGTCATAACCAAGTGCCATCAGGCTTTGACAAGTGCTCATGAGACAGACATTTGCCTTTGTTGGCTGATCCCGTAAAGGCGACACCGGTGAAAGGAAGAGGCAAAGGAAGAGGATCTGTTGTTAGGCCAGCTGTTTGAGACAAGAAGACAAAAAGTCCAGGCCAGATAATGGTTTCGAATCTCTTCCTTTGTACTGTACCAACGGCGCGCCTCATCCTTTCCGGATAACTGCGTCGGCGGGGATCTTCACTGCCGGCATCATGCATCTGCGCGATGGGCGCAGGATGCTGTTCGGTGGGCCACGGTGTCCATCATTGGACAAAGGATGTGGCCGTGCTGTTTCGCGGCTGACAAAAAAGGCCAAGATGCGGATTCCGGTGAGGCCACGGTGGGTGAGCCAGGGGGGTAAGGTGGTGACGGGACCGGCCTGGGGACACAGTGGGGGAAGGGCGTGAGGCAGTGCTATTATTGTGGGAGAGGTAAAGGGAGCGGGCGGCCTGGGGATTGAGGCATGCTCTGATAGCTGTTCGTGTCGAGGAAATTGCATGTTCTTCATGTCACCATGATCTGTGGCAGTGCTGGCGGTGTTCACCGTGTGCGCTCGTTCTGCGCAAACTGCGCTATGGCCAGAAAAGGGAAACGGCGGTTACGCTACACTACCTTCGGACTAGCTCGCTGAATGTTTACGAAACGGCGAGTTCCGTTTGCTGAGGCGCAGGGGTTATTCAGCAAACGAGGGGCTGAGCGGTCATCGAAAGGCTTCTCATTGGCCAATAGTTTGTATCAGGGCGCCAAGATGGGGGCCGTGGCTGGTGAATTGCACCCCGCGCGGTTCATCATTCACTCACCCTCTTCCTCAACAAGCTCCCCATGCACGCCATTCTGGGGCGGAGTCTTGACTCTTGTTGAATCTGCAAACATTCCCAAAACATCCCACGGACGTGTTTCCCTTTGACCCTTGGCGGTTCTGAAGAGTCACAGCGCTCTTGTTTCTCTGGACGACAATGTTTGCCCTCTTGCGCGCTTCGCTCGCGGGTCGGGCCAAAAGCTCGCGGCTGCTGGTGCATTCGTCGCGTCGTCTCGAGATTCCCTCCCAAACGAATCTCACCAATGACGGCGGCGTCTCGGTGTGGTTGTCGGCTGTCTTCTGACTGCTCGGTGTGCCAGGTACTGTACTCGGAGTGTGTCGTCATGCGAGACTCGACCGCCCTCCAGAGCTCCCCCCAAGCGCGGTGGGCGGCGGATGACAAGGGCGGCGGCCTGAAGACCCCTGCCTGCACCGCCGTGTGCACAAGGCATCCATCCGCACCCTGGTCATCTTGGAGAAACATTGATATAATCCACGCCCGCTGCCCACCTTTCGGGATTGACCACATACACCTTTCCAAACCCACTATTTAAACCTCTCTGGACCTCCTCCCGCTCGGATCCAGACATCTCCCCTCTGCAATATCAACCTTTGCTTCAACAGTGGCTTCCATCACAGCACTCGAGACACCCTTCACTCCCTCAGTCACCAAGGCTATCAAGCCGCGCTCTATACTCACCAATTCTCACACCACCACCACCATGCCTTCCCTCTCCCGCCAGAACACGATGCCTACCGTCATCCACTCCAAATCCTCAAAGACGTCCTCGTCCTCCTCCAAGAAGGACCGGATGGTCGGCTTCCTACACGATCCCGTGAGCGCCGTCTCTCGGCCAGTCAACAACACCGAGAGCTGGGCCGCCTACGACTTCGAGACGCACGCCCGCAAGTGTGCCTTTTGCCAGAACCCCTACGAAGTCCACCGCAACCACGAGCAGCTCTGCGACCAGGGCCACCGCCTCGCCCAGGAAGTCGCCCGCTACATCTACCAGGGCGCCGACGGCGAGACGTACAGCAGAGAAGAAGAGGAGAACAACAAGCTCGTCCGTGTCGAGATCCCGGCCGGCTACGACCAAGTCAAGGGTCTCCTCAAGGCCATTGAGCGTAGCCTGCGCCACCGGTCGCGAACTCCCTTTGTCTCCATGGACCGCACTTATTTCGTGGCGGCCCGCGTGCCCCAGCGGTCACGCTCCGTCAAGATCGAGCAACCCACCAAGACCAAGCGTCGACCTCGCTCCGGCGAAATCGTCGACTGGCCCGATGTCCTGCCGGCGCACACCACCAAGGCCACGGCGCTCCCCGTCGCCGAGATCCACACCTCTCTCGACCGCAAGCGTGGCTCCCTCTACGAGCAGGACCTCGAGACGCAGCGCCGCAATGCGAAGAAGTACAATATTGAGGTGCGGGAGCCGTCGGCACGCGATCTCCGTGAGCACCGTCTGTCTGGATACTACCGGTGAAGCGATTTTCTGGGTTCCCTGTTATTCAATCTTTTCCGAGTGAACTACGACGGGATGCATTGAATGCCCCTCGGCAGCACGAGCACCACCAACAACAGCTCCGCGCACGCGCACAGTCGACGCGCGGTTGCACTCCAAAAAACCACTTCAGCATAAAGCAAGTTTTGATCTTTGGTCCTTGTTGCTCTGCTTGCGGGATAGCATTGCGTTTTGCTGGGTTTTAGTTTCTTGCAACCTTTGCCTTACCACCTTACCTTTGTTATGGAGGGCATACGCTCGGGCCGAGTTGCCCATTTGTGAGGGCGGAGGATTGAGGAGGAAGGAAGGAGGGGGGAGGATGAACGCCGCAGTGAGCCTGGGTTGATAGCCAGGCGAAGGGATGACAAGGGTGGGAGATGACGTCGGGGATTGAAGGAACAGAGGGAGGAACTTCCTCAAGATAGCCGAACAATTGAAAATTATCTACCGATAAACTTGTGCTTTTGCTGCCCTCTGTGACTTGTCCATCGTCTACGTACTTGCATTTTCCGAATTGAACTTTTTCTCGCTTCGACCTTGAGAGTTCCTACATGCAGGAGAGGATGCATGGTTGTGAATCATTACCCCGCCAAACGCTATCGAACAAAGTCCCCCATCTATCTATCCATGGATGACTCTGACGGCACCCGACCCCCCTCAACCACCAAACCCCATGCAACCGATCCAATCGGCCAGAAGCGAGACTCTGGCCATGTACACAGCACATACAGCTTTCGCAGCGATTCCACCTAATCTCCTCTTCGCTCGAACGTATCGGCGGCGGGGGATAGAAGAGACTGCGCATTTGCGCACATCAACTCCCACCAAGTCATCTAAAATTACCCTGAGTTCCAGACGATTATTATCGTTGAGAATAGGGTGGAAGACTAAGGCGCATGCGAAGAATGATGAATGATGAACTGGGTGCTTCTTCCACTTCGCCTGCCTCTTCCACTTCTTCCCAACAAGCTGTGAACCTGGGCATGTATGCATGCTACCGAGGCGCACATCTAGGTGCAATGAAATAGGGTGAGGTGAGGGAAGCGGGAAGGGGAGAAGGGGAAGGGCGTAAGGGTCTAGAGGTGTTGATGAAGAGGGCGCTCAGGCTCTGTTTTCCTTGTACCTAGGTAGGGAGGGCTGGATGCTGGGGGGTGAGTTCCAAGGTTCCTGGTGAAAATCAGGGTTTCTGCGGAGGGGAGGGGTCTTGGGGCTGGTTGGGGCCTGGCGGGGGTTGAAGAGGGGGGGCTTATCGATAGCGTGCTGTTGCCTCAGGAGTATGCAGGATTGGAGAGGAGTCATCGATGCATGACTTTTACAGTTCTTTACAGGATTTCTTGGTTGGTTTCGAATCGATACCCTGCATGGCTTTGGAGAAGTGCGGCGAGGAAGGGAGGGAGGGAGGGAGGGACCCTAGGAAGGGAGGGAGGGGCTGGAATGCGACTTTACTATGTACTTGTACACAAGTATATTCGAAGCGAGACGACATCAAAACTCCATTTCACTATGTAGCTAAACGCGATGGATGAGGCAGATCAAATCGAGTCGAGCAAGCCTCGATCTTCTCTGCAAGATGGCTACGGTGTCTGTATTCGGAGTTGTTGGTCAAGTCAGGACAGGTAGCCTCCACGTATCGTGTTTCTCAATGTGCTATTACTGGCAAGGCGAGTGAGCGGTGCCGGGTGACGCCCAGTTGTTGTTTTACGGTGTAGGATTTCGGGTTGTCACATGCAGAGTCTAGTTTCAGAGTGGACACGTCGACTAAAGGATGCAGTTCTAAGAAACTCCGCTGGCCTACACAGTAAACACGCCTGTTGTTCCCAATACGGAAATGCATTTGAGGGTGAATGTAAATGCACGTGATGGGAACTCTCAAACCTGGAACGAAGGCCTCCCACAAACCATCGATTGATACCTCATCTACAAAAAAGCCAGTAAAGCGTGATGCATTGCGTGATGCCGTACTGTGTTATGATACAACGCCCATCTACTGGGTACTCGACCGTGCCGTCATACACGTAGCAAGCCAGCTCAGCTCCGAGTCCAGCACCGAGTCCAGCACCGAGCTGAACTCCTACTTGGGTGGCTTGAACGAACAACTGTTCGCGCATCGCACATTGGTGGCGAGCGTCGTGTGCTGGCCATCGATCAAGCGAGTTCAAGGAATCAGGTTACGACAAGGCGACGAATCGGCCTCTCGGTCTGCGACGATCGGCCCGTACGCCAGTTCTCTATTTGTAGGAGGTCATGGTACCTTGTTGCCGATCCTCCGGTGTGCTCTTACTCTTAGATATTGAAGTGCCTGATGCGCAAGCAACCCGACGTCGTCAGATGTAGAGCCGGTGTGTGGATTGCCAGATGCTAGCTGTCGCGATGCGAGTCCTCTACGCGGTAGGAGATAGAACAATACCCGGCTGCAGAACGCTGGTGAGTCGCAGACCGAAACGCCCGGGAGAGAAGAGTCGCAGGATGCGCCTCAATAACCACAAAGAAAAAATCATGAAAAAAGATAGTGGTTTACCCAGCACAGTCACCGGTCGCCTACATGCATGTTCCAAGGTTCGGCAGAAGGGATAAGCGATGCCTAGTGAATGCGGGTATTTGCATGCCCCAGCCTACCGGTGTCGCCGGTGAGCTTGACGGGAGCGCGCGGGATCATTCGAGTCCTCATGGCTAGGTGCTTTGTTCCGTTCTGATATCGCTTAGAGGAGTCTCGAGATGTCTCCTGATGCATGTTTCCATCATTTAGTTGGGATGCTAGTCTGGTTGATTGACGTTGCGAGCGCTTGAGGTCTCCAGATGAGGGCAGGGAGATTTGATGGGTGTGTATAGGTTACGTGTGCGATCTGAAGGTGCGTCTGGGGGAATTGCAGGAATTGGATGCTGATTGGAGCGCTTGGTTCATGAAGGGGTTCCCCGTCTGCTGTTGAGGCGTGAGTATCGGCGTGTCGAGATCGTGAGGGTGAGGGAAGCCTGGAGGTGCCCTGTGGCTGTGCGGATCTGCCACATTCCCAGAAGGGTTCCTAGGTCGTGATAGGCAGATCGTCGCTCCGACTTGAACAACTACACTTTCTTGTTCTAAGTATCTAATTCACTTAAACGTGCTCTGTATCTTCTACGCATCCAAAGCTTCTGCACTGCATATAGTTATTGTATATAAGTCCCTTTATGCTACTAAGCTACACGCTAGTATTCTAATAGGGCTCTTAGGCTTAAGACTTTCCCTAGAAAATGGGGAGTATTTTTTAGTAAAAACTGCATGCTGTGTAGGAAGACCTCGTGTGGTGCTTGATTTCTTACACAGCGCGGTCTGCTGAGCGCCAATCTCACGCCGCCGGGTCTGCAGGCACGAGGAACACTAAGAAGGTGCTTCATCAGCATAAGGCCCCCGCATCAGAGCGGCGAGATACTGTTCGAGGTGCAATCGAGTAGTAAGCGAGGACGGTGAAAGCCAGAGCTGAATGTACTGCTTTTTAATCCTGTGCCATCACCTACGCTGTACCTGTGCATGCCAAAAGAGGGTATGGCAGAGCCAATGGAATATGATCTTGTTACCTGGTTGATGGATTCATGCTTTTCGCGTGGACAGTCGAAATCACACATGGTAGGGCACTATTTTTCGAAGGTCGTGCGGCTGAAGCGCATACTGGGGAGATTAGAGCAGATGGGGAGCAATTTATTATACCACGAAGTTTCATCATCTACACTTATCTCTTCTGTTCCAATGTTGTTGAAGCGACCAAGAGACGGGGACGTGCTATTGCCTCTGTGGCCGAAACTCTGGTGATGAGTGCGTTCCGAGTGAAGAGGCAGTAATTGTTAAACCCACAACCTGGACCTCAGTTGAGGTGCCGCGCCCTGTGGAACACAATAAACTCGTCGCCAACACAGTTCATACGCCGTTCTGGCAAGCATCATGAGATGGCCGGGTACGTGAGTTCCACCTGTGCCACATCTGGTGGCGCAGGGTTCATCACATGTATCGGGAAGCTGAATGCGGTTCACTATCAGATACACCTTCATTTTCATCAGCTTCAGCTTGGGTATGTCAGCGTGAGACTTATCGATGTGTCCTAGCCTGCTAGGCTGAAGCTTAAGCGGTTATGCTATGGCGTAGAAGCTGGTGTTCACCGCAAGGTGTGTTCATTGTTCCTTCCAATTCACTTTCACAACCAATGCCCTTCATATTTCGGAATCCACCTATTGGCAACCGTTGAGTATTCGAACTGGATATATTGGAAGCCTACGAAAAAGAGAGACACATGATTCGGCGGAGCTCTGCAGCGGTCAGCGTTAATATCCTTCAGGACTAGCGCGAGACCGTGCATTCTAAGCTGTCAAACCCTCACACCGCTTTTCATGAGCGTCACCGCAAACCTTTTTAACCCCAAATCCCTCTGTCTTTCTTTTCTCTTCATCGCATTTCGTCGTCCTTCCCGAATACAACATATCCTGTCTTGCATTCTCGGCGTTCAATTGGAATTTTCAGTATCAATGCCTGCTCGTTCCGTTCTTCTTAATGTTTCAATTATTGCAAAGCCGATTGGAAAGGAGAATGTAATTGAAGAAGTCAAGGAAGTCAAGAGCGAGGAAAATGTGCCGGAGACCACGAACGTTCGTGTTGGAAATCGTGCCAGAGTCGATTCCGCCGCCGCCGGCATGGCTCCAACCATTTATACACCGTTTCCCGCCACTACGCCAAATTCCGTTTCTCCAACATCCACCAGCAGCCTGACTTCAATTCCAGAAGGTAGTATTATTTGTTTCGTTGGACAATGCATAGTCTAACCCGAAATGCAGTGAGAGCGTGCGGGACTTGTCGGCAGCACACCAAGCCGGATGGATCTCGACTGTCCCACTGCAAAGCATGCGCTTCCGTCTACTATTGCTCCAAGGACTGCCAGAGGATCGATTGGCCATCACACAAGCGGCAATGTGTCTATCGCGGGAACCCGAACCGCGAATCCAGTGTGCCATATTCCGTTCCAGCCTCCCCGACAAGCACTTGAAAGACTTCTTCGCGAAACTGCATTTATCGTTCGAGATATGCAGACTTTCCCAGTGACGGTTTACTGAGCGCATAACGGGCACCCTGCACGAGAATTACAGGCCATTACTATGCAACATGCTGAACCGGTTCAGCAGATCCAACGTTCGAATTTCCCAACTCCTCTACTTTTGGAAGCCTCCGTCATGTGGAGATGGAAGCCGAAGCCATTTTTCACGAGCACTGCAGTTCTGCGGGGCGGCCGTGGCAAAGCCTGCAGGTTTTCGACGACTGGAGAACTTGCCTCGCACTTTCTGTTTCCCACATTTGCAACTATTGAGTACCTGGCGGCGTTTGTGCAGCATTTCCCATTTTCCGATTTAGAGAAGGCATTGGCATTCAATTGCCCCGACACGAATAGAAATGACATCTTTACTCTTACGACCTGATAAACCCCGTATCTGAAATTCGTGAAAGCACCGGTTCCCCATCTCACCCAAGCTACCTTCTCAGCCATTATTCATACACCGTTTCAACCAAGCTTCAGCCGTCCGGGAAAAGCAGAATAGCGGTGTGCTCGTGTCGCGTGCGCAAGCTTCCACAGAGCTGATCGGTGTAACATCAGCACGGCTTGCATTAGCGACGAGAAGTGAGTGAGATTCGCGTGGAACGTCCCGAGATAGCTAGGCGACGCTAGGGAAGTGAGATTGACGCTTTTATCGCTTTACACGCCACTATCTTCCTTGGGGGCTTACTTGCATCGTGTTCCGAATGCGAATCGAGCTTTCTCATACATATCTACTTTGTTGGGATCGAGGTGCTAGACGATACCACCTCTTCACCATCGTCACCAAGCTATGGGGCTGAGCGACATGCTGGCGTTCAATCGTACGGTTTGCAAATGCATTCTGATTTCCTATTCGGGTGCTGTGTGACAATTAAGCCTACCGCGTCATGATTGGCCAACAGCATGCACCCCGCATCCTTAGAAGCATAAGCGCATGCAATCGTCCGCTATCGGCAACATGGAAAAAGCCAATACTCATCATGCCTTCACCATCTCCAGTCGACATAGCCTGCCATGGCCTATATTGCAACACCTCTGACCTCCAACTGGAGGTTCAAGCAGGGCAATCTCACCTCGTCCTCTACCTACCTCCCTGCCCACAACGTGCCCACTGAAGTACACCGAGATCTCCTGAAGAACCACAAAATCGCAGACCCCTTCCTTGATTTGAATGAACTCTCCGTCCGCTGGGTCGCCGAAGAAACATGGACGTACCAGACCACCTTCCCCACGCCTCAGGACATCTCAGAAGAGCAAACGAAAACAACCCTCAAATTCGAAGGTCTGGACACATTCGCGTCCGTGTACCTAAATGGGCACCTGATCTTGAAGAGCGACAACATGTTCCTGGAGTATCGCGTTGATGTATCCTCAGAGATCAGGGCTGGGGGAACGGAAAATACATTGGAGATTGTCTTTGAACCTGCCCTGAAGAAAGGACTGGAATTAGTAAGACAGCATCCGGAACACAATTTCATAGTGCATCAGACGGAAGTGTCGCGGGGTCCAGTGCGAAAGGCGCAGTATCATTGGGGCTGGGACTGGGGTCCTATCCTGATGAGTTGCGGGCCTTGGAAACCTATTACACTTGAGTCATATGCCTACCGCATTGACAACGTTTGGGTAGAGTATGAGCTCAGTGATGACTTGACGAAGGTCACTGGCAAGTTGTTTGCCAAGGTGGAAGGGCAACGGCCTGATGCGCTGGAAGTGACATTCTCTTTGACCGAGAAAGCAATATACGATGATGGAGGGGTCTATAAAGGTCGGCACACCGGTAACGGTGTCTTCGAAGCGAGTTTCTCCGTCGATGCACCAGTTGAACTCTGGTGGCCTCGCGGATACGGCCATCAAACGCTTTACGACATCAAGGCTTCTGTCAGTCATGCGGTATCCAATGTTCAATACCACTCCGCTTCGAAGACAATTGGCTTCAGAAAGGTAGAGCTGATCCAAAACAAAGACTCCATCGGCACGTCCTTCTACTTCCGCGTCAACAACGTCGACATCTTCGCCGGCGGTTCATGTTGGATACCAGCCGATTCTTTTCTCACCCGTGTCACAGCAGAGCGGTACCATGAATGGATTCAATTGGCAGCTGAAAGCAACCAGAACATGATCCGCGTCTGGGGCGGCGGTATATACGAGTCCGACGCCTTCTACTCAGCCTGCGACGAGCTCGGCATCCTCGTCTGGCAAGACTTCATGTTCGCCTGCGCCAACTATCCCGCATACGCGGACTATCTCAAATCGGTAGAACAAGAAGCGCGCCAGAATGCCCGACGCATGCGACACCATCCGTGCATAGCTTTATGGTGCGGAAACAACGAAGATTACCAAATAGTGGAGCGCTACGGTCTCCAATACGACGTGGAGAACCTCGACCCGGAAGCCTGGCTGCAGACAAACTTCCCCGCCCGCTACATCTACGAGTATCTCCTGCCCAAGGTCGTCATGGAAGAGGCAGTCGGCACGCCGTACCATCCCAGTTCTCCATTCGGCAACGGCAAGAGCACGACGCTCAAGGTAGATCCTACGATCGGCGATATCCATCAGTGGAACGTATGGCACGGTTCCATGGAACCCTATCAGCGCTTCCCGGCCATGGGCGGCCGCTTCGTGTCCGAATTCGGTATGGAGGCGTACCCGCATCTCGAGACGCTGGAGAAATGTATCACCAGGGAAGAGGACCGGTATCCTGGGTCCATGGCTATGGACTTCCGCAATAAAGCGATCGGACACGAGCGTAGACTGGTGTCGTATGTGGCTGAGAACTTCCGGATGAAGGCGGACTTTCCTGGCTTCGCGCATTTGACTCAGGTCATGCAGGCGGATGCGATGGGTTGGGCGTATAGGTCGTGGAGAAGAGATTGGGGACGGAGTGGGGAAAGGGCATGCGGTGGTGTGCTGGTGTGGCAGTTAAATGACTGCTGGCCGACGGTGTCCTGGTCCGTTGTTGATTACTATCTCGTCCCCAAGCCGGCTTATTATGCGATAAAAAGAGAGATGGAGCCCATCGTGATTGGGGTGGCGAGAAGCATGCACGACTGGACGAAGCGGCCAGCTGACGAGCTGTGGAAACGGGATACGGGGCATATAGACCCGACCCAGTGCTTGGAAAATGTGCACTACGCTGTTTGGGTTTCAAGCAGCAAGTTGGAAGAGGTCAAGGCCAAAATAGTCGTCAAGTTCATCTCCATCCGGACTGGCAAGGAGGTGTTTGATGAGCTCACTTTCTACAAAGACATTCAACTCAACGGAACCACGGAGGTCGTATCGGCCAGTACTCCGCCCTCTTTGACGGATCCACATACGCCATACAACACAGGAACCGCAGACCCCTTTGTCATTTCCGCCAGTTTAGAAGTGGAAGCCGTCGAGATATCGAACTGCATCTCGTGGCCGGACCCGATAAAATATCTTCATTTTCCGGACCGAGATGTCCAGATGAGGTACTCGGATGACGGGGCTTCTGTTACAGTCACTGTGGGCAAGCCAGTTAAGGGGTTTGTTTTCAGTGAGCGTCAGGGTGTAAGGTTGAGCGACAATGGGTTTGATCTTGTGCCTGGGGTGAAGAAGACCGTTCAGGTGAAAGGCGTGCATGCTAGTAAGCTTGATTGGAGGTATGTTGGGATGTAGCGTTTTGGATGTATATAATATGTCCGTGGAAGTCGAACAATACTTGGGCATTTAAGGTGCAATAATGACCCACGACCTGATCCAACGTTGAAAAATGCATACAGAATACATCTATTACTTAATCTGGCCTTCTGTTGAAAAAGAGGGCTTGATGGCCAAGATGTTTATTCAACTGAACCTACTTGAGAGTCGCATCACGTACCTTCCATCTTCCTTCAGAGACTATAGAATACTCCCGCCACCCGGAACCTTTTCTAAATCTTAGCCACTCTGAACCGCGGCTTTCTCCTCCGTACTCATCTCGAACGCTTATACGGATACTCCACAACCACACTCAAAGGAAACCCCCCTCACACTTCCGACCTCTAGTTGGCATGTGGTGCGAGTACCACAGCATCCTCACCTCCCTCCTCTTTATCCATCTCATAGACGCTTCCATTACATTTCAGTCATACATACCCATCCTAACCACATCTAGTTACTACCAAAACCCCCACGCCTAATATATTAAAGAACCGCTAGATCTGAAGCCAAGTACAATTAGCCTTTACCCTGCCATCCGCACGTGCGTCTGCGAAACAAGCCGCAAGTAACTGCCAGTAGTGCCCGCGTAAACCCAGTTTCAACCCGACTCGGCATGCAGGAATTTATATTGATTACTGGGAGGACAGGTACCGGGGTCTGGGAAAGGGAAGACTGCGAGGGACGTGGAAAACGACGCCCCAGCGAAGAAAGAAATTGAGCAACAACAGTTATTACGAAGTTCTGCTCAGTCAATGTCCAAGTCGCTCACTCCCCAGTGCATCCATACAGCCTTTCAATACCCCCCTCAGTGCGCCAGTAATACTGAATCTGCAATCAACGCCCAAGGGGCGGATTTGTTGAACGTCGAGATTGATCCCATATCGACGAGTACATGTACCTATGTATCCCAGACGCCGTTCACTCTAGTGACCGGCCGATGCGCCCCGATGCCTGTCATTATTACCCTCGAGTAGGGCTTCCAGAAGATGAGAAGAAAGGGAAAAAGACGCATGCATGCACGTTTCCTATGTGTGCGTACCCAACTTTCCGGCCGCCAGTAAATACCGTGGATTCCCATTTGGGACCCATGCATGTGCCGCAAATCGCGACGTCGGCGCGGGTGACGCGCTGTTGGGAGATCGGCGCGTGTGCGCTGCATCTTTCTGCAGATGGAAGCGTTGGGGGGTACCAGCGAATAGCCAGAACGCGAAGAAGAGTGCGAGGATATCACGATAAGACATTCCCTTCGAATCAAGCATTGTGTGAAGAATGTATTACAGGGCATTATGATCATCCAACATCAGGGTGCATTGCAGCACCCAATCCAATTACACTGCCCTCCGCTCCCAGAGTAATCCTACCAATTAAATCTTCTCCTGATGCTCACCAACAGCCTCCTTCTCGTGAATCTCCTGCTCGAGGACGCGACCCTTCTCCGTTGCAGCAGCGCCACCAACAAGGGCGGCATCGCCGTCGAAGTGCTTGGCGATTTCCTCCAGGGGCGTGTTCTTGGTCTCGATGTAGTAGAACCAGACGAAGGTGAGTTCGAAGGCGAGCCAGACGCACTGTTCTGCATTAGCCTCTTGTGTGTAAATAATAGACGGGAATATGGACTTACGTAGACGATGTAGTACTTCCAATGGATGTCCTCGAGGGCAATGGGGTTGACGTAGGTGTTGAAGAAGAGGGCCACATCGACAAAGGCAAACATGTAGCACATGCCCTTTGCGCGGAGGGAGAAGGGGAGAATCTCGACGGTGTAGCCGACCAGCAGACCGGACCAGGCCATGTTGTAGAAGGTGTAGTAGAGGAAGATCATGGCGACGACGGCGCTGCCGTTGGCCTTGACCTTGGTGGCGTCGTAGCGCTCCGAACAGATGGTCCAGACGACGAAGCAGAGCATCATGCCGGCGGTGGAGATGAGGAAGAGGGGACGGCGGCCGACCTTCTCGACGAAGAAGCCTGGAGATTGTTGTTAGGTAACGGCGAGGTGCGTGATATGATTAGGAAAACTTACACATGGTGATGGCGACAATCGCGTTCCAGATGTTCAACACACCGTTGATGATGAGCTGGGTGTCGGGATCCGTTATGCCAATACCGTCAAGCACGCCGGTGATGTAGTATGAGACGAGACCGTTACCCGACCACTGAGAAAAGAGACCGGCGGAAATCAGAATGAGCAACCTGTGGCGGTTGCCCTTGGTCTTGAACAGCTCGAGCCAGCCAGTCTGCTCGGCCTCCTTCTCAATCTTGAGCGTCTCCTTGATCTCCTCGAATTCAAGCTGGACCAGCTCGTCATCGGCGTTGCCCTCGGCATGCACATGGGCGAGGACGTGGAGGGCCTTCTCATTTTGGCCCTTGGAGATGTACCAACGGGGGGATTCGGGGACGAACCAGACGCAGGTAATCTGAAGGATGGATGGCAAAGCCTGGATGATGGAGGGGATACGCCAAGACCACTGGCTGGGAATCTGGTTGGTGCCGTAGGTGAGCCAAGCGGCAATGATGGAGCCAAGGTACCAGGTGGTGTTGTACTAGTAGACGGTTAGGAGCGCTCGCCCATCCCTCTTATTTCGTTGATGACTTACAATCGTGGTGAAAATAGCACGGTGCTGGGGATGGCACAGCTCAGTGATGAGCAGAGGAGCGGCTCCGTGGGCAATGGCAACACCGAAGCCGAGGAAGAAACGGGCGGCAATGAACATGGAGAAATTCACCGAGGCGCTCTGGAGCACAACGGCGAAGATCATGATGATGGAGCCAATGCAGATGCCCCATCGCCGACCCAGTCCATCGGCAATGTAGGGAGTTATGGGCAGAGCCAGGAGGGAGCCCAAGAACATGATTCCGGAGAAGAGACCCTTGATGGAGGCGGACAGGCCCTTCATGTAGCTGGTGAACTGGTCCAGCGACAGGAGACCGTTAACCATGGATCCATCGTAACCTAGTGAAGCGTCAGTCTCAAACTATTCTTCGTACAGGTACTTGTTTAACATACCATTGGTAGCACTGGTCAACACGACGAAGAAGAGGAGCAAGTAAGTAGCTCGCAGGTTGGAGCGCGTGAACCAGGTCACTTCAGGGAACTCCTTCCCACACACCTTGAAGTGGCCCTTCGTAACCGCGTTGTCAGCCATGGCGATGTATCGAAGTCAATACGATTATCGGTTGCTAGCGACCTGAGGGTGGGAGTGATGTCCATGATATAAACTCTCCTGGTTGATCCAGCCGTCACCTCACCTGCATCCGAGCACGCAGGGAGTTTACCCGTAGGCCGTCTGGCCCCAGCAATGCATGGACCAATCCATTCTAGAAGCTCAAGTCTCTGCTTGACTTGAAGGCCGTCTGGAAAACAGATCGTGAGTTCGGTGTCACTGGGCCGGGGGTGGGCGGACAAGCACAGGGTTCCGAGGGAGGATCATTTGGTTAAAGGCGGATAAATTGCCAGTGGCGCCAACATCAGCGAGTGAATGGTCGAATGTGGCGGCGTCAAACACAGTCCGGAAGCGCGGTGCCACATCAACCATCCTCAAGGATGAGGTTCTGCGCATGCAGCAGATGATGGCCTGCAATAATTCGATGGAAGCTTTCTGAAGTGCCTCAGCGGCTCCCGGGTCAAAGGAATCAGCAAAGTGAAGATGCAGGGGTGCAGATTGCGAACGATGTTTCCAGGCACTGCTTCTCCAGCGACGCGGTGTTTGGGAATCAGCTTAGATGAAAATCAAAGGGCGCAATTTTGGGTGTTTGGTTGTCACTTCGTCTGGCCTGGTGAATCGCTCATTATTGAGGGTGGAACGACCGTGCACGTTATCGAGTTGATAACGGGGATCTGGTCGAGGCTTTTGTAGCCGGCCATGATTCTGCAGCATGGCAGGAGGAACGGCACGATGAGCCGTCTCTACGATGCACATGCGCTCGTGTAACTGCATACAATGCAGTGAGCTGACGACCACTGTTGGGCGTCCTCGTGAGGTCTATCCCACGGTGACTTTGAACTCCATACGAGATCTTCTGATATCTGCAAGGAGTGATGGAAGATGACAGGCAAAGGAATAAGCCCGTGGCGCTAACTCAGTCGTTCGGGGGCGTGAATAAGATCCCCACTTGGCGGGTATAAGCTATCGCTAGCAGGTCAAAAAGAAATCAGCGACCAACACCCCGGCCGGGGCCCCGGATAATTCTCCCCACGCCCACTCCTCTCCCCCAACTTTCAACCTCTAGAAAAAGTTCACTCCATCCACTGGCAAAACTGACAGCTTTGTGGAGGTGGAGGTTGAGGGAAGTCCCGCTCGCTTCCCAAGGTTGCCACCGACTTCACCCGTTCTCGGACTGAGTCCGAGTTCCGCGGCACAGCAGCAACACACTTGGGGCACGACCGCACCGCAAAAGCGGGACTGCTGCACGGCAAATGTCTGAACCAAGAAACCGACCAAGGACAGTCGCTTACGAGATGCCTCGGACTTCAGATGCCTCTACTAGTCATGATTCGCCTAGCTATGCTCCATACCGCACATGCATGCTCCCTACCGAGCCACGTGCAGAGCGACACAAAGCTACATCGAGCACTCCCGTGCAGATGTTGCTAGTAAAACTCACGACATTCAATAGCGGGACAGGTTGGCAATCCAGGCTTTCAGTGCTGCAGAATAGCTATAGCCTATGATAGTGTGTACGGAGTACTTCAACGACTTCGTGACTGAATGCACGCTTAGTCAGCGACAGTACTCCCAGAATAGGAGGCCTTCCTTTCGTGCTCGCTATTACCATGACCAACAAGCTCGACCCAGCATCACAAATTCCCAATCACTACCATGAACCTCAAAGTTCCTTCGCTCTTCTTCTTGCCGGATACCTCGCCAAAGTCATCGCTACCGCTATGTGCGCTCCCACCAACGACGCCCTCATCCAACATCAACGTACTGCTCTTCCAACCCCAGCTCTGACTGAAGTTGAAGCGGTCGGGCGCACTCTCGTAGATACTCAGCACCCTGCCTCCCTTGGACGGGCTGTATATCTTGAAATATGTCTTGATGGTCGGCCGCCGATCAACATACGGAGGTAGTGTCGGCGTGCTACCACGAGACTTCCGTGATCCGTGGCTTACGAGACTCGGATTGGGATATGCTGACGCTGGCTCGTCCTCATGCGAATCGCTGGAGTCTTCATCCGACGCCGAGTACGTATCCACTGAATGTGACTGCCTTGCCGTGGTTACGGGCGAAGCCGAGCGGATGAGATCGGCTGATGACCAACGGGCCGCAGATACATTGTCGCGGTTAAGCCGTGTGTCTCTGGACGCGAAGAGATGGTTTCTCGATCCAGTAGCCACAAGGGTTGCATCTGCCTCGCTGCCGCTGCCACCCTCATCTCCTCCCATTGTCGAGTTTACAGCAAGATTGCGGGCACTGACGACGCGTCGGCCCCTTTCACTGCGAAGAATCATAGCCCTTTCTAGCTGGCCAATCCTCTCGTCGACGGAGCCGGTGTTTTGTTGAGATAAGCCGCTGCCCGGTTGTTCATCCGCTTCGCGCTCCTTCGCACGATGGAGATAGACACCGAGCTGGACATTCTTCGCCGTCCTTACTTTTTGAATGTAAATGTTCCAGAGTGAGCCGGCATAGAACACTGTGCGCGAGTATACTCTCTTCTTCTCCTTCAAGCTACGGGGATTTGGAAATTCTGCAGAGAAGCGGAAGGGGGGAAATTCCGTGAACGCAAACGGCTTCGGCTGTCCAGCGTTACTGCCGCCAGCAGAGATTGGCCTTGATAGAGGGTCGGCCCTCGTATTCGGGTTGGCCATATTCGCTGGTGACGATGCAAAGTCAGTGGCCCATTGCGCGTCCTCGGGCTGAATCGTGGCAGAGAGCCGGTTCGCGTGTCGCTGAAAGGAGTGCGACGTTGTCACAACAGGGTCAGCACCATTTCCGAGGACGATGTTACAGTCAGAGCTGGGAATCCAGAATTTCCGCGGTTTGGCAGTGCCATCCCAGCCTTCGGCCTGAGGGTCGGACTCAGTGTCATCTGAGGATATGGTAGCCTTCTGCTTCTCCTTGAACCTGAGCGGAGGACTGGATGGCTGGGGTGGCGTCTTGCATAATCCAAGCTCCTGTGCCGACTCGTCGGCGTTGAGTACCATTTGCCTGAGCGCGAGTTGTTGCCACAAAGCGTCCGAAATGACTTTCTCAGGTAGCACAGGGAGGCCAAAGATATCACGAACACCTCTGAGGAAGTCCAACTGCTCGTACTCCATATGCATATAATGAATCCCCTCGTCCAGCAGCACCAGGATTGGCTCGATGTCGGGGTCGGTATAGAGACTTACCCAAGGAGCATGGTGATCGGACATGCTCTGACCCAGCGTCATGGAATTTTGGCGATACACTGCGTTGAAGCGTATTGCCATGAGGCGGAGACCATCGGGCGCTTTGGGTATGCTCTTCCCTCGCTCAATCAACCCAGAATGCATTGCCGCTTGCCGAAGCCGCCGGTCTAGCAAACGTTTGGCAAGGACCCATCGATCCCATTCACTATACACGTAGAAGCCATCCGAGGCGACTAGCTCTCGGACCACATCACCGGGCATGCCATCCCAGTATCTCAACGGCATCTCCCATCCGGTCCGGCTGAGCATCGCTTTGGCCGATTCGAGGATGCGATCACCGGAACGGCCGTAATAGTTGTGCGTAACCAGTCTTATAAGCGGCGCAAGACTCCCTGGTGTCATCTGACGCAGGATGGACTCAATCGCGAGATCCACCAGATCCTGTGTCTCGAGCCAACAACCAGTAGCAAACAGGCCGATGGCCTCGCCGTCACACTCGTTGGAGATATCATAACCATATAGTCTCTTGATTGCTAGTTCAAACGACGCCTGCGTTATGTTGTTATCGATCTGATCAGGATATATGGTGATCTCCTTTTGCCGGCTCTCGAGCCAGGGTTCAGAAAGCGCGCTTGTGAAGAACGGAGCGCGGTCAAGCACCAATCGATGGAGGCTGTAGCTCTTTCCGAAAGCATTCACAGTGATGTCTGAATGGCGTCCCTCTAGGAATCCCCGCCTGTACATGTGGTCTGGGAGTGGCATAGCTTCGCTGGACGCTATCCCGTTGTTAGCGGCCAGAACGGACATGGGCATAGGAAAGCGTGCCTCGCAGGTACATTGGCCCAGACGCTTTGCTATATGATGGGGTACCTGCGTTTCCCACTTCCACGTCCGCCGCAAGTACAGCTAGACTCGTGTATTCGAATGGTCCTGGCTCCGTTTCGCGCCGAGCGTCGACGGGAGAGGAGGGGTCGTCTGCATCTTTCTGAGCACTGGAAAGTTGCAAGTCGCGATGCGCGGACGAAGTCATCATGGTCGATATATTCGCAGATGCCCGGGAGTATGCTAAGGGACGAGACGTGAAGAGGGAGACGGGAGAAGAGCTGCTGGGTTCCGCATCGTCGTCTCCTGCAGGCTCGCTCGACGCGCGGTCACTCGGGCCGCGGCCATGTGTAGACCTGCGATGCATCGCGGGAGCATCATTAACTGTATGGGCCGTTGAGGGAGTCGTGTGGCGGAGAAGTGACCGTCTCAAGGGAGACCAGATGATGCGGGGTCGGCCATGTGGTTAGCAGGGTAAGGCCTGTCATGCCGCGGGAGCTCGCAGATCCACCACCGCCAAGACCAAACTCCAAGCGACTTTCAACATCTTCCCAGCTTCGCGGCCTCTCCCTGGCAGCGTCGCCATGGCTTCGTTCTTCCACGCATGTCCTCATTTGAGGACTGCCGCTTCCAAGCTTGTTCACAGGCTAGCCGCGCCCCGGCCATGCTTCAATTTCCCCCTCCGCTCTTCGACCTCGACAACACCGCGGATCTCCGCTTTCCGCCAACCATCTGTTGCGCAGTTCATACGCTTCCAATCCTCTGCCGCGGCAAGTCGCGCGCCTCAAGCTTCCGTCGCGGAAGCAGTCTCCAAGACTAGGGCTCGCGCGTCGAGCTTTCCTAATACGACTGACAAAAGCGTCGCATACTGGCTGCTAGGGAGCGCGGCGAGTGTTTTTGGTATTGTAATATTCGGGGGGCTCACAAGGCTCACGGAGTCAGGGTATGTTTCTCCCATGCCTCAAAATCCTCTACTGACGCTCCCTAGACTCAGTATCACGGAATGGCGACCAGTCACTGGCTCGAGACCTCCGATGAGCCAAGATGATTGGGAATCTGAATTCGCCAAATATCGAGCCTCGCCCGAATTCCAGCTTCTCAACCCCAACATGACCCTTGAAGAGTTCAAGAAGATATACTGGATGGAATGGATTCATCGCCTGTGGGGTCGTGTTATCGGCGTCACTTTTCTCGTGCCTACTATTTACTTCATCGCGCGGAGGAGAGTATCAGCGTCAATGGCCTGGAAACTCTCCGGAATATGCGGGTTGATAGGGTTTCAGGGTTTCCTCGGTTGGTGGATGGTGAAGAGCGGGCTCCGCGACGATCTTTTTGCTCCTGGAAGCCACCCCCGAGTTAGCCAGTACCGCCTGACGGCCCACCTCGGGGCCGCCTTTGGAGTCTATGTCGCCATGTTGCTGTCTGGGTTATCGATTTTGAAAGAGCACAGATTGTTGGCCGATCCCGAAAAAGCCGCAAAAGCTTTGGAGACATTGAAGCATCCCGCACTCCGCGTCTTCAGGGGTTCCGTTCTTGCTCTCGCCCTCCTCGTCTTCACAACCGCCATGTCGGGAGCTCTGGTAGCGGGACTTGACGCCGGTCTGATCTACAACGAGTTCCCATACATGGGTCTTGGTCTTACCCCTCCAAAGAAAGAGCTGTTCGATCCGTTCTACAGCCACGTCCCCGATCAGTCAGATCTCTGGTGGCGCAACATGCTGGAGAACCCTTCCCTCGTCCAACTGGACCATCGCATCCTGGCCACGACCACATTCACTGCCGTGATGGCCCTTTTCGCCTATACGCGGTTTTCCGGTGCCGTCCGTAGCACCATTCCCAGGGACGCAAAGAAAGGGGTAATGGGAATGGTTCACCTCGTCTCTCTACAAGTTGCTCTGGGTATCAGCACGCTCATCTACATGGTACCGACATGGCTGGCCTCTGCCCATCAAGCTGGCGCTCTGGCTCTCCTAACGGGCGCCGTGGTCCTCTACAGCAGGATATCAATGCCAAGGCGAGCAATTCTACGCCAGGTCTTCCGCTCCCCAACGGCTCCGAGCCATGCCAGGACATCGCTTCGCTCACGCCTCGCCGCCGAGCAAAAGCCATAACGCGCGTTCTTGCACACGTTGTATATGTTCCATTCCGCCCTTGCATAGTATCTAGATTCCACGCTCTTCATAGAGTAGACACAAATGTAAGATAAGCCAACTGTACACTAGCTGTAGATATCACTACTTTTTCACAGTTATTTCGAAGCTGTTGGCATCAATTATCTCCCGTTCCCACAGTCGTCGTGGAGAGGGACTAGACTTATTAAGCAACGCTTGGCAGTGATCTGTCACCGCTGATAAGGCTAGCGCTGCGGGACGACCCGTGTTCCCGTTAGTTCCATCTCCAACCCCATCACCAGAATTAGATCTTCCATATGTCCAACTACACGCTCTCCATCGTCACCTACGACCGCGGAAGAGACACCGTCACAGGCAAAATTAAGCCACATCATTGGGCTTTCTTTCTCCATCTCCCAACACCGCTCAAGCCTGGCGAGGGGAGCAGAACAGGCATCGCACATCAGCTTCGCGTCATGCCGGGCGCCTTCTACTATCCTGGTGCAGAAAAAGGCGCCGATCCCGTGACATTGGGCCCAGGACCTGTCGTTCAAGAGCTGGAGGTTGGAGAGGTCGACGAGGCAAGCTTGGAGAGGGTGGAACAGGTCTTGAGGGAAACACCCATCGATAAGAGCGAATCATCTGGGTGGAATTGTCAAAGTTGGACGCTGGAGGGGTTGGAGAGGTTGAGAACAGCGAAACTACTTCATGTCGATTATAGCTATTTAACCAAGGAAGGGGTGAGGGCGTGGTTGAGGGAGCCAGAGTAGAGGGGTATCAATTCCCAGGTCTCGTGTGGCGGCTACGCTCCTTCGCGGTCACCTTTGGCGTCAAAGGCTGATAGCACCAATGCTGGACCAGACGGATGCGGAAACCGTTGAACACAATATGTACGGCCGGCGCCTGGACGTAGCGCTGAAGTGTGCAACAGTAAGCTCATCTACGGTTTTTGATTGGTCTTCCGTTACTGACACCCAGCTACACAATATAGGGCTGCACTTGCCACTCGCGCATGAAGACCTGAATGAATTGGTACCATATCCCCTGTCTTTACTGCACGATCGTACACACCAAATCTCCCATTTCCGAATGCAGCGCCACGAAAGCAAAACGAAGAAACGCCTCCTCAATACTATCGCTCACACCATCCAATGACGTCAAGGAGAAGGCCACTCTAAGCTATGGGCATTGGGTAGCCACTGTACGAAATCTGGGGGCCAATTTCTGGGTAAATGCACGACCACGTGAAACCACCGCAAAACGGCCGCCAGAACATCAGCAGAACATTCCATCGGCCTTACCGCCAATGAGCAGCTCGTGAGATTTCCATGATCGGGGTGTGCGACCGAGTCGATATTAAAAATATTACTACGGGCCCGAGCGCTGCTTATTGCAGTGCGGACCGTGCGCAGCGAATATCCCCGGCCTCAAAGCCCGATCACAACACCGTTGGCCTTTTCTCGTTCGTTATTTGCACTGATTAGAGTCCCAGTTCAGCACTGCCCTGTCTTTCAGCGGAGGCAGCCTTCTTTCTGCCTGGTACCGCGCCGGTCGCATGCATCTACATTCCAATTCCCATACTTCTCCGCTTGCGCCTCGATTACTTCCCTCTAGTGTTACACCACCATCCTTCCTGCACCGTGCACTCCCGGATACGTGTTGGGTCTGTGAACAATGCTGATATGATATGACCAATTCTGCCCGCCGCCTCTTTGAAAGTAACACAGAAAGACTCCTCTCCGTCGGATTGCAAAGGCATCGCATTGAACAGCACTCGGGAATCACAGAATCTAATAACTAGGTATACCGGAGTTTGGTCCTATACTACATACAACTCGGGTCCAACTGCAACTTTGGTCCCTACCCTTGTGGCGAGCGTAAGCGATCGAGCTCACACTTCGAATCCTCCACTGGTCAGCCTGACGCCCGGGGCGCAGCCCGTTTCGCTCGTGTTCTACAAGTACAGGCGCGTGCTCCGAGCTTATACATACCTCTCAGCCCCGCTATCCTAGGCCCTCTTGCTGCTACTTTTTGGGAGGTCTTTACTTTGGTGGCCGTCTGGCCGGGGGGACAACTTCAGATGCACGATTGAGGCTATCGTGTAGGATATCAGGACTTCAGTGCTCGGGAAAGCAAACATGCTCAATGGAGTCGCAGCAGCATTGGAGAAGAGGCGGGAATCCCCAATGGGCGACCGGGGGATGATCGTGAGCGTGGTGTCATGGATTCTGGTTGTTGCCATGGTCTTCACTCTCATCACGAGGTTAACCATGAAGTTTGTGGTGATAAAGAAGGGCAGAAGGTTTGGTTTAGACGATGTCTTCATTGTCCTCGCTGCAGTAAGTTTATTCAGTGTATTATGGGGAATGCCTCTAACAAGCGCAGCTCTTCAGCGTAGGACAGACAGCTGCTGTATCAATGGAGGCTATGCATGCTCTGGGGCAGCATGCTGCAGACCTCACCGTAGAGGAGCTGCGAATTTTCCAGAAGGTATGTCTTCGCATACTTGGTAGCGTCCTTAACTCACCAGTGCAGGCCGAATACGCTGGCTGTATGCTATACATCGCCAACATGGGCTGCGCGAGGATATCCGTCTGCCTACTCATCATGAAAATCCTACCAGGCCGGATTGCAAAGTGCGCTGCACTCGGCTTCGCTATCTTTTCAGGGCTCTGGACCTTTTCCGGAGTCATGGTCACCGTCTTCCCGTGTCCATTTCCTCAACCATGGCACTTCTTAGGCAAGCAGTGCATAGATGTTATCAGCTTCATCAACTATATCGGCATCACAAACATTGTGGTCGAGGTCATTCTGGTCATTATACCCCTTGTTGTCTGGAATATTCGCCTTTCTGCTGGCAGAAGTATCTCTGTTTCTTCCGTGTTCCTGTCACGACTGAGGTATATGCTCTCCCCGTTTGTGCTGGACTCAACTAACAGAATGTCAGCGTCGTTGCAGCGGTAGTTGCTCAACTTGTCTATTTCAATCGGGATGTCGACCCGGCCGACGTCACCTACCACCACTGGAGGACCGCCCTGTGCGTACAAATAGCACAGAACCTCTCGATTATCACGGCCTGCCTACCCTGTCTCCATCCCTTCATCCTTAGTGTCCTCTCCGGGGCCATCAAGCCCGATACACTCCATTTTGAGTGCACGGCGCCCAAGAAGATCAAGCGCTACTTCAAGCGGAGCGACCCCCAATTCAACTCCATGTCTTCACAATCCTCCACTCAACCTATGAAGGAGAAGCAGCCAGCCGAGAATTACTGCCACCCACTTGCCACATACGGACTCGACCGCTCCTCCGCTCACCTAAATTCGCAACACTTCAACCGCTTCCCATCAACGAATACCGTACCCAGACCCCCCAGCTCGGAGAAGCGCGAGGAAAACGTCTTCATGCGCTGCATCGACATACCCGACTCACGCCCGCAATCCCCAGCATCTTTCCCTCCGCCAACCACCACCACCCAGGGTCCCGACCACGACTCACCGTTGCCCAAATCCCTCTGCGACATCGGCGTCATTCCCCTCGCAGAGTGGGAAACAGAAGACAGTAGTCTCAGCGACGGCGGCCAGCCCTCCGAACACAGCAGCGCCTCCAGGCGGCCGCGGCCAAACTCGGACTACGTGTTTAGTAGGGAGAAGGTGATTTCCGTGCCCGAGGCGAACGTCATGTATGAGGAGCGGGGTGAGTGGAAGAGGTATCCGCCGCCGCCGCCATCAAGATCGGGGAATCGATAAATACCTGGGCTGGATGTTTGGCGTTTGAGGGCTCTGTATATTTTGGGTGCTTGGGCATTTGGGATGGAGGGTTTTGTTTAAATGATACCAGATACCAGATAGACGCTGTAATGATTAGACTCATGTACACAGTACGCTTCGTATGCGAACCGCTACCTTCTTCCTTCCACCACCAGTGCTGTCTGCAGCATCGTGAAGTTCACCGATCAGAGGTTCGAAAACCAACATTGGAAGCGAACTTCTCTCACGGGGCCTGTCCACCAATGGTATCGTTTTACGAGCCTCGCCAGCAGGTACCGCGCGCATGGCTGTCACGAAAGACGGACGTTTATACCGTTTTGGGAAGCGATGGGAGTGCTGAGTGAGCGCTGGTTTGGACCCATGTCCCTCTCGTGTTTCGCTTGCTGGCGCGCATGTCAGCGCTAAAAGTGTTCTGGAAGATTGCCTGTTCAAGTTAGCATGGTGCTTGGTTGGATGTCGAGGCTTGTGGTGAAGCCCTGGTCATGATTGACTTAACTGTTCTGTGCATGTGTTTTTTCCTAAGACTGTCATTTGAGTCTTTTCTCTGCGCTGCCCAGGAACTTGAAATTATCAAGATAGCTTTCCATCTGATACACCGAACAGCGCCAATCTGACATGTTCTACGGAGGCTCTCCACAAAAGTAAGGGCCGGTGGTTCGTGCGCGCCGCCACCGAGTCAGCTTCTTCTTGGCAATGCAACTCAGTGAATTAAATTGTAGATATCTTAGCAACCACTACAGATATCTATATAAATCAAAGTGTAGATTCAATCTCCGTCATCTATCTCCCATTCCCCATCAGCTGAAGACCCCTCAGAGCTAGAGTGATAGCCTTCAAAGTCTTCCAATTCACTCAGCGTCATCTCATCTCTGAAGTCTCCAAACACTGGCCGGCCATCTGGCCAATACTCCGAGGAGCTAGATGAGGTGGAGGAGCGTGAGGATGAGCGTGAGGAGGAGTCTTTTCGTGCTCTTTCTCGTGGCTGCCAGCTTGTAGATTTATCTGCTCTTCCTTCCTGGTACTCATTACCCCCCTCAAGCTCTATAATCTTCTGAATATGGTGTGGAATTCTTTCAATCCAGCGCCGGATCCTCCACTGTTCAAGGTTATCCCATGCCTCCTTCCACTCCTGCGCCATCTTAGGAGCTGCGGAGGCTGCTCCTCGAGTAGTAGTCTTCCTCTTAAGCCATGGCCAGCAGGGTTCAATAGCGTTGAGATCTGGTGAATTGCCACACCAGATAAGCCTAGGGACCTCCATCTCCTTAAAGAACTCATCCTGAAACCAATGGGCGTGAGAAGGAGCCTTATCCTCTTGAACAACAATCACAGGCTCTATCTTCTGGCACTCCTGCGCAAATGGAATAAGCTTAGGCTTTAACACCTCACTGTAGTAGCGCCACCAGTCAACTCCTCCCTTCCCCTTACGGGTGAGTTTTCCATGCTTTTCATCCCATTTCCACTCAGGCTTCTTTCCAGGCTTGTTTCTTAGGCCAGCACACCTCATCAGTGTAGTAAGCTCCCACTCCTCCTTCTTCTTTGGCTCCCACTTCATATTCAGCTTCTGAATCTCCTTTTCAGCCTCCTTTTTCAGCTTCTTCATCTCCGTTTGGTAGATATGAAATGGGCCTTTGAAGTCGTAGGAAAAGCAGCCCCAAAACATGAACTCTGAGTAGCCCTTCCACCGTGCCCGAATGCAGCTTTTTTTATATTTTTCAGAGGTCTGGCACCATATACGAACAGAGCCTCTCCATATGCCCATAACTACAGCTGTTTCATCACTCCAAATAACCTTCTTCCAGTCATCTAAGCTCCAGTCTTTGTGCTTCAAAGCCCACTCTAACCTCTCCTTCATCATCTTCTCCGTAAGGCCAGGTTTTCTAGTAGGCTTCACTCTCCGGAAGCCCATAGATCTGAGGTGCCTCCTTACCGTCTCATAGGAAACTAACCATCCTTCATCAGTAAGCTCCCTGGCCAGCTGCTCAGTGCCTTTCTCTCTCCCATATCTATCACGCTGCACTTTCTGAAGTAGTGCCTCCTCAAAGGAGGCACTCCTCTTGCGCGGAGCACCTGCCTTAGGCGCATCCTTCACGTGGTCATCCAGAACTACTGAATTTGGCTGGTACCCATGCTCCTTTGCCCGCGTAATTATCTTCCTTTGAGTCCTCTCCTTCACGCCAGTTATCTCTTCAACTTGCTTGATTGACGTACCAAAAGAACGTAGGGCTATAACCTGAGCCCTAGTTGCAAGATCATAGTATGGGTGTGGAGGTGCCATTGATCGTGCAGGTGCTAGAGAACTGTGAAGGTCCCACGGATAATGGTATGTCCTCTAGGGATCTTGGTTGGTTCTCGGGAATGAACGATAGAGTTCCTTGCACAGTGTGGTTGATATCAAGACGGTAAGTGGTATTCTTCCGAAAAGGATATCAGATTGAAAACCAAGTGTACTAAGAAGTACTGATTGACATTGAACACGAAGAGCTGTAAAAGCTCATCGTCTACTGTTATATATACAAGGTTGCTCTGCTTGATCTCACTGCTCTGTGAGATCATTGAGATCATTGAGAGCATCCTGCATATCCTGCTCTCGCTGCTCTGCTTGCTCTCTGAGATTATGGAGAGCATAGAGAGCACCATGCATGATCACATGACTCCATTGGTCTGTGTTCCTTGGGTGATGCCGAGTGCTCTGTGGTTGCCTTCGCTTGAGTGAGAGCACACCTGGTCAAGTGGGGCTTCATCAGGGTTAGCTCCTGCTGGGTCGTAACAGGAACAGTGAGGTAATTCACAAGAATGCAGAAAGGTATAACTCCAGGGACTACGCCAGGTGAAAATTCAGACACAGATTCATATTTCAGAAGCTTCTTCTCTATAGATTCCTATACAAAATGCCGGATTTCAGCTCACTCTGCATGGTGAGTTGTCATGCCAAGAACCAGCTGAAAGCACCCTGCGGGTGGCGGCGCGCACGAACCACCGGCCCTTACTTTTGTGGAGAGCCTCCATAATCCTATAGGGAATACTAGCACGATCCTGATTGGATGTCTAAGCGAATCTAGCGGTTTGGTCAGGTCTAAAGCAAACTCCAAATGATTGATCGATCAAACCCTTTGCGGCAATCCTACTCGTAACAACCCCCTTCATCTCTGCGATCCTGTAAACTACGTCGAGCTTGTAGCCGCATTCTTCATCTTAGACCTTGTTCCACCCGCTGAGGATGCTTCCACCACTCCTAGCGGATACTTATCGTCGATATAAGCAGGACACCGATGGCATTGCGACATGGCTTGCTACGACAGCCAAGCGATTTGGATTCTCATCTGATCTACTCACGGGTAACTCCAAAATCCCAGCCCAACAGAAGAGTAAACGCTTGAAAGGAAAGGCACGGAAGGAGGCGAAACAGATGAGTAGCAGCGACACTTCGCCGAAACCATCGACATCCGCGCCGAAATACACCATCGCCGTCAAGGACTTCATTACATTGGCAGAATTTCTGGCACCCAAACCAGGTGTAAAAGTTCCCGCACCAGTCTGGGAAACAATAGAAAGGGCAATCAGCCTACGACAACGTCACTACGACTACCATGCTCAGCAGCAAGCCGCCACTAACGGGATTGACGACGGACATGCGTACTTTTTGGGAGTCTTAGAGAAGGTGAGGGATGTTCTCAAACCCCGTCGCCAAACGGGACCTACTCCGCCACAAGGCCAAACCACTCCAAGCAGTGATCCAACGGATGATGTTGAGGTTCACCTCGACAACATGTTCGCAGCTTTGACGGTCGAAGAACCCTCTGAAGCCTTCCTCAATGCGCCGGACATTGCACCCGCCGCCCAGAGCGATGAAGCAACCGCTATGTATACAGTTGAACCTTCCGACGATCCACTTGAACTGTATCTTGCAACTGCTGCTATGCTTCAGGACTGCTCCAGGATCCGAGACGCGATTCGGCATGCGTGGCGGTCATATTCCCAGCGTGCTGTGACTCTCATTGCAGCCGCTATCACCACAGACGTCGGTATCAAGATGATACAAGAGTTGGAGGAGCAGTTCATGAAGGACCATCCGTCCGAGTCTAGTACCGTGGATGCGAGAGGAAAGTTCTTCGCAGTCCAATGCCTTCTTCGAGGTCAAGATCCATCAGCACGTCTTAGACACGACGATCCCGTTAACTTCAGCTTGTATGAACTTGCAGAAACCAGTCTCGTCAGTACACATAGTCTGGTAGACGCTTTCAGAAGGGTCCTCAAAGTCCATGATTTGCCAGTGTACAAGTCCGGGTTTTACGGAGTGTCTGATCCGGCAAAGGATCGAGCGAGCATGACAGGCGGGGAGAAATTCGATGAAGACAAAGTCCTCCTTCTGGAGCTTCTTTCGGACATTGTGTTCTTTCACCACGCTAATCAGGCGGGTCAGCTGAAGGCAACTGACGAGTTTACAAAGGCCGTGGCCCTTCTTAAAACCCAGGATCGTCATACAATGGCATTGGATTTTGCCGCTCAGATCCATTTGGACATACAGCAGTGCCTCAGGGGCCAGTCAGCAGTGGGTGCCGTCGACTTACAGACCTACGTCATGGCCTGTAAAGCATCTCTGAACCTGAACTTCGAGTTCCACGCAAATTACGTGTCGACAACTGGCCGCGACAGAACGACCTTCCTCTGAGGATGATATCGGAAGTCATGGAGCGTTGGCTGCTGGAGGACGCTTATGGTGAACTGAAAGCGAAGAATGTATGTCTCTCTACTAGCTCATATGCACGCTGGAATGCTGACTTCGAAACAGTTGACGAAATTGGGCATAGTAAGACAGATTCCGTGCTCCCCGCTTTTGGTGAATTGTAGCTGACGTTCCATAGCCTTCTGATCAACTGCCACCTTCGCACGCATTCTTCAAAGCTCACCCCTGGCTTTGCGGTTCCCTACTGTTTGGCATGAAGCTCGACATGCAGGAACTGGGTCTCGCTTTCTTGAACGCCTGGGGTTCTGCAAAGTTCGCAGCCCAGATCTACAACGCTGTTAGACAGGAAAAATTTCTCACGAGGTCGTGGCAGGACATGGATCTGGCTATAACGATTCACGGCGATCCTGCGATGTTTGTTGGCGACAGGCCCAAAAATACGGACGACTACTTCCAACGCTTTGCCCTGTCCATGGGCTACTCAGCGCAGAACGTTGCCCAAGGCGGTAAGCGGAAGCATTCACGTCCAATCGTGTCAAATAGGGGTCCGCAGGGTGAACTCAAATCAAAGGACGCAACTCCAATTGCATATGAGCTACGTTTTGGATATTCGAAATTTGAAAGCAAGACGGTGTCGGACCTGGAGAAAGTGTTGGCGAAGGTGCTTGAGATCGACTACGAACTTGATCCAGAGGTCGTCGCTGGCCACAAACGTCATGGAAAGCGACACACAACACAGGAGGCTCTCACAATGATCTGTCAGTCGCTGGCGTCCGAAGATTTGGCATTGACGTTTGATCATTTCCGTCTGCACCGTCAGGCTTGGCGACTTCTTCGCGCCATCAAGGACAAGGTTGCTGATGACCTCCGGCGTATCTACGGGCCTGGGTATCTTGAGACGGAGAATCAACTCCCCTTCGTAGTCGGGTATATCTTCATGACAGCCGTCGAAACGAAGAGGCTCGGCGCACTACTGCTGCCAAAGAGGGAAGACATTGTCAGTTCCAAGCTGCTGATGAAGGCGTCAGAGGCTCTCGAAGGTATGATAGACAGCGGTGCAGGCGGACTGGAGATCAAGATTCTTCGCGAGAAGTACGGCATGGAGATCGAGATTGAAACGGAAGACGCAAACGGAGTGACTATCACTACCGCCATGGCCGGAATGGCTTCCACTTAAGCTCTTCTCTCGGCGCGTGCGGCGGGTACTATCTTCACTGCGAGGTGAAATCAAGGGGGGACACAGCACGATTCTTATGTCTGAAATGGAGGTCGAAATGGAGCCTCCATTTCGGCGAACCGAACAGGCCGTAGACCATCACGCATCCATGAGGCAGCCGCCACCATCCTTATCTAGAAAAGCCGAAACACATAATAAGAAGCAGAGAAACCAGCATCACGTCACGGGGACGCAATGAAGACCTTCCTATCGTGAATCACGTCAGAGTATCACTCATTACCAGTGCCTTCTATCAACCCATTATTCCGCACCTCCATTTCCTCCCACGATCTTCTACATATCTGTCGGCAAAAACAAAGAAAAAAGGAGATTCCATTGTTCTCCCTCGCGCGATCCGACATCTGTGCCGGAAGAAAGAAATAAACGGATGCATGTCGGCTTCCCCATGATGTTCCTTTCCGATTTACGTCTTTGTGGGATGTTCCAATGAACCAGGGCCCGTATGGCAGATCCATCTGGTTTTCCTGTCGCCAGCCTTTTAACTCTTCCCGATTGTCAGGACAGCGTATGGTTCTGGCACCTTTAGCTCCTCGCGGATCTCGGCCTCATCGACGGCGAAAGCGCAATTCCTGTTCCTGCTCTCGAAATCCTGATGTTCGTCGATGGCGAAATCCAATAAGAGCCATGCCATAAGCACTCATAGCACCCGTCCTTCCCAGCCATCATATCACCGCCTGTCCCCCTCCCATCCCTTCACCCACCATTCCTAGCCCTATAAGCCTCCAACCTCTCCCTCGCCCCCACCCTCGGCTCCTCCCCATCCAACACGGGAGCCCAATCAAGAAACTCCCCCGCCCCCTCATGAAACTGCCCGTAAAAGATCTCCAGCGGAATATTCCCCGGCAGATCCATCTCATCCCGATGCTCCTTATAACACTTGAACTTACACCCCAACCTGTACTGACAAGGCCACAACTGCCCAACCTTGTTCTCCCAGAACTTACACACAATCTTCTTGGCGTCGTGCTCGAACTCGCACCCCTGGATGCGGCAGCTCCGCCCATAGTGACACAGCGTCTTGGCCTTGTCTTTCGGCTTCCGCAGGTGCGATGCCGGCGGCTCCGGGGAGGATCCCGCTACTGGAGATGCAAAGTCCCAGTTAAGACTCTGGTCGTCGTCGGAGGAGGAGGAGGAGGAGCCGTCGAGGTCGGGGGTTGGTACGCGATCCCAGGCGTGCTCCTTCCAGCATTTGTACGGGCAGTTTTGTCTGTCCGGGCACGCTTTGGGGTCTTTCGCGTCGTAGTATTTGCATACTATGCTGTTGAGGTTGTGCTCGTACCAGCAGTCGTCTCCGTAGGGGCATTCGGTGCCGTTCAGAGCGTGCTTGCAGGCTCCTAGCTTCTGGCGCTTTTCGATGGGCTTTCGAAGCTCGGTAGGCTCTGATATAGGGTTCTGCGAGGGGGTGGGAAGGTCTGGGGAGTCCCGCGGCTCAGGCGCCAATGTTGCGCCGGGGTTTCCATTGATTGGAGTAGAGACATTAGGCTCCTCGATAGAAGGGAGGACTTCAGGCGTGTCGAGTACGGCGGGAATATAACTTTGGGTGTGGATAGCTTGGGTTGACTCCAAGTTGTTAACAGAAACTCGCTCAAACCTCACTTGAGGCAATGCCGCCGATCTATTACGAAAATCCAATGACTCCGCGGATCCATCATCCGTGTCTGACTGCTCCTGGCGACTCTCATCATCCGTATCTGGAAGTGGAACCTCGTGAGCGCTCGCCGCGGGCATGGGTTTGGAGTTCGACAGCCTGGCGCTGTGGCTCTGCAAAGCCATACGCGGTTTTCCTTCTGCAACTTCAGCTGTCTCGTCTTCAGTGGCTTCATCTTCAGATGTCCTGATTTTATCATACTCTTCAGAGGGCCCAAGGCCCCAGCGTCCGGCATTCAGCGAAGTGGCACGTTTGCTCGCACCCCGAATATGCAGGTTGCGCTCAGCTTCATTCTGCTCCTCATCTTCCGTCACTTGGTCCTCTCCATCATCGTTAGATGCGAATAAGGACTCGAGCCTGGAGGATTTCTTTCCGTGCTCCTGAATTCTCTTCCACGACTTCTCCACGCCCGTTTCCCGCTTTCCCTCCTCCTTTTCCTTCCTAATCGTTCCAACTCCACGTATGGATCTGCCTGCCCTAAGAGAGTGTTGCTTAGTATTGACGCTCCTGAATCCCCTCGGAGCTGAGGCATATCGCCCATATGGCGTAGCACGATGGCTCTGATAAGCACCTTTAGCCCGGCGTGAGCCATCATTCTGCGATTCCTCCTGGCGGGGCTTGTCGAATGTGATGCGATTCACAAGCGCCTTTGGATCCCTGGAGACCTGGGCCGACGGATTTAACGCTGCACGAAGAGGCTTCGATCGAGACTCGACGCTGGCGTGTCTGTACGGCTCCAGAGGCCGTCCGTTCCGAGTAGAGCGGCTTATAAGATCCCCCTTGGGCTGGTCTCGGCCTTCGAACCCCGAAACTAAGTCTTCTTGTATCCTAGGAGGGCTGGAAGGAGGTTCCGGTCGCTTGAACGGAGGTGTAAGAGGAACGTTTCGGCTCGGATTCTGAACACCAACGTCTACCGCCTCACGCGCGCTTGCTAGCTGCTTCAGGCGTTCCGCAAGTTCGGCGGAACTGATGAATCGACGAGTTGAGCTTCCAGTCGGTTTTGGTACGGTATCGGTCTCCTCCAAAGGAGGAGTTGTCTTCGTCGTTTCCGGCGGTTGGTGCTGACCCTGTTCTGCGGGTCTCTCAGCGACAGTGCCGTTGGGTGGGGGAAGGGTATCCAGGTGGGTAATCGGCTTCCCTACTTCCTCCGTGACTGGGTCCTGGAGTGAGGCGGTGGTGGGCGCCGGATTAGGCGCTGTGGTCTGCAGAGTTGTAGATGTCGCTTCCAATTGAGCAGGCTCTGATTGATGGATAGCGCCGACATGGCCCTTGGGCAGGCCTGGTGGGGTGAAGGAGAGCATAGGCTGCGCTGCAGCCGGAAAGATAGGCCCTTTCCAGGCTGGGTTGGCGGGGGCCGGCGCAGCCAAGCTCAAGGTAGGTGTGGAGAATGGAGGATAGAAGGACGTCAGTGATGGGCCCAGCGGAGTTTGGAAGGGTGCCGGCGAGGGCATTGTAAGAGCTGGCTTAGCCAGGCTCATGGCTGGTGCGGAGAAAGAGGAGGTTATGGAGGTAACCGATGACCCGAGCCAAGACTGCGACGATCCGAATGAGCTTTCCGCTGAAGAGGTGGAATCTCCAAAGCTGTTTGGCTGGTTGAGGGTTACAGGCGTAAGAGCCGTGCTGCTCATCGGCTCCACCTGCTTGACGTCGACAGCCTTTGCTGGAGCTGGTGTAGATGGTGTAGGCGGGAGGACCACTGGGGGGAGTGGTTCGTCTTCCGCTGGGGATGGCTCCGCACACAGTTTCCGCAGTTCAAACAACTGGAGTGTTTGACCGATTGACTCCACCTGGGTAGTGAGGTCTGAGATGAGCGGATCGAGCTGGGCGTCGCCGACAGCTGATTGCAGAACTGTGTACAGATGCTCGAAGCTCTGAGAGTTCCAACCAGTGCTGAGCACCTCCTCAGGAAGGGCAATATCCTTCAGTACCAGCAAGGCCCAAGTGCCAAATTCGAGAAACTCATTCTTGAGTAACTGCACGTCGTCTCGCTGGTTCAGCCACTCAATGGTTACTTGTGGCAATCCTGATGAGAGCTGGGGCCAGAGCTCCTTGAGCCGGTTTAGAAAGTAGTACTTCGGTGGGAGATTGGGGATCTTCGAGGGATGGGTACCGATGATGATGTGGTGTCGGATGAGGCGATCGATCTGTCTGGCTTCATTCTCTTCCCTTCGCTTCTCTTCCTCTGCCTTCCGCTTCTCTTCCTCTGCCTTCTGCTTCTCTTCCTCTGCCCTTCGCTTCTCTTCCTCCTCCCTACGGCGCGCTTCGGCTTCCTTCGCGGCTTTGGCCTCTCCTTCAGCCTTCTGCCTTTGGATCTCAGCGGCTTCAGCGTCCGCTTTGGCCTTCTGCCTCCGCCGTTCAGCCGCTTCCCCTTCCTGCCGCTTTCTCAAGATCTGCTGCTGTCGCTCCCGTTCCTGCGCCGCCTCACGCTCAGCAGCTTCACGACGCAGCCGTTCCTCGCGGGCAATCCGAGCCTGCTCGGCAACGCGGGCCTGTTCGGCTGCAGCTTCTTCATCCCTCCTCCGCTTCTCTTCAGCAGCTTGAGCTGCAGCGACCGCCTCTCTCTTGCCCCTCTCCTGTTCCTCCTTCTAGTCGCGCTTCTGCAAGAACTTGATGAGGAGATCCCACCTCTCACGTTCCGCTTTGCGGCAACGCTCCCTCTCCTTCCGCTCTCTGGCGTACTTTTCACCCATCATGCGATCGAACCGCGCCCACATTTCTGCGTCCTCGTAGCGGGGCTCTGGGAAGGGTCTTGGGAACTTGTCACTCTGCAGGATCATGCGCTTAAAGAACTTGGTGAACTTGAACATAGGTTAGAACTTATATAGCGTTGAGACTGGGCGTTGACGACTCACAGGAACCTTAGGTCCAGGGCGGAAGGCCTTGGTCTTCACCACGTCCGCGTCAGGCTGGGTCACGATGACTGCGCGATCAACATCGATCCGGCGCCGCTTGTTCATCGACGGTGATGCCGGGGAAGCAGCGGTAGAAGGCAAACCAATGGCGGTACGCGTGTCGCTACCTGGGATGTTTGTTTGGAGATGGTTAACGCGGTACTATGTGAGCAGTCCCCTTCAACCTACCTTGGACTGAGCCAAGGTGTCGTGGAAACTCTGCTCCTCTCCAGAATCAGGTCGTCGTCGCTTGCTCCCTCTCATGGCGGATGACGGCGTCATATTCGCGAATGAAGAGGACTCCATCGTGGTGGTGCTGGTGTGAGCGCAATCGTAAGCCGTGTGGACGCAGTCTGCGAGTGCGGGGTTGTGGGAGGAAGGAGGAAGGAGGAAGAATTGAAAGGCATGAGGCAAGGCTTTTTACGTCTGTGGGTGGCGAGTGAAGAGGGCCCTGGCTGAGGTGGTGAAGGTGAAGAAGGGGAGTGAAAGGGGCACAAAACTGAGGGGCGCCAATCAGGAGACAATGTTGAAAATTTCGGACCCACCAGCGCTGTTTCCTGACGGCGGTGAAAGCCTTCGAGAGAAAATGTGCTCCGATAAAAATGCAGTGGTGACGTGCGGTTGCACTTGGCCTCTTTTCGGAGATAGTGGATGTGAACCAAAAACCTCCCCGTGGTATAGGATGACCGTGGATGACCAAGGCCTTACAAGGGGCAAACTGCTGTAAACAAATTTTAAGATCGGAGAGGCTGTGGTATGTCAATTCCCAACGTGCAGTAAGCCGTCCGATTAACTTGGGCAGTCAATTTGCGGTAATGAAAGTGGCTCAGGCACAGATAGATTCGGAGAAAGATAATTGACTGGAGGAAGGGAAACCGCTTAATTTCTCCGAAAGAACAAAAGATGTAGTGACATTACAGAAAAGAAATTCCATGATATGTTGGATACTGCCCACCCCTCTGAGGGCTGTGTGTTCAAGACTGGAATCATATGGATGGCCGTAACGCGAATGGATTCGAACAGCTCGTAAACGTGAGATATTCGATGAATCGTCTGTACGCAAGATCGTCCGATAGTCATACCATCATACTCAAAGCGCCTCAAAAGAATACTTCCTTGTACTGCACTCTCCTAACAAATTCCGGCGGCACCACAGTCAACGTCAAAACGGCTCCTATGATGAAACTCAGCAGAGCAACCAAGGCCAGCTGAACCGGCGAGACGGCATTCGATCTTCTCGGTGCGGTGGGCGCAGCTTGTCCGACAAACTTCTTCAGCGGCGCCACATTGTGCTGCTGGGCGAATTCGTATCCCCTCTTCATACCAGGCAGGCCGTCTACGCTCAGCTGACTCTTCAACGCCCAATACCTGCGATACCGTCAACGCGATTCAGCTCCAATGGCGAAGATGAGATTTCGTGAATTGAATAAACGCAACCCACCTATCCATACTCTCAGACTCCTTCCCCGCCTTGAAGGCCTTTTCCTTCTTCTCGAAGAAGTCATCCAACACCGTCCGGAACCCTTTGAAATCGTAGAAGGGCACCGCGTATCCGCAGCTAGTAGCCACCTGATCAATGTCCACGAGAATGATACTCCTCGAATGAGGTAACAGTTTGACCTCGTTCTTCTTCACAAACTCATTGAATTCTGGGGTTCCAAATTCGAGTGCCCGCCCCTTGCCCCAAATGCGGAGAATGCGCGGCGGGCCCTCAAAGGCCATGAACATGACGCATATGCGGCCGTTACCGGGTTCGTGTAGGTGAGCCGTCGTTTCTATGCCGGATCCCGAGAGGTCCATGAACCAAAACTGGCGCGGGGAGGTGATGCCAAAGTGCTGGCCACCTTTCGGGGAGACGTTGATGTGTCCGGACGGGGAGAGAGGGGCGGTGGCTACCAAGAGCATTTTCTGGTCGAGAATCCATGGTCTGAGGGAGTCTGGAATGGTCTCGTAGTAGACTCCCATCTTGAGGAATGTAGCGACCTTTTAGCCTTGCGAATGTGGATTTGTTATATACTGTCGTTAATCAGAGTGAAGGGAAGACACGACCGACAGGACGTTGGAAAAGAGTCTCAGCACGTTATTTAGAGAACTGCAAGCAACTGTCAAAGAGAAAATTCCGATCAAAGGCGTATGAGGCTTAAGGGAGGTTGAAGGGCGGGGCGGCCGCGGATGATTAGCGGGGATGATGGAGACGGCTCCGTGGCCATTCCCTTTTTGGAATAAGACGGCATTCAAAAGGCGATGGGCACCATTGCCCTAGTCCTGGTGTTTGAGAAACTTTTAGGAAGCATGCGCAGAAATGACTGCGTTGTTCATCTTGGAGGCCCTCTTATTGGATGTGATCTAACTACAAACACAAGTTCCTTAAGTGTACATATATATTCCTAAGTGGGTATCCCGACGTTCGAAGCGTACAAACCGTTGAAATCCCAGGAAATATAACAATTGTCATTACACATCAGTCGCATATCCGTGCACAATCCCAATTGAAAGTCTTGCCTTTTACCGTCCATCAAAGCCCAAAATCGCCAAAAGAGGTCCGTTCCGGCTCCCAGTGAAATATCCCAATCACTTTGCCGCCAACCGTCGGGCATCGCTCCGAGACAGGGGTTTCCATCCCGCAAACCAACCAGGTGCTAGCAATCCATAGTGCCTACTCCGTTCGTATTTCGTATCTACAGAACACCGCGGTGGACTATTATGAAAGATGACTCATCAATAATAAGGCCCCGTGCCGACCTCTCCTGGGAACGAGACCCAAAAGTCCTGCGCACTCATCATCAGCGCTTCCATATCCGAATTCGTAAAATCAAAATTCAAGTCAAAAGTTTGGTCGATGTCAAGCGCAGGGGAGAGGGCGCTATTGCCGTTCGCCGAAGCTGTAGACTGGTTCTGAGGCGTAGACAGAGGCGGAGACATCAAGAGTGGAGAAGAGACTGCGGTCGGTTGCTATTGTTTGTCAGTCAATGTGTGCAGAAAGGTATAGTCAGCGTACCTCGTGGATCACAGCTGGCCGCGCAACGTAGGCATCTGAAGGCCTAGCGAATTCACCAGGTCGTTGCACTGGTGAAGGCTGAAGGGCGCCGTAATCAATCATCGCACGGCGGAGCGCTTGTCTCTCATCAGAGGATACGGGACTTGCATGCCCCACTGCTGATCGATAGTAGGCCTGCATGCGTTTGATGGTCTCATACTAGAATATTGGTTAGATGCCGTTAAGCTATGGTGGATCATAAGCCTACCCATGTCGTGGCCATAGGCCATTGGGTCTGCATGTCTTTGAGAAACGTGCAACCCTTGATGACACGATCTCGCGCCTTCTCAGCGATTTTAGGGTCGTCATCGACGCTAGGAAAGTGGTGGGTATAGAGCATGACGCCGACAGCGGTGTATATGGTGAATCCAATCCAAGGTACCAGGCCACGAAGAAAGTATACGCCGAACGAGCGCATTTCATCTAGCATCTCCAAAACAGTCGTGGATTCTCTGAACAGCTCTCTTCTAGACATTATTTGCCAATTCTTCCACGTATCCTTCAGTTCGGTAAACGATTTCGGAGTGTCGTCCACGCCAGTATGCGGACCCAGAACAGGCAGGTAAGCGCGGTACAGAAACATATAACTCATGAAGTAGATACTGTGCATATAGCAATATGCCTGTCCTTGGTCCATGGCATTGTGGGATTGTAGGGTAAACGGATCATATTGGAGGCGATCAGGAAGGGACTTCTTCCACTCCGCCAGATCGTGGAACAGCCTTTGAAACTCGGAAGTGTCCACCCAGGGTAATTCAGAGTTGACAACCTCAGAGCATGCCCAACGCGCTACCCTTCCCCATATGTTCGCGACGCGCATGCTGTAAGCAATGATACCGAGTGCCCCAGTTGGTTGAGGGTATTGCGATGGTGCGACTAAGCGGCCGTCTAGTCGTTCAGTGATCACGGGCGTGCCAAAGATGAAGGCGTCCCTTTCGCAGGGAAGCTGTATCGCCATATCCTCAGCCGCCAATGAACGCTTACGGCCCTTCCCTCCACTGAGCAAGGAGTCCATTAGGAAGCATGTCCACGCGGTTCGTCGGCGCACCTCGGCATCAATGAACTCTTCTCGAGTGGGAGGCCTATTCACGGGCCATTTAGGCTCTTGACAAAGGTCCATAGTCTGCACGAGCCGTATAGCAATCCCAAGATATATCCACGCTCTCTGACCGTTTCCTGCTCCCCAGTCGTGTCCCGTCAGCATCAATAGCGCCTGCACTCTGCTCACAGTGGGAGTTACGAACTCAGGCTGTAGCAATTGGCGGGCGTACGCGGCAAATGCGTTGCTGGCTTCGGTCTGGCTCTTGAAGGGGGAAGGAGTATCCTTGACAAACCTGCGGATTGATCAGCATTACGGCAGCCTGCACTAACCGCCACCCATCCATACCGAATCGCTAACGCAAGGATCGCCCATGCCATCCATGGTTCCAGTGTACGGTCGCGAATGTGCTTCAACAGCGTTGGCGTGTGGTGGAAGCTCCATTTGTATGCGCAGCGAAGATAACTGTTTATGACATCGTCAGTGAGGAGGTCGAAGGGATCCACTCCATCGAGAAGAGCAGTGGTGCTTTGTGGACTGCGGGCGGCTGTTTCTGCGCGGTGAGATGAGTGAGTAGAGTTAGACGGCGGAGTCAGCCCGGATGTAGAGTCCTCTACCCGTGGACGCTTTGGCTTGCGGTGGATGGCCGATGTGCCTGGAGGAGGGAATTCGCAGGATTGCTCACGACCGGTAGCCTTGCAACGGTCGCAAGGTGGTCTGCCGTCATTGTGAATACATCTTTGCTTTGCCGATCTGCACGCAACGCATGCAACGGGATTCCGAGTCATTGCATGCGGAGAAACAACGAGACATCAGGGCGGCATTGTGATTGACATTTTCTAAGAGCGGTCGTCGTTCGAAGAGCCTCACGATCCGGTCCCCGCACGCGGGAGCTAGTGCTAGCCCCCACGCCAAGGCGCCATGTCCGGCCTGGGGGTCTTGCAGGCGATCAGTGGATCCCTTGTTCACACTTGCTCCCTATACATAGATGGCCTCAACCACTCGAATGCCGCATTCGAAACATCTCTTGTTCGTTTCAGAGAGGAATCAGAACGGCGATGGAGGCTTGATGACTGGGTCTGGAGACAACGAGAAGAGATTGGGATGAGAATACACAAGGCGAGCAGGGCAAGCGGAACATGGAATGCCATATCAGACTGAAAGGCGTCGTGACGATGCGGACGCTGTGACTGATAACGTGACGGTGCAGCTTACGCTGCTGGAGCGTTTAATGGAATGAAAACCCAGGAAGGAGTTCACCGCCTTTCAGTCCCTCTGACAATCCTTCAGCCCAATCCTACAATTGCGCCTCCTACTGTGTAGTCTCTGCAACCATGACGCTGGGTAAACAGCAGCTGAAGGACTTTTGAATTATAGAGCTTGAAATAGCAGCAGAAGACCATTGGCAACATCAAAGTACCACTGTGTGAGTTCAGTTGCCTGGACTTGCCAGTGAATGTACGATGTGAGCGAGCTCAATGCGACGTACCTAACCACGCGGGAGACAGAAAAGGCTTTGTTTCGACCTCAGTCTATCCTTCTTCACTGATATCCAACAGATATTTCAGTGCATACGGTCAAGAGTGCTGTATACGCCAGTGTCTTCAATTATCTTAGCCAAGCTGTGGCATTTTGGAAGGAGGTTTAAGCTTAAGATCTTTGACTATAACTTAGCGCAACGTTTGCTATCACGTGGGGTGCGTCGTCTACGGCTCTCGGTGAAGTGAAAGATGTGCTCCCCGTCGCATTTCGCTCAATTACTTTACCCCACTCCCCACTTTCCTCTTCCCCCACAACCTTCTCTATCCTCAGCCAGAGACGCACATTCACGTCCATGGTCGGTTCCAACTTCGCTATCGCGCTCGTTTTCTGGTAGACCGACATATCCCTGTTTACGAATACCCTCCAGGCCTAACTGTCCAAAAATACTAGGCGGGAAAATGGCCTCCCACAACGATACAATGAGCAAGTCGGCGACTTTCACAAACCTTACTCCACCTACCCCCGTTTCTTCCACCTACGGGGAATCTCCTTTGGACGCTACCGAGTCTTCAATCCCTACCGCAGGCTCAACCTACATCATCGTTTCCGCCACCAGCGGTCATGCGATCACCTTTCGCGGCGGGGTCATCATCCTTGAGCGTATTGGGGGACCAGGGAACATTCGCTGGGAGTGCGTCGAGACGAACGGCTGGTTGGGCTTTCGTGATCCTGCATCGGCCCTGTACTTCGGGCGCTGTAATCAATCCACTGTTCACTGCAAGGCGCCGCATCACAAGGGCTGGGAGTTCTATTGTGTCCGTCATACTTCCAGGAATGGCGGGGGGTATGTGTTGCTTCAGCCGGATTGGTGGACACTGAGGCCAGTAGTGGTAAGAGGGGGAGTACCAGAAGTGTTAAGAGGGGGTTCACCGAAGCAGTGGCTCGCTCTCGCTGATGGTGGAAGTGGGAGTGAGATTGGGGAAGTGTGGAAGTTCATTAAGGTGTGATCTGGCGGCTTGCATGAGAGCGCTCCAAACAGTGAAGGCCCTTAAAGACGGAGGAAATTATATGCGTTATCACGCTATACGCTTCACTGCGCCATGGGACAGAGAATTTCAACGATTAACCTGTTTCTAGGGTGTTTGAGGTATCACAGCGATCGCGACCTGGGTACAAGGCCTAAATGTACTAATGATTGCTATTGCTGGGTATACGGAGCCTAAATCAAATCATGGGTATCTGTGCCACACCTCCAATATTTTTCCTCCCTCACGTGTGCTACTAATCTCAACATGACACCACCGTCACCTCGGTCGTGCAAAAAATCCCCCTCTCCCCAGGCCCAGGTGCAGGTACCGGCCCAGTCCCCACACCAATTACCGTCCCACCAGAGACACCCATGGCAGGCCCCGGTCCCATACCCTGACCGTCCACGTCCTCTATTTGGAGTATAGCGTCGCTGCTTGCATTCGAGCCCATACCGGAGCCACTGCTCGGAGACCCATTCCCCCCTCTCTTCTTTTCTGCCCCCATTCCAGAGACAGTGACGTTGTACATTGGCTCCAACTCCACACCGTCGACTGTGTACCCGTTATTCGAATTTCCCCTACTTCCGTCGTGTATGATGTCGTTCTTCGGAATGAATCTCGACATGCGGACTGGATTACTTTCAAACTGATACGAGTCACGTCTTGCGTCTCTATGATGAAGGTATCCGGATGAGAATTGGCGCTTGTAGCCAATGTGGGCTGGAGTGCCGCCGGTGCGTGTGCGATTGCCTGATGCAACTCCTGATGCGAAGGTTCTGGCGGTGTCGAGAAGCCAGCGGAAAGCGGGTTTGAGGGAAGGGAGGGTTGCGGCGAGGATGGCGACGTTCATTTCAATCCTGTACTGTCAGTACAAGGCCTAGAAGGCGACCGAGTGGCAACAGAGAGAAATAGGTAAGATGAAACGGAATAATAAGCTTAAAGGTACGTACATTTGCCAGGCGTAATACCAGGAGCGATTACCGGTGGAATCGAAGTCGTCGAAGAAATGGAAGAGGAGAGGAGTTTTGACGATCCCGGCTGCGCATGCACTGCAGAAGATTCCTGTTAGCAGAGATGTCCGCTGTTATCAGATTTCGAGAGGTCTTACACGAAACCCAGCCCCAAGATCAATACTAGCGAGATTTTGGTCCGCTTGTTTACCTGCAGCCTCCAGACTAAAGGCACAGGCATAAGCGCAAGCACAATGTCTGTGACAATGTTGATGACTTTATATCGTCAGAAGGCACTTCTTTAAGTGGATACGTATTCCTTACCGCTATTTGTAACCGCAATGTTCCGATATGTCGTGATCTCCATGCATTTCGCGTTCCCAGTTCCGATAGGCGGAGGCCGTAATGTGAAGTCCCAGTTTGCCGCTATCGGCACGCAGCCGAAGATGAGGGAGAAGAATGTGAAGAGCATGAATGCCACCAGAAAGCCTATAGCAGGATTAGTGTAAACTTCACTTAGGTCAGTTGGGCGAGAATTCAGTCTGTACTTACCGATGATGAACCAGCAGAATCGGCCATAGCGGGTCCCGCGCGTCAGTGAGAGGAGAAAGAACGCTATTGACAGCTTGACAAAGCACAATGCCATAGGTATGAGGACGGAGACGATAAATATCCACATCAGCAACGGCTGTATGTTCTCTGCCGGTATTGCGAAAATGTGTTTTCCCATCCCTAAGCTAACCACTTGGAGGAAGAAACTGCACCCAAGGATGCTGAGCATCATCGCAACGAGAATGAAGTAATCGTCTAAGCGCAGAAGACGGAGGACAAACACTCGAATGTAGACGCGGCCAACAATTGCGACTAAGGCGACTAGCATCGTCGCCAGCGTGATGGATGTGAGCTGGCGCTGGATTGACCAACTGTAGTATTCGGGATCTGTAGGCCTCCCTATCGAGCCCTGCCTCTTGATAATTCCCATGGCCGGAGGCGTCCCGCGCTCGCCAGCCTCACAAACCGGGACAACGCGGATGTGGTAGTGACGAGGGCTTCTGCTACGTGACGGTAAGTCGGTGAAGATTGGCCACTGAACGGGGTGCTTTCGTTTCCGGATGTTGTTAATAGAGTGCCGATATTTCCATCGTCCGAGGGCGGATTCTGAGCGATCTCTGTTTTCGTTTCAGATGTGTCGGTAAGCTTGGTGGGGAGGACAAGTTTGCGATGCAGTGTGGTGTCTCCTATTCAAGTCGGTCCTGTCAAGCTGTACAGAAAATGGTTTTGCAACACATGACGCTTCATGCCTTTTGCGGGTCTCGTCTTATTGGAACTTATTATCAGGGTCGGATGAAACTTGTTAAAGGTCATAAAGACGCTGTACACTCGCCGCAATAAAGTCGTACCATGGTATCTCCTCATTGGTTGGGCTTCGCATGGATATCTGTGTATCCCGTCTGTCGAGATGAATGACCGGGATGTTTGTATTACTACACGAGTGGCGGTTGGCATTGCCGACCGAAGTTCAAGGAAGTCCAGAATTGCGGAGATGGCGCTTTTTCTTGCGCTGGAACCCTCCAAACTCATGCTCGTTTGCATGACAGCACATGGACCTACGCTGAGCCGTTCAACCTCTCAAGTCTCGCATGCCTCTTTCAAACAGTTGCTTCGGGCGATTTCCAACTGACCCGACCTGATATGGAGCTGTTTTGGCGCGGACCTGAGCGCTCCGCGCATGAGATGGAGGGTGGGGCACTGTAACTACACTTAATACCGCGCGGTAGTTCAAACCACCTACGGCGGTTCAGGTTCGTAAATTGGCGATCATAGAGAAGAAGAATATGCGCTTTGCATTCGACATCTCTCCTGCGTCGGAGCATTTAGCCGGCTACTCTGAATGTGAGGGGCTGGCGGAAGACGCTGCCGTAGGCTGAATGATTACCGACCAATAGAACGGCAGATTTGCATGCCATCCCCGTCTCGGAAGCTTGAGAGATTTGCCAGGGGTATTATTTAGTTTTTCTGGACTTGCGGGGTGCATAGACGCAGGCGATATAGGATCGACTCATATACCATTAAACCGTCAGTTTAATGTCCCTATGCTTCGAGAATTCACGTCCTTTTTACCTCGCACCCGGTGGAAGGTAGGAGTCGTCCAGATCGCTGTGCCGGGGTTGGCGTTCGCACAGGGGGTGAAGTTCCGATGGCACATTAGCTGGGCCGCAGGACTAATAACGGAAGGACTACCTTATCCATGTTGTACACCGGATGTGCACCATATCGTCCTGGTTAGTATTGTACATATGGAGGTACCTTCTGGCTCCTGCAACGTAGCCTCCTTCAAAGGGTCCATCCGGACATGGTTAATGGAGCAAGGGAGAACTTCGTCCATGACCAAGGTCTAGCACCTTTCCCGTGAGGATGCGGTCACTGAAAACGGGAAAGTGGGAAACATTCGCTCAGAGGTCGTTTCAACAGTTGTTGTCCTATTCGAGCAGCATGTGACAAGTGACACGAGGAGTCACTTGGCCTTGTAGGATGGAGGGTTAAGGACCTCAATATTCTTTTGGTTGAATCGACATTCAGAGCGAGACAATCTAGCGTTCGCTGTGCGAGTTGATTCGAATGCCTCAGTCTATCCAGCCGTCACATCAATGTATAATGATATGCGCAGGCTCAACGGTTCAGTGATTGCGATACCTGCCACGCTCAGGGTCGGTTCTTGACTGAACTTTCATAAAGTCCAGCCGGAAGAGTGGTAAAGAGGGGGGCACTTTCTCGTCACCACCATAGGCTGACGGCGAGCATAGTCTGATAGCAAGGAGAGCTCGTCGCTGGAGAGGTCATGAGCCTGACTGTGAAAGCAGCTCCGAAATTATTCCCAGGTTACAATTGTATTGCTACCCTTCTGTCGAGGTACTCTGCTTTTCTCCGCTGTCATCTTCCTCACGAGGTGAGCACGCAGGAATGCTGACAGCTTGCTGATTAGTATTCTTTTGCTTTCCTCTTCACACCTACAAAGAAATTCCAAAGAGAATGCTCCTGTGTGGGTGGTTAAAATGCGAAGTGAGGCACGGCTCGTGTTGCTGACGTGGGGTAGCGCAATCAGATCCGAAATCGCAGATGCATTGAAGTTCTCCTTCCCAGGGCAACAGACGGGCCGATAGTTCGACTTCAGATCTTAATGCAGTGCCTTTGGAAGATGTGAATTCGTGTAGGGCACAAAAGCGATGGAGTGAGGTCAGATTTAACTCAAGAAGGCGGAGAGTTTCCGCACGTGCTACCCCACAGGTTAAGCCAGTTTCGGCCAAGCGCCAGGGTCCCAAACAGTGTCCCCCGATGTTGAAAGACCGAGGGTCGTGCTTATTTCCACTTCATAGGGATGCCCCGATACCCACTCCTGTATAGACCACCGTCTTTCACAATCTTTATCCTTATTATGCCTCCGAAAACGCAGCGTACCCGTGCCTGTACACAATGCCGGGAACGCCGGGTTAAGGTACACTCCACCCAATGACTAGTCTCGCCTTAACGACTGCATATTGATCTATATCGCGTTTTAGTGCGATCTTGGAGCCCCGTCCTGTGCGCGATGCACGCGTCTAGGCTTGGGATGCTCTGGACCTCTCACCTTGCCAATCATCGATATGACCGACAGAGTGACAAAGCCGCGTCAACGGAGGAAGAAAGAAACAACACTTAAACAGGAAAACAAAATCGCACCAGCTAAACTTCAAGCCCTACCCGACATCTCGGCTCAAAAGGACCAAGATTGCGCAACAGATCGGAAGGACAGCCTAATGTCAACGCCAAGGTCGTCTGACCCAAATGACGTCGGTTCACCAGGCAAAGATGTAATCCTCAGAATCAGATCCCAGTACAGATTACCCATGTCATATCAGCCTTCCATGGCAGATGCCTACGACAATGTCTTCATCGCCCATTTTGTAGCTCTCAACTCGGGTATCCGGTCATACCAGGCCCAGACGCCTTGGATCGCACTGTTACCCGGCCTGCAACAGAAAGCACAAACACCAGCACTCAAGCTGTCCATTCGAGCGGCAGCGATGGCGTTCTATGCAAGAGTACACGGGGATGCACCAGTCCTGGTGGACTCCTATCGATGGTACACAAGAAGCCTTGAAAATCAACGAAAGGCACTCTCCAGATTGAGCCGCAATGCAGTCCCATCCGACGAAGAGTGCCTCGCACCCATCATCTTAGGCTTGTACGAGGTCTATGCCGGTACAACTCCAAGCACCGTGTTCCAGCATCTTAACGCAGCTGCTTCAATATTGGCCATGAAGGGCCCTAGGAACTGCAGTTCGGAGGAGGCGTTCCCACTCTTCTTGATAATACGGGTATCGGAGGTGGGTATATACCACCTGCACTGTGTTCATAAGGAACCCCAGTGATAACATTGACTAGGCACATAAGGCCGTGGTATTCAACAAGCCTTCGGTCTTTGCGACACCCGAGTGGATGACTCTACCCTTCCTACTCACTCCTAAAAACGCGCATATGCATCTCGTAGATATAATTCTCTCGATCCCTGAATGTATCCGCCTCACTGGGACCGACGCCACTCTAAGTGGCTTCTTCTCGAACCCCCTTCCACCGATTGATGACTTAACCCCTGTTCGCGAGCGGACCAAGGAGCTACTTGATCAACTCAACAAGTGGGCTGAACGGCACCCTCACCTTTGCACAATCTTTCCTGCTTCGCAAGTCATCACAACCGAGGATATGACCACCCCAATTGACCTATCCGCACCAAAACCTCAGGCTGCGGCACTAAAGCTACCGGACACTTTCGTGGCAAGCGCAACCGCCGCCTTCAAAGCCGCTCACCTCGTACTCACACTTCTCCTGGCCAAGGTCTCCCCTGCAGGACCTGCAGCAGATTCAGAAATCGCTGTTTCAGATCTCACCGCACGTGCTGTTGCAGACGCAAAAGATATCCTGGAAGTCAGCACTTATGTAGAATCAACGCACCCGGTGGGCTTCAACTTTCTGCGCTGCGTCTTCCCTCTGGTTATCGCGGCGATACTGTCACCACTTGCAGAAGATCGGAAAGCCGCGCGGTCCATGTTGGATAGGTGGGGTGCCGAACGAGGTCTGGGTGGACTATGCGGGTCCTGGGTTGGAGTGTGATGTTCTCTGTCTTCAGCGGATGGATTGTCCTTTGAACTTATGGATGGGGTTACAGAGATTTGGTAAGCCAACCGTCGAATGGTAACCATCCTCAGCCTATCCAGAGCGTCCAACAAAATTACCCACACCCAATGCCAGCTGCTTGCGATCTAAGATGTCAACGGCATAAATGCCGAGAGATGGAACCACTGTTGGAACTAGTCCGCCGTCAACCTGAAACAAAGGTCCTACGCCAGGATCACTCCGCTGCATTTGCATCTTGGGAGCTTCCAATGATTGGGACGATAAAGATGAAGTAGCCTCGGACCCATTGAGTACGACTTCACAAGACGAAACGGGAAAGGAGATACGAAGAGGAGATTTTGCTCGGGCATGTAACTATATTCAAGACATCTTGAAAATGTACTGATAAATATTAAATGCAGTGTTGGGATAGGAGTAGGACCTCTAATTTTACCTATTCGGTCCTATCTATGGCGTTGTATAATGAACTTTGTACTCTGCTCTCTCGCATAAAGTAAGGTCGAAGTATATTTGACTGCCCTTCTGCGGTGAATGTCTCCGTCACTGACTTGTTTTTGCAGAAAATGAGATGCGACATAGCAGTCTCCGTAAAACATAATATATATATTTCTCGCCATGCCTGTCACTTGCTTGCGACAAATGTTGGGAGCTTCTAACATCCGTTCCTCATCCCCGTCTTATCTGCGGATCAGCGAGTATTGACAGCTGCCGCAATCGGTTTGTGTGAAGAGGATAGAAGTACACTATAAAGAATTGGTGGAATTGGCGCACCTTGACGGCGCTTGCAGGGGAATAAGTTCAAGGCTTAAGAAAATAGACTTGGATGTTTAGACTTTCGCAAATGAGTGCCCTGCCCGCCGTTCGTACCCTTACGCTCACTCACCAGCTGGAATTCTTATTTCAGCCAATTGTCATTTTGTGTTATCTTTCTAAATTTACCCTCGGCAAGTCGCTTTATTAGAGGAACAGCATCGTTAATCTCTCCAAATTTCTTACTACGTGCAACTACCTACAACACACTGAATTACAACTTGTCGAAGGGCCTTTGGAATGACTGTAAAACATAGCAATATAGCCACCAAAAGATAAACCAGGCTATGACGGCTCCACACCGCCCTATCTCCCTCGGCAATCAACATCAAGTCTCACTGTCCGCAACGCCAACCCACGCTTTGTAACCACCCCCTCAGCAGCGGCAACTCTTCAAACCATCAACACCAGCCCCCAAAAGAGAAAGCCCCAGCTTTGAAAAACGCCCTCTTAAATTCCTTCTACTTGCCCATCACAAAAACCGCATTGATCGACACTTCCAAGCTCCCTCCTGCACCATGCTGACAAACACATGCAGGCAGCATATTCAGCCTATACACAGTACACAGAAAATACGACCGCCCCTCCAACAGCGTACGCGGACGCGGTGTCTTACACAAGTTTTCCATGTCAGAATAAGGAAGGGAAGCTTGGCTGCATATACGAGGGGTATTATCCGGCTGGGCCACGTGCAGTGCATCTCCATGATATCCAAATCCGGCCAAATGGAGGGGCTTCATGTGTTGTGGGATTATAATTGGCATTCGATAATTGAGATGCAGATTCACAATTCAAGTCCGAGAGCACTCGACGCATTCGCCTAGGTACCGTCTCCAACTACTAATCGTCTCATCTCGCCCTCAATCGCCCAATACCACCCACGCCTCCCCAAACCACGGTTCCCCACTTGCAAGATCCGTACTGTATCCCCCTCACCCCGCATCCACCCTCCCAGCCTTCCCCGTACGCGAACTCTTGACATTCCCACCATGTTCCAGTCCCCACCATCCCCCTTCCTAAAAAGGTCTTCCTCTCTCTCTGCCAACGCTCGCGTATGCACAACGACGTCGCTCTACATACCTTGTACATACATAACACGCCCCCCTCCCTAACACCCTCCTTCCCCATCCTACACCACCCTCTTGGCCCATTTCCAAAAACAGCTCCATGGGCAATTCCTCAGCAGGCAGACCTGGGATGACATCGACGATCGCTTCTGCTTTCAATACATTGCGCTTACTGTAGTACAGCCTCGTTACCCGACGGGCAGGAAGCGAAGGCCGCTTGGGAGGAGGATGCCGAATGAGGGGTCTTGGTGTCTTGGTGTATGGGTTCGCGAGGGGTTCGCGAGGGTTCATGAGTCGAGGGGTAGTCTAATGAGAAGGAGAGTACGGAGTATATAAGTTGAGCGTTGGAGGAGGGGACGTCGTGGGAGGTAGATTCAGCAGTTGAGTGCTGATTGCCATATCCCGTTCACATCATCCATTACTGTCTCTGGATTTTGGTAGGGGACTGTACACAATGCTGCTTCTCACTCCGAAGAGGCTGGCAAGCCTGCTTCTCACCGCAAGCACTGCGGTAGTCAACGCAGATACATGCGACGAAGTCGAAGCACTGGGAACCAGTACGTCTTCCTTCTTCCTCCTCTTACCCTCCCCCTCACAGCTCTCCCCATCCAACCCTTTCACCCAACCCCACCACCTAACAACCCCCCAGTCGAAGTATCCCGCCCCCTAAACCCAACCTACATAACCGAACAAGCCCAATACTGGAGCACCTCCTGCTCGGCCCTCAAACCAACATGCATCCTCTTCCCGCGCAGCGCCTCCCAAGTCTCCCAAATCCTCACCCATCTCTCCACCACCAACGAACCCTTCGCCATCAAATCCGGCGGGCACAACCCAAACAACTACTTCTCCTCCGTCTCCGGTGGCCCCCTGATCAGCACCCAACACCTCTCGCACGCCTACCTCGACCCAACCACAGGCATCCTCGACGCCGGCCCAGGCAACCGGCTCGACGGCATCGCCGCAAAACTCCAAGGCACGGGATGGACCTTCGTCGGCGGCCGCATCGGCAACACGGGCGTCGGCGGGCTCGTCCTCGGCGGCGGCCTATCCTACATGAGCGCGCAGTACGGCTGGGCCGCATCCAACGTGCTCGCGTACGAACTCGTCTTCGCCAACGGGACCATCGCCAACGTGACGGCTACCTCGCACGCCGACCTCTTCAAAGCGCTGCGCGGCGGGCTCAACAATTTCGGGATCGTGACCAACTACCGCCTCCAAGCTAGACGGCAGGGTGATGTCTGGGGCGGCAACCTCGTCTTCCCACTGCGGTCCGACGACACGGATAAAAAACTATTGGCTGCCGTGCGCGACTTCACGGAGTACAATACCGACGACAAGGCGGCCGTCATCGTGACGGCCGAGCGCGCGAATCTCAATCTCGTGGACAGTTGGATCTTGTTCTTGTTCTATGACGGCGGCACGCCGCCCGAGGGCACCTTCAAAAATTTCACGGATATAGGCCCCCTGCTGGATACGTGCCGCACGCGCACGTATGCCGATCTGATGGCGTCCAGCAATTGGGCCGTTGTGAAGGCGTCGGTCGTGGACATCGCGACGGAGACGATCCCGCTGCCGTCGCGCGCCAACAAGGCGAAAGTCATGGATGCGCTGCACGCGCACTGGCGCAACGTGTCGAGCACGGCGCTGGGCCTCGATGTCCCCGGCATCGTGGCGAGTATAGCGTGGCAGCCGTTTCCGAGGCGGATCGCGCAGCAAGCCAAGAGGTTGGGGCCGGATCTGATTGATGCGGATGACGAGGTCGATCGGATTATCATTGAGATGAATTATAGTTTTCTTCCGCAGAGCCAGTATGAGAGGATGGCGGATACGGTACAGGCGACGTATGAGGGGGTTAGGAAGAGCGTTCTGGGGTGGCAGGCGGATGGCACGCTGCCGCAGGCATATTTGCCGCTGTTTGCGAATTATGGGTTTTATAGGCAGGATTACTTTGGGAGGCTGAGGCCGGAGAATCGGGCGTTGGCGAGGAGGGTGGCGCAGGAGGTGGATCCTAATGGTCTGTTCCGGACGAGAACGGGAGGGTGGAGGCCGTAGGAGGATTGATATCGCGAAGGATGCAATCAGAGGACGATTGAGGGCCGTTGGGTTGAAGACGGTGCGATTTTGTAGCCTGCGCTGGGTATCTAGAGTCCTCTTCATCCAACCGGAAGCACAGAATGAGAGATAATACAACATACAATGCAGAACTCCTCCCAATGCAGACGGAAATTACGAAACGAACCTCTTATCAAGACACCTCGCTCCTCTTGAGCGGCTCATGCCAAATGGCGCTCCTCCTGTTATGCGCCTGCTCATGCGCCTTCTCACCCTCCTTGTCCTCTTCCTGTTTCACCTCGGGTTTCGGCGTCGCCTTCTTCTTCTCCTTCTCCTCGCTGACGACAATGTCTCCGCCCACTTTAGCGAAATTGGTCTTCATGATGTCGATGAATGCTTGCATGATGGCCTCCGAGGTAGTTGTTTTCGTCCGATCCTTGACAAACGTATGGTGGCGGATGAATTTTCCGTTGCAATCGACGGGATCGTACCAGCCGTGGCCGGGGAAACCGTTGGCTTCTCCGCAGTTGAGCTCCTTTAGAGAGTTCATCAGCACCGATTTCCCGAATCCATCATACAAGAAGAGAAAAAAGTAGCCACTCACCCGAATATTATCCCCCTCAGGATTATAATCATACCTCAGATAATCCGAAAACACGCTCTGCTCATGCGCCCACTCCTCCTTCCACTTCCCGCACTCGGCCCCATACCTGGTACCCCCCGCCGTACACGCCATCCACACGTCCATAATCTCCCGCGTGTAGGGCAGGTTCTGCGCGATGACGAAGCCCGTGTTCACCATGGCCGTGCCGTACTTGTCGCAGAGGTTGCAATCGTCGTCGAGGGGGTCGCGCGCCATGGTGAAGGAGGTGCGGCGCGTGACGTTCCAGCGGTTGAGGAGCCATTCGAAGGGGAGGTGCAGGTGGCGGATGGTGGCGTCGGCGTCGAGGAAGACGACGAATTTGTATTGGGGCAGGAGGTTGGAGATGGAGTGGACTTTGGGCCAGGTTTTGTGGTGCCCCGGGACGGGGATGGGGCGGTAGAAGAGGTAGGAGTAGTTGTGGATGGTGGCTGGGTAATGTTAGAGGGTCTATTTGTGCGGGAGGGATGGGTCTGGAAGGTTTACCGTAGAGGTAGTGGTTGAATACCGCTTCCGTGACGAGATTATCCGTGTCGAGATGTTCCCAATCGACCCGTTTGCTAGGGTCGAACATCTGCTCTGGATACCTGGTGTCCACGTCCACGATCAGGAGGTCCTTCCCCAGAGGCTCAGTCCATATGTTGTTGTTATGCGTATACACGGTGCCGGTCGGATCCGTGAAACTCGACACAAAATCCTTGTGCTTGATCGGCGCAAACAACTCTCGTATCGTCTCTTCCAGCGTTGGTTTCGGCTTTGGTTGGTTCGGCTGTGACACAGCGGTCTTCGGCTCGGACGCTGGGGCGCTGGGTGCTTCTTAGATGTCTGGGACAATTTTCCATTGGTTCTGGCCGCACTCACTGGCTCCCTACTCTCGACCCAACGTTGCCCTTGTAGAAGGGGCCATGTTCTGTATATAGCGTGATGTGATAGATGGCAAAAAGCAGCAGCGCAACCCCGCAGGCAAAGAAGATGGCAAAACGCGGATTCAGCGAGGGAATCTGGCGATCGAGCAGCATGGCGTCAAGCAGTCCGGCGCGAAAAGGCCAACGAAAGAGGTCTAAAAATCCAGCGACATTCACGCAGCGAAGGAAAGACAAAAGGAGGGAAAAATATGAATGGAGTAATAAGATAAAAAGAATGTAGAAGGATGATGAGAAGAATCAGCCCGACAATGCATGTAATCAGCAGCACAGCCTGCCCATCTTCTCCTGAATCGACACCCCCTGGGTGCCCCTTCACGAAGGGAAATCAGCCCCTCCCTCCTCCAGATTTCGCGTGCAGTGCAGTGCAGTGCGAGGCCTTCCTCGGCGCCCCTCCGAAAAAGCGAGAAAAGCGTGAAAAAGCGACAGAAGGATGAAGGGGCCGAGAACCCCATCTCACCACTAAATAAGACGACCGCACGACAGCCATTCTTTCTTCAAGCTTTCGAGTCCATGATTCCCACGCGATTCCTGGAAGTACCCGCCGACTATCCCTGAATGGGACAACCTTGGAATGTGCCCAGGCCCTGGCTATTTTGGGCCAATGCGACATCGAATAAAAATCACGATTCGTGAGACCAACACAGACGAGATCGCGCTGACATGAGTGCTGACTGTATCCACTCCTGCTCCAGAAGGCTGAAACACTACTGCCCATATTTGTGGTCCAGAAGTCGGTAGTCAGATCCTAGCCCTCGCCTCTACACAGTACTGTGTACAAGTAGAGGATGGTCCTCAGGATGAAAGACAAATACTCGCATGCCCCAGTATCTGCATATTCCCAGCGGCTAGAAAGGTTCTACAAGTATAATGCTATATTAGATTGGAGGTGACGGCAGTGAATGCGGGGTTCCAGGTGTCTATAGCGGATAATTTAGAGAAAAGTGAGGGGAACTGCCTCATCAATTCGCATCTGTTCTCTATGTACAGTCCTATCAGAAGAAACCCCGCCGTCACCCAGAGTGGAGTCATATCGCATATGCAAAAAATCCCATTCAACGTTGCGCTCCAAGCATGTCCAAAAACGAGACACACTCCAAACCATCAACTACCGAAACTCGTCCATGAACTCCTTGTGGAACTTGGATATCCGGCTCGTCCACTCGGTACCGGGCGCGAGGAACGTCGTCCGGAAATGCAGCGTCCCTTCTTTCTGGCCGAAGCCGGACCCCGGGACCACGCACACGCCCGTGGCGTCGAGCATGCGGAGACAGTAGAATTCGTCTGGTGTGCGGTTTTCCTTCTTTGCTTGTTCGATGGCTTTTTGCGGGAGGGTAATGGTGGGGAAGAGGTACATGGAGCCCTGATGATCGTCAGTGATGATGAAGGGACAGGTGATGCTGCAGCAGTTGCCGGACTTACTGCAGGAGGTTGGCACTCCACGCCCTCCATCTGCTTGAACGTCTCGAAGAGTGCGTAGGCGCGCTGCTTGAGCCCCTCGAAGATGGAGTCGTACTCCTTCTTGTACAGCTCGTAGCTAGGCTCGCCCTCCTTGGGCGGGTTCACCATCATCTCGACGAAACACTGCCCGACGACGGGCGGGCAGAGCTGGATGCTGATGAACTTGTAGATCTGCTCCGCGACCTTGGGGTCGAAGCCGCAGAGCTCAAAGTATCCACCGCGATGTCCGCACTCGCCAACCATACCCTTCGACACGCTGTGCAGCGACGCCAATTCAATGTCGTCGTACTGTCCCGGGTGCTCCTTCTGGAGGTCTCTGAGTGCTTTCTTGAAGGAGATGAACTCGCCGATGAAGACGTTGGTCTGGTACACTTCGTCGGCAATGACGACTATGCCCTTCTCCGCAGCAAACTGCAGGACGCCCCTGATGTCTTCGGCGCGTAGGCTAGATCCAGTGGGGTTGCCAGGGTTGATGACGACTATCGCCTTCACATCGGTTCCTTCTGCGACGGCCTTGTCGTACGACTCACGTATGGCATCCAGGTCGGTGCCCCACGCATGGTGCTCCTCGAGGTAATATGGCACGCAACGCGCATTCAGCACCGACAAGGTGGCAGTATAGAGGGGGTATTGGGGTATAGGGACGAGGATGCCGGTCTCGGGCTTCGCGCAGATGACATTGAGGAGCGTGTTCACGCCCGATGAGGCGCCATTGCTGAGGTAGATGTCGGTGTACTTGGACGGGTAGCCATCTCGCCCTGTACTTTGTCAGCGCGCACAGTCTACAGGGAGCAGGGCCATATGTACTCTCAATGAACTCTGCAACCCTCTCCCGAATGCCCGATGCGCCCTGGCTCTGACTGTATGCGCCTACGCTACGGAGCTCTTGCAGCAGCCACTTCGCACGCGCAATGACGTCCGACTTGTATCCCAGCTGGTCGATGAGGACCTGCTCGTGCTCCAGCAACAGAGGGTTCTCGATGAGACTAGCAACCTGACGGAAGAAGGTTATGGGTTTCTGGTCCAATTGTTGCGGATTGCCGATATTTGCGGAGATGACCGAGTCGAATGGCAGTCCTTTGGCGCCTCCGTTCTTGATCTTTGCACGGTATTCCTCGGACCGAACAGCCAGCTCTCCTCGGACGGCGTATTGGGCCGCCTTGACATTCGGATTGATGGTGTCGAGGGTGAGTGCCTTGCGCGGGGCAGCCGAGGTCATGGTGCGAGTCAACGGAGGGGTGAATGTTCGATGCGAGACTGGACGGGAAGCAACAGGTTAGTAGGAGTCAACATATAATAAACTGCGCGAAATAAACGAGATCTCCAAAGAGCAGTCCGGATAGATATTAATTGTCTCGGTCAACCATCGGCTGCCTTTTGTATGCGGGTGGCCGGGTTGACTGTACTTTGGGTTTCCCTATTTACAGGCCACAAGCCCCACTCGTCTCAGAGGGATGAGCGGTTGGCCCCGGATACTCGAGATTCTGTGAAGTCTGACAAATGACAAAACGAACAAGACTCATAAATACCTCTGCAGAGGGTGCCCACGCCTGCGAAGAGCGGTGGCGCTGCCACGCTGTGCGTCTGAAGGATGGAGCCATGGGGAGCGTCGAACAATTGCCTGACATTGGCAGGCCACCGGCGCGACATGGTCCCTTTTGCTGATTCCGATCCCGCTGTTGACCGCCCACCTGTCGAGCTCGCCGCCCACGGTTGTCTTCCTTGGCGAGGCGGAGGTGGAAGACGGAAGTGGGATGTGGGACGTGGGATGCGGGAGCTGCCGGAGTTGAGGAGATGCGAACCGCGATTTGTGTGTCGCCGCCAGCAGGAACGCGGAAAAGGAAGCGTTGTCGTCCGTTATTCTAACTGAGCCGTGGCCGTCAAGGAGCTATGGCCACGTCCGGTTCGGAGTCGTACGGCAGGGGGTTTAGGTCTTCACCGACTTCATGCCATCGAATTATCGGAGGTAGATGTCGGAGCGTGGGAGTGGTCACGCTGTCAAGAAAAAAAAGTGGACGAGTGTGAAAGTCAAGAAGAAGCAACATCACATCTATTGGGTCGTGGGCAAAAGGCGGCCAGATCCGTGTCCGACTGTCCCGACTTATTTAGCTCCCGACCTGGTGCGAATGCGAATTCGCTCTACTTGATTGACATGTCTATAGGAGAACACTGACCCATTAAATACTCATCCACGCTCCTAGTCCAGCCCTCAACCCCGTTCGCTTCCCCGTAGCCTGACCGCCTGCCCGTACTTTTGCAGCTTCGTGATGAGCTGGTCGCCCTGTTTGACCACGTCCGCGTACTGTTTGTTCTTGTCATCCGGCCTGTTTGTCTCAATGATGCCCTTCACGCGATCTATCGTGCACGGAATCCGGTCCGAAGCAATGAACTTGGCGAGATCCCTACTACCTGTCAGTTCAACCCACATCACGCAATTGGGGATACCCACTTGTCAAGGAAGTCGACGGTGACGCCAAAGTCATTCGCCATGCTCTGCAGTCCTACAACCCTGTACGACTGCAACAGCTGCTGGTACGCCCGCAGCCGCATCTCCTTGACAAACCAACCCCGGTGCTCGTAAAGGTAGCGGTCTTGGCTGAGGAAGTTCACCTCAACCTCTCCTAGTGCCTTGAAGAAATTCTTGTAGTTGCCTTCGTACAAGCTCTTGACCAGCAGGGCGAGCGGAGAGAAGTCAATCGCGACCTCCTTGTCCTGCTCCCCTCCGAGTGTCGTGAGGTTCACAACGGTGGGCGTTGGTGTGGCCGTCGTCGAAGCTTCGGTCATCTCCTCGTCGCCAGCCGCAGGTCCTGCAGAAGCCTGTCCAGTAATCGCCGAGATCTTCTCGTCTGCACTTCCGACGATAGCCTTGATCTCAGGAGCGTCCACCACCTTGGCCTTGAAGTCGACTCGTTTGAGAGATACGGATCCTGCCAGCATTGCGTAGACAACGAGCGAAGAGTAGCTGCATAGTTCGTAGCTCGTGAACGTAGAGAGACTGTCGAGGAGCAGCGGAGCGGCTTGTGCATATGACCGAACCGTCAGAAGGTGCAGCCCGTTGTATGCCTTCAGGCGATTCCGGCGATCCCAGTCTCCGCCCTGCTCGACCAAGGCACTCGCCCGCTCGACCGTCTTCTTTACCAACACCCGGTCGCCGAAGAACAAACCGATTCGTATTATGGCGAGCACGATATCGATCTTGGTGCCTAGAATGCTGGTCTTCTCAAAAACGGTCTCGAAGGCTGCAATGGCTTTCTCCTAGAGAGCACATCAGCATCATCTCACAGGAGAGTATATGCATGCCGCACCTTATCGCCAATGCGAGTGTAGTACTCCGCCCTCTTTCCTCGTGCTGCTTGCACTTCCGTCTCTCCAGCCTTCTCTACGGCCTCATCTTCCTCCTTCTGTATTGCCTCAAGCTCCTTCTCATTATCGGCCTTCAAGCTCTCGTACAAGTTCTCATCCCATGGTAGGTTAACGTCGAGCGTCGGGTTCTTCGTGGCGAGAATGGTCGCGGCGCTAGACGGTCGCCTGTAGGTGGTGGGGTGCTGTGCTGTGCCCTCCCCTTGCTCGTTCAAGACCCCTTCAACAGGATGCGCGAGATGCCGGTAGAGCGGCGCCATTTTGTGCTCCTTGATGGCATTTTGGATGGACTGGAGAGAAGCTTGTTTGGCAGCTTTGGAAGACGCGGGATTCGTTAGCTGGAAGATGTGCTGAGACAGCTGGAGATCCGGGTATTTGAAAAATTGTGGATCGCCCATTGTAAGAATCACAGGGGAATGAGGGTATTTGAGCGGTAGTGGCGTTCGAATCGGCTGAAGTGTTTGATGTGAGGCTCCGCAGCTTCAAAGTGGAAGCTGTTGATGATGCGTCGGCCAAACTCCGGCCTTGGCGAAGATCGACATAAAAGTGGGTCCTGCGCTCAAGCTCCCGCTCGTCTTCGATCAACCACACGAGCTCCACTCACTCCTTCTCACAGCTCTCACCTTTTCGAAAACACTTACTGTTTAACTCTTCTCATATTGAAGTACTTGCTTGTTCTAATGGCGGATACGGGCCGGAAGCGCGCACGCTCGGAATCTCGATCTCAATCACCCCCACGGCAGCGCAAACGACCAGGTGCTGCTGCTCGAATCCCAGCCGCTGAGCGCGAAGCCGCTCGACGCCGCCAGCGAGAAAAAGAGGAGGAGGCTGAAAGAAGAGCTCACCAAGAAGCTGCCTCCAGAGGTGTTCACGATGTCGTCAGGCAACATTACAACATGGTACCGGAACGCGGCCGTGAATGGCGTGTAACAGACAGCAAGATCAGGGGCTTGCGCAGCTTCAACAATTGGGTCAAGTCGTCCACAATCCAGAAGTTCATTGGTGATGAGCGGAATCTGAAGATACTCGACATCGGATGCGGAAAGGGCGGAGATCTTCAGAAATGGCAGTCATCGCGCAAAGTCGAGCTATATGTCGGTGCGGACCCCGCAGACGTTTCCATATCCCAAGCGAGAGAGCGATACGAGCAAATGCGAAGGCGCCTTAGGCGGGGCCAGTATCTGTTCCATGCAGAATTCTACACTAAGGACTGCTTCGGAGAATGGCTAGGCGATATCCCCATCATCAAGGAGGTTGGCATCGACCCTAGTGTTGGACCGGGGAATGCGGCAAGCCAGCGGTGGGGTGGCGGCGGGTTCGACATGGTGACCATGATGTTCTGCATGCATTACGCTTTCGAAAGTGAGGAGAAGGCACGGGGTATGCTACGGAATGTGGCCGGCGCACTCAAGAAGGGCGGTCGCTTCATTGGATGCATACCAAATTCCGATGTACTCACAGCCAAAGTAATAGAGCATCACAAGGCTAAGGGCCACGGAGTTTCCGGCAACAACGCACCAGGCGAAGAAAACGATCGGCCAACATTTGCTAGCGACGATGAGGATGACCGGCCGACGTTTGCTAGTGACAATGAGGAGGAATGGGATCCGGAGAAGAGTTTAGACAGCCCGAAGCCAAAGGAGAGCACGGAAGAGGGGGCGGAGAAGAAGCCAGATGTTGAGAACAACGGAGAAGAAGCTAAAGAACAGGGCAAAGCAGAGGACGAGGGCTTTGAGTGGGGAAACAGCATATACCGCGTCAAGTTTCCAGGTAAAACTCCGAAAGACGGCATTTTCAGACCGCCTTTCGGTTGGAAGTATTTCTACTTTCTGGAGGAAGCAGTCGAAGAAGTGCCCGAGTACGTGGTACCTTGGGAGGCTTTCCGTGCCTTGGCGGAGGACTACAACCTGGAGTTGCAATACCGGAAACCGTTCCGAGAGGTTTGGGAGGAGCAGAAGGATGATCCGATTCTTGGGCCCTTGAGCGAACGGATGGGAGTGAGGGACAGAGTAACTGGGAAGCTTTTGACGACCGAGGAGGAGCTTGACGCTGCTGACTTCTATCACACATTTTGCTTCTATAAGGTATAGTTCTGGGACTTCTTCACGGACCGGTTTCGCTCATGACTGCATTGTGGGGCCAGATGGGGCCTCAATGGCGCTCGGGGAATTGACGAGTGGTGGACTACAGTATATGGGTGTTCACTTTTGCAGGACGGTTTTCTGAGGCATTCTATAGATACCAGAAGAGCACCTCCTCTTCCAAGAATCAATAATTCAGCATCCCAGGACGCGTCCTCCGCGATCACAAGCATTCTCTTGGCGGGGCGCATTCAACGTGACCCGCTCGTGGGATTTGCCGAGGTCCTTGAATCGTTGCCGGCTTTCATCCTCGAAATCACAAGCACGCCGATAGATACAACCAACTTGCTGACTTCGAAGGCTGTTCGTCTTGAATAATCATCACAGCCTTCTTACGACCCCCTAACGACCGAAGCTGGATCGCTCCCCGTCGCGTTACCTCCTCAGCTGTGTGTTCGGTGAGAAAGAAGCAGACACAATGGTTGCAGACGCCCTCATCTATCACCCCACGGTGTCGCACTACCTAAAGTTCGTCGCGACGACGGGTACGCGATTACAACTCCCCCTGTAGCACATCCATTCTGCTAACTCGGGCTTCGCACAGTCGGCCGCGACAAGCTCCTCCGCACCCTGCAGTACTTCTCGCGCTTCCTAGCATGGTACCTCTACCGGACAAACCATCCAGCCTCGACGATTGCGCCCTTCGAGACGACGAAGAAGCAGTTTGGCGTGACGCGCAAGCTGCTGCGTGTGGGCAAGTTCGTCGAGCACTTCCGTGCGGCGGCGCAGGCGAGCGATGCGAAGAGCATGGACCCTGTGCTAAGGTACACGGCTGTGGGGAGGCAGTTGGGATATGCGGCGTATATGCTGTTTGATAACGCGACGGTGGTAAGTACATGTCTAGGCTCTGAAGGGACAATGCAGGGAAGAAAGGATCAAAATGGCTCGGAGACTGGTGCGCCTATAGCTACGCCTCCCAACCCTTCCAAGCTATCTCAATCCCATATCAGACATGCCCCTTCTAACAACCCTCGCAGCTCGACGCAACCAGCATCCGCAAATTCTCCGGCGCCGCGCGCCTCCAGCGCAACGCCTACAAGGCCTGGTTCACCGGCCTCACCTGCTCCATCATCTCCTCGCTGTACTCTCTGTACCGGCTCCGCGAGCGGGCGGCCGCCATCAGCGAGAAGGACGGCGAGGGCGCCGTCGAGAAGAAGAAGATTGAGCGCGAGGCCAACCATGCGCGCATCCAGCTCCTGAGCGACCTGTGCGACATCACTGTTCCCTCTGCCGCGCTGGGCGTGGCCAACTTTGATGATGGGTTCGTGGGGTTGGCGGGAACGGTGAGCTCGCTTTTGGGCGTGTATGGTCAGTGGAAGAAGACGGCTTAGAGGGGGGATGGATGGGGAGTGGAAAACGAAGGGGGTGAGGAAGGGGGTGAGGGGAAGGGTGTTGTTGCTCAAAGGCCAGAAACGAAAGTATAACCTTATGGCTACAATGGTCTAGTTTTTCTTTTCTCGGGGACTTTCGAAGCGATCTTATTTACCCAGGCTTTGGTGCCCCTTTCTTGTTCGTTGATAGATTGGATACACTGTGTAGTCTCGAGCTTTGGTACCGATATTGCAGGCCTGGATTCCAATCGTCTTACAAGCAGTCGGAGCAGATTTCCTAAATAACCGAATCCATCACAGTTGTTATTTGTTTCTCTGTCAAGTTGAGGTAGAACACTAACTGAACAGTTCAAGTAAGTGTCGACTTATCTATCCCAGTGCGCTCTTCACGTCCTCGACTGAGCACAGATGTACAACGCAATTCTTTCAACATGAAGCGAAATACTAATTGATCCAAGCCATCTATCTATCCCACATATCACATCTCGCAAAGGGGGTATCATCGAACCAAAGCAATCCTTCCAAATCCATAAAACACACACACACAACTAATCGCTCTTCCCTGCCACCCTCCCATCAAACCCCTCTCCCTTCCTCAACCCCACCCCAACACACGCATCCACTACGGCGACCCCGACCTCTCCGACCCACCGAGCGTAGTCTCCGACCGACAATGCGCCAGACGCCCCGTATTTAACCCCCTTTGGGACTCCTGACTGAACCTCCTCCCGATTTCGATTTGCAAGCTCTTACCTCCCGACGACGACGACGAGGAGAAATAAGAGACATCTGAATGCTTGGAGTCGTTATGCAGATGTCTGCTGTTGTTTGATTTGGACAACGCCTTCGTAGGTCTCTTAACCGTCTCCCTGCACTTAAAATCCAACCCATCATCATCATCCTCCCCCTCCCCTCTCCCCCTCAGCGCACCCTCCTTCTCATACACAACCACGGCACTCACCCTCGTCAACCTCTTCCCCATCTCGACGTCGAACCCGGGGATACCCACGGGAGCGCCGCCATCGTCGCGAGGCGCGCTGCCGCGGCGCTGGGAGCGGACCTCGATCTCGTTGACGACGAAGATCTGGTTGAGCGAGAGCGAGGTGACGAGGGGCCAGAAGATGGGGATGGAGGCGCAGAGGATGGCGATGTTGACCTCGAGCACCGAGAAGATGTAGATGCTGGGCGTGGCGTACGAGGGGTCGAAGACGGGGACGGTGCCGGCGCGCTTGAGGCATAGGGAGATGAGGCGTGCGATGCTGAGGATGACGACGCTGGGGGTGTGTGTTAATATTCGGGTTTCTGCTAAAACATTTCCTTTTTGCTTTGGGGATGTGGTGCTGGGAGGAAAGGAATGTAAGAGGATGTGAAGACTTACATTCCGCCCAAAGAAAACAACGCCACAAGCCCGACCCTCGTCTTCCCCTGCATCCTCAAATCCCTCAAAAACGGCGTCGGCAGTGCAAAAACCAGGATGTCGAACATCATATTACTCGCGGCATGCGCGGCCCAGCAGGCGAAGAAGACATTGGCGTCCTTGGAACCCCACGCGACGCAGGTCCCGGGCAGCATCCAGTTCCAGTTCTTGGCGATGGGGCGGCAGGAGAAGAGGGCGAGGAGGAAGAAGGTGGCGCCCCAGAGGGAGATGAGGATGATCATGGCGCGGGTGAGGGTGGTGGGCAGCTTGCGCGACGAGATGTCGAAGAGGCGGAGGTATTGGAGGAGCAGGGCCAGCTTGATGCACGTCGTCGAGGCTGTGTAGGCTGCGTTGGTGGACCAGATGTGTTTGAAGTATTCCATGCGGTGGGCGACGGTCAGGGTCCAGAAGTGCTTGCCTAGGCCGTAGTCGGGCACTGTTGAGGGTCAGCTAATGGGGAGGTGAGGGAGGCAAGCGGTCGGCGTACTTAGGCATGTGAGGCTTGAGCCTATGGTGACTGCGATCTGGAGGATGTTAGTATCGAGCCAGAGGTTTGCAGCTAATCGACTTACTCCTGCCAGGACTACGAATAAGTCATCCCATCCTAGGAGTCTGGCTCGAATCCGAACGTATAACCGAAGAGCTATGGCAATATTTGCAAGCACCTGGATGGATTGTTAACTGAGCTCTCGCAATGCGCAGTGCACACTGACCACAAAACTTATCACGACGCCTAATATGGTCTCAGGTCGATTGAGAGGGGGCGGATTCGCGTTCGAAGGGTCGTCTTCCATGTTGGCTCCACCGAGCATCTTTCCTGTTCCCACCCCACGCACACGGATAGAGATGGCCGTTCAATATCGCAGTCGGGGAGCCCTGAAAACCAGTTCCTCCAATTCAATGATATACCAGATACAATCCTTCTCTTCTCCCTTCACATGTTCCAACGTCCTACTCCCCAGTATGCAAGTAATCAGTTCACTATCTTCCACACCAAGTAGGTAAGTCGTGTAACCCAAGCTGCAAGACGAAGGCGACCAAATACAAGTATAGACGAACGGATAGATAGCCTCTTAACAATTCAATAAAAACTTAAAACCTGGGGAACCGCAACCATCACACAGCAGCCTCACCCTCATCTCATATAAGCCATCCACCACCCCGTTCATCTCTCCCCTGCACTAAACACCCATAACCCGAAGCCCTTCCAGGTTCGCATCCCACGTCACACGCAACAAAGCAACGCAACGCACATGGTTCTGTGCCTGCACGTCAGTGGATCTAACGATATCGTCTCGCGGCCAACACCCCATCCATGCCATGCGATGCCGACGAGATCCGATTCCCGGGTCCGCATGGTACGACAGTGTGAAACTCGATTGGAGGCAAGAAGCAAGCAGGGCGCGGGGGAGGGTCCGTTGCGGTGTTGGACGATGGGGCGCGGTGCGTGTGCAGGATTGGTAGGATTAAGGTTGCAGGGGTGACGGGGTCCGAAGCGGGCGCGTGTGTGCCAGTGTGCAGCCTCGCCTTGTTACTTACTGTACTCGGATGGGGTTAGAGCTTAGGTGTGTGGGGACTAGTATGGTATAGCGGGAGTTGGATAGGACTGTGTACTTGTAGTAAGCAGTAGTAGTGTAGTGTAGGATTGCAGAGATATCGATAGACCCGCTAGGCTTACCAGTATATCGTCATACCAATAATTCCCATCATCGTGACCGTATCCTCCCCGTCCTCCGCCTTGCGTCAACCTTTCATTATCGTCTTTTCTACCCCTCTCCTCCGCCATCCCAACGAACCGGTCAACCTGCCCACTTGACGACTTGTCACTCGCACTCCGCACCTCACCCGTTTCATCAACCCTGGAAAAACCTCCCCCCTCGTGATGGAAACGGACTTCTTCAGGGTTCACGGTCGCTCCCGTCAGGGCCGTCACGTCGTTGAAACGGAGCCGAGGCCTCGCGTGCGGCTCCGGGTGAGCGAGGTCCCTGGCTTGCTCTTCCGGGGTTGGTGGATGGAAGGAGAAGTGGGAGGGTTGAGTTGTGAGGGGTGTGACGCGAGATAGGGTAGGGTAGCTTTGTAGCGACTAGACTATCGGTACTACGGGGTACACTTCTGTCGTAATGACAACGTGAAAAGCTAGATAGATTATCCATCGCCAATATTTTCAGACTCGTACGATCTAGAACTCATCACTCACTCACGAACCCATCCTTCAGTCTTACTTGCAGGGTGTAAAAGACCGTTGTTGGTGGCGCCCGGCCCTGATCCTCCCGGGGGCTCTTTCTCTACCCCCCTGTCCTGTCTGCCAACTCTTGGGGAACTCTTGCCTTCCCATCCCCGTCTCCAATCCCGAGTAAGACGAACTCATTCATCATGGGAGTGCTCGAGATGCCTCCTTCGAGGAGTGGTGAGTCCACCAAGTCCGGCCCTCTCAGCAAGCAAAACCAAAAGCAAAAGCAAAAAGAGAAAAAATTCTCATGGCTACGCTAGAAAGCTCTAGACCAGGAACCTACTCTGGGGTACTCTAGTGCTCGAATAGTGTTATCGAATACTTCTTTGTCTCGGCTGAGACAATACACTATCATACAAAAACAAATACATCTGCGCTATGTATTCTTCTTCTACACCATAATGAATAGCTGGAGAGAAAAAAGCACCGAACGCCCCCGTCCGTTCTGCGCAACGAATTATCTGGGCATGCAGCACGACTGCGACACCTTACCTACCCTAGGGTCTGGATTGGGTCTTTCCAGCCGGATCGATGTCGGACTTCGGCTTTGCACGGCGGTCACTGGCATACTGTGTACAGAAGGTCAAGTTATATGTTACCATGTAGGAGAAAAGTCCGTTCGGTGTCCGATGGTGCTAGTGCTAGATGCTTGATTTTCCACGTATACTGGAATGTGTACCATATTTTCGACGTCCCGAGAGACGCACCCTCCCTTTGCAATCCATTTTGGACTTCCCACATCTGTCGATGTTCATCATCTTCTCTCCGTGGTTGCAGGTGCATTATATTAGTTATATACCCACACAAAGCAATCTCATCCCGTTCTCGCAGCGGTGCAAAAGCGTCGATGAAATTCCTCCAGCATGACCTCAATCACTAATAAGAAGCCGAAAAACCATCTCACCAACCCCCCGCAGCATCCCTTCGCATCCAAATCCCCTAAACCTTCTCCCTCGCCTTCTCCTCCTCCTGCAACACAACCCCCCCATCACTCCCACTCCCATCCGCATCCAACCCCAACTTCGCCGTATCATACCCATTCCTCTCCAAATACGCCCGAAACTCAATGTCCTCCTTGTCAATCGTATCCTGCCCGATATACGGCAGCAGCAGGACCAGTCCACCTGCCAGGAACGCCAGCGCGCTAGCGACAAAGAAGGGATTGCGCCCGGCCGCGATCTTGTCGTCGCCCGCTTGCGTCTGGATGGCGTCGAGGGCGTAGGAACCGGCGAAGGCGCCGATTTTGCCTACCGCGGCGGCGATGCCGTAGTACTGGCCTCTGCAATTGTGTTTCGTTAGCCCGTCACCGCCCAGCACGCGTTCAAGCAGATAATCCTTAAAGAAAAGAAGGGGGAAAGCACATACCTGATACCCGTCGCACACGTCTTACTCGCGACCAAGCCGATATTATCGCCGGGCCCGAACTCGCCCAGCGCCAGAAACACGCCGTACACGACGACGAAACCCGCTACATTCTCCTTGCGGCTCAGCCACGGATACACGCCCGCCATGAGGAACCCGATGACGCCCTGCGCCACGACGCCGATGCACAGCGTCTTCTTGGGCCCCATGGACGGCAGGTCCGCCACGAAGGCACCCGCCAGACAGCCCGGCATGTAGAAGAAATTGAGCAGGATGTTCCAGGCGAACGACTTCCACAGGGGCGCGTCGTCGCCGAGGAGGTTGGCCAGGATGTCGGTGGCGTAGATGCCGAAGCTGTAGGCGGAGAAGTCGTAGATGAACCAGATGGCGGACACGATGGTGAGGCGGAACCAGTAGTAGCGGAGGACGAGGAGCCAGGGAGTGCGGGTGTGGGCCATGGATTCGCGGCGGAAGGCCTCGGGCTCGGAGAGCTTGAGGCGCAGGTAGAGGAGGGAGAGGGGCGGGAGGACGCCGATGCCCAGGCAGACGCGCCAGGCGACGCGCAGGTGGTCCTCGCCCGTGATGACGATGACGATGGTGGCGACGATGGCGGCGATGAGGAAGGCTAGGTCGATTTGCACGTTGGTGAAGAGGATGAACCATTTGTTGCGCGTGCCTTCTTTGAGCTCGCCGGTGCTTTCGGCGCAGCCGACGGAGCCGGCGGGGTATTCTCCGCCGATGCCTGATGGGTCAGTGTGGGTTGATATGGTGCATACTTGGGAGGTATACGTACCGATTCCTAGGAAGAAGCGATAGACGACCAGCGCCGTGATCAGGCCCGAGGGACTGGTGCCATAGGACCCAGTGCCGAGGATAGCGAAGAGGATGATGACGAGCGTTGAGCTGGAGTGGTCAATTCACCTTCTTTCCACATTCCGCAGATGTCTCTTTTATGGAACTCAAGCTTTCTGGACTGTTCAAAGATATCATAAATGGACTCACATGAACAAACTCCACTTCCTCGAAAAATGATCACTCGTATACCCAAAGACGAGCATACCCAGCACGGTGCCCGCGAACGTGATACTCGAGACATTGGCCTGTGCGTCCGAATTGGCGTATGCGTCTGGGTAGATGCGCTTGAGCATGGTGTTGACGGGGCCGATGATCTGTACATTACATGTCAGTATCGATACAAGTGTCTTCTCTTGCAAAATAACTGCAGAGCAATGAAGGAACGCCATGTGCTCTGCGCCCAACTATTCCACTTCCTCCACGTCTCCAGATAATCACAAGAAAAAAAGAAATGAGCAATAAAGTTAGAAAAACATACACTGTTCAAATACCCATCACTAAACAGGCCCGCTCCACACGCAATGACGGGCCACAACCGCTCCCACCTGCCCCTCCTCGTGCTCGCGACGCTCTCACGACGTCCATGGTGGTGGTGTTCTTCCGTCGCATTCGCTGTCGCAGCGTTGGACTTGTCGGGTTTCGCCATCGAGGTATTGTGTTACTGGAATATTAGTATTATGTTGTGGTTGCGACTCGGGGCGGCTAAGGAAAAGGTAGGTAGGTAGGGTCGGATGCGTCGAGTTACACTAGTATGGGAGGGAGCGCAAGGCGGAGAGGCTGGTGAGATCGGTGAGATGACGTCGCGCAGTCGCTTCGTTCGGCTTGATCTGATGCGCAGGTGTACAATATATTCCAGCCTCGAGGAGGGCGCGAGGGAAGGAAGAAAAGGTTCAAGAAAAGAGAGAGCCAAACCCAAGTGAAGAAGTCCAAGGAACTCCCTCGGCACCAACGAAGCCATTTCGCGAATCGCGAACCGCCGTCGGCGGGCCAGGGCCAACATGAGGGTTTTCCATCAGATCCTCGAGCTTTCGATATCCGATCCAGGTGGGCACGCGCCCCTCCAAAACCCACACCATCAGGATCCACCAACACCACCCTGGGGCACCCTTGGAACGCAACCTTGGAAATGGCAAGAAAGCAGCCATTCAGACGTCTTCACAGCTGCATGCACGGCAGCAGATGGACGGACTGTTCTTTCTGTGTAACTAGCTACCACCCCACCTTATTACTTCGACCTGCTCCTTTACTTAAGCAAAGTTGTGCCAAGTGGGATTCGAGGTGGTGGTGGTGCTAGCTACAAGTAGTATCTGATAGATCGATCGGCCTTCGCCGAGGAGGGTGTCCATGTCTCCAGAATCCAAAAGAGCAGGACCCTTCGCATGTGCAATCGACACATGTGATCACAGCGACGACATCGAGACGTCGTGTGCCAAATTCAAGCCTCTCGCGGCAGACACAAGCAAGTCCAAGCCCAGCGCTAGCGCGAAAAAGCACTAACTAACCGACTAGCCCGTTGGGGGGCGGAAGCGGAAGCTTGGTGTACACAGTACGAGTCGAAAGGCTTGATGCTCTATGGTCTTAGCTCATTGAAGGGAAATCCGATTAGATAGGAGGGGTATAAGATAATACAGAGTGCGGCGGCCGTGGAAATACAAGTAGTGGTGCTAGATGGGCCGCACTAGTACGGAAAGCGGAAGGTTATCGTTGGACAAGAATAAATTTCATGAATTGTAAGCGATTGGTACTGGACACCAAGGAACTAGGGTCAATTGGGCGCCTGGCGTACAATTGGCCTCTAATGAGGCAAAGCAAATGTGATTGAGGGGATTCTGGATGGTGCGAAAAAGATTCAAACAGGAAGAAGCGAAGCAAACATGCGTTCTAGACCCCAAAACGAGCTCTCAACCAACACTACCACGTGACTCCTGCAACTTTCAAGGACCTCCAGTACTTCGCCGTCTAGTTAGACTCCTCCTCATCTTCTTTAGGCTTGTACATGAATTTAACCACCACACCGCCCGTAACTGCATTCTCGTCTTTAATGACCTCGTCAGTGTTGGTCGGATCAAGTGCCGGACCAGAGTCTGTTGCAGAGAGAACATTAACTCCGTTGACTTAAATCACGTTAGTTTCATGATACGCCTTGGAAGTGATTGAGGAGGGTATCTCCTCTCAACGTACCGAGAACGGGCCCTAATTCAGGAGAAATGTTAGCTAATGCTTTTGCTTGTCTACCCAAAGTAAAATCAAAGGAGCGTCACGAAACAAAAGGGGATGACATAATGCTTAGGACTTCCGAAATTGCCTTACCAGTCCAAGTAATAGATCGATTGGTAAAGGTCACATTTGCACCGCCGTAATTATACACTCCTAGTATAACACCTGGATTATTCTTGGCGGTCAGAGTGACCTGTTGGAAATTCCCATTCACATGGCGATAGACGTGCGCGCTCTGATATGGGTTCTGGGCAGGGACGCCGCCGAAGGAATATTCCGCGTCGTTCTGCAAGGCGCCGTACTGGGTGCAATTGACGAATATGACGGCTATGGAATTGAGATCAGTATGTATGTATCAACTTTGATTGAGCGGGATGCTTGACGAACCCATTGTGTGATTGTGGGTAAGGCTGAGGGTTTGTGGTGATATATTCGCCGAAGATTTGAAGTAGTGAAGTGATGAAGAACAAATTCCGTGAGCAGGCGGGTCCACGTTGTTAAAATATTGATGAGTGTGCAAGATACATGATGGTTCGGTTCATATAGGTTCAGCTTCCTTTCTCTCTCAGGTAGCCAGAACCATCACAATGAAGGACGGGCTGAGCTCAGGCGATGCCATCATCGCCGAACCAGAGTCAAGTCTTGCCTTTTCAGCCAGCCCAATTCTGCAGTGTTTTCGACGCTATACAAATACTCTGAAAAAAAAGCGAAAGGACATGAAAGTTTGTTAGAGGGAGAGACTACTCTACCAGCACGAAGTAGAAGATGCGATGTACTTCGGCCGTGTTGGACAAGCCAATTGGCGAGCTGAGAACCTTGGAGGACTGCCTGAACTGCTTCGTTGTCCTATCAGGTAGCAAGTGGCTCGATCGAGCGACGACCCCGTTGGCTGGAGTGCTTTCAGCTAATCAGCCACGCCACTATAGTACCTGGCAACGAGTCTTGGACTTTCGATTTCTCTGGCACCTCTCTTTCAAGAATATTCACGCGAGCCACAGAAAAAACGATGCTCTTCTGCCTCTTACTGCGGGATCCAATCCTACAGGTTCGGAGTAAAAGTCCGTTAAGCCACAATTGGCGCTGTTCCATCAATGACCATCATCCTCAACTTCGTGTTTTAGAAGTCAGGCAGCCACAGTGTCCACGTAAACCGTAGCCAACATGTGGGCTATCACTCCAAGAGATTAATTAGACGAGCGTTAAACATAAAAGTGCAGTTTAGCTCAGCCCCCGGTCATGCAAGGTCCAATATCACAACCTTATTTTTGCGTCTCGGCAATCGCACACATTCGAATCGGCTAGAGACACAAGCAAAGTGCGGATGCGGCAAGAAGCTGGAGACCGCACGAGTCGACCGTTTTCAGCTGCGCCATATGTGAAGTCTGACCTCACTTATGCAAAGGATCGATCTGTTCCCCCTTTAGGTACCTACCGAAGCGAAATCTCGCTTCACTCGTTCTAGGTTTCTTGGGATAGGTTGACCTAATTGACAACGTGTTAGTCAGTGAAGGTGCGGAGAGCGGGGGTGGACGCGGATGGATCTGCCTTTAGTCACACATGACGACAAGACTATACTTGCTCCATTCTTGTAGACGTATAAGCGATATTTACCATGAAGAACCCGACTCTACATACGTTCGGTTCCACCGTGAGGGGCTGTTGCTTCAATCCAGTACCGTGCGCCACCTGTGATGAACTCATCGCCCATCGCCAGTCAATTGGGTTTCCATTTCCTGTCATTTGCCTCCGTTTATTGGCGTACCGCTGCGTTGCAAAAGAATATGCATGAAAAGCAAAACCTCCCGTGCTGTAAAGCCCGGTAACATCTGCAATCAGCCACTGGGGAAACTTCAACCTTCCTGAAAACCCGCACACGTACACTCTTCTTGTGACTACCGGTAAAGACGCAGCCTTAGGCAAAGCTACCAGGGCCCTGGACAAATTCACCTCAACCCCGCTTAATGGGAGGAAATCCAGAGTTGACGATTCTGTGGCTACCGGCTTGCGACCTTCGCATATCCGTCTTCTCGCCTTCAACCCATGGTACGCGGTGCTTGTGGTTGTGCTACTGCACTCTTTCGCAGCTAGCCCCTCTGTGATTGCTGCACATGATGCATTTATGCCGTCGTGTTCGGCTCCGACTAGACGATCTCTTCGTCAAGACAGAATAACGAAGGGTTTCAGTCAGCCATCAACAGACGATGATCCTCCTGGAAGCATATCAGACCAATGATTTCAAGATTTAGACGACCTGAAGCGGACTTGCTTGCAAGACTCGTGAACGTGGTGAGCTGAACATGACGTGCAATTTCCAGCTGAAAAGCTTCACAGCTTAGCAGGGAGAGTCGTGATCGAAATTTTGGGTTCAGCCATAGGTCTATCAAGCAACTCAGCAGTCGAACACAGAGGTACAAAGTCGAGCAGCTCTCCATCTCCCAAGATTTTCGTTGCAAGCTTCTCTGATACCCTCTTCGCTACTCGATCACTTCAAGCTCATCCTTCCTTCTTACCTCCGTACCGTTATACAGACTTCACCCGAAACTACCCGTCTCCAAAATGGCCACATTCAAGGTTGTCGTTCACAACAAAAGCGCTTCAATCCAAAACTACATGTTCTTCAATGCCCCTCCCGAGCAGGTCTTTGGATCAAAGCTGTATTCCAACGTATGGGTCACCAAAACTGACGTCGACACTCCCAACGGCACAGCGACCCTGACTGTCCAAGAAAAGATGTTCGCAGTCTGCGGCACCGCTCCCTCGCCTTTAGCCGAAGGCGTCACAGTCAGTTCGAGCGACTATGCGGAGGTGCAGCTCACGCAAGGGTCCACCGGCGGCACCATCGCCGCAGCAGAGGCGGCCAACGGTGGCATCACGATCGGCGCCACGACTCAAACACTGAGCCCCCCAGTGACAGACGCATACGGCATCAACTTGAACTCCTTCGATGCCGCAGCTTATCGTCAGTCCCCTTCAAGCTCTATCATCAAAGCAAGCTGACATTTTTTAGCCAACATCTTCGTCGGACACGGCAAGGACGACGGGACCGGCAACATCGTTCCCGTCGCTACCTGGGTCCCAAGCTCCTTGTCCGACTACACCGTCCAGCCCCAAGTCGTCTTCTACATTGCGACGGGAGACTATCAGCAGGGCACCTGTGTCGATGTGACTGGCCATGGTCCAGTGGGAAAGGTTGATTTCGCCCAGGCCAAACCGGGCCAGCTCACCGCTGATATCACTCAATACGCCGACAACAGCTGGGGAGAGCCTGTGTTCAGCTGAAGGAGTGCTGAGGCCGTGTGAGGCAAGATCTGACGTCTTGCTGAAGCCGAGGAGGGATGTGTGGGGTTTTCAATTTACTAACGACTCTCGTCTTCGACTTGCTTTGATCTTGTGAGGAGTGGGCAGAAGTATGGTGGTAGTCATGTTCAGGCCGATGATAGTTGAATGAATCTTGTCAGTTTCGGAGCCAAGCACCGCAACGTTGCTGATTTAAACGTATCGTGATGGTGTTGCGCGCATGATGCAGTCGTATCCCCCGTGCTTATAGGAAAGAGGAGCAACACTGACGTACTTTTGGATGATGATTCCACAATTCGGTCGCGTAGATTTTTTGGGAGAGACGCGACGGACAGGGGTTGCTAGTGGTGCCAACCAGGCCAGTGCCGGAACTAGACTAGACCGGACTAGACCAGGGCCAGGGCAGGCCCAGATTTGTATTGTAGAAGCCTGCGCTTCGGCAAGTAGGTTCGGGCAGCGGCTTGAACATATCAAATGAACGAGTAGTCATGAGTTGGAGCAATATGCAATTCGGAAGAATGTTCATCGCTGATGCTAGAAAATGGAAATACCAAAAGCCCTCCAACACGCGGATATACATCTCCCCCTCCTTCTCCCTCTCCCTCTCCTACATTCCCTACCAAAACCACTACCCCCTATCAACCCCCCAACACCCTAATAATACTCCTCCAACCCCAACCCCTCAAAATCCTCCAACTTCTTCGGGCAATCAAACCCCCTCTCCCACACCTTTGCCGGCAAGATCCCCGCCTGCATCCCCTTCCGCCAACTCCACTGCACCGCCCGCTCCGTCTCCCACGTCCAGTAGAACCACCCCCACCCCTCCTCGAAGCTCATCATCTGCGCCACCGCAAACTGATACAGCCACTTCTTGTACGCCTCGCTGTACTTATCCGCGGACTCGTTGGCTTTCGCGCACGAGCAGCTCGCGTCCCCCAGCGGACACTGCGGTTTGAGTATCGACGTGGATGCATTACCCGTGTTGTACGTGCCCTCCCAGCGCGTGCCCATGCCGACGTTGTTGATGAAGGTCGTGCAATCCGTATCTGCCTGGCTCCACTCGCCGCACATGGTGGGGCCGAAGCCCGTCGTCTTGTCCATGCTGCGCCGACTCTGCTGCGTCCACCCTCTGCAGGCGAAATTCAATTTGTCCGTGTGCTTGAGGCTGAGCTGGTCGACGTTGAAGACGACGTACTGGTGCACGTCGAGCAGTAAACGGTCGTCGAACTGCAGTTTGCCCCGCCAGTTGTCGAGGCCGAAGAAGCCGTCGCCGAAGACGAGCACGGCGTCGATGCCGTCCTTGCGGATCTGCCGGATGGCTGTTTCCGTCCACGAGAGGACGCGCGACGTGTCGATGTCGACCATGCGCGGCTCGTTGACGAGGCCGTACATAGTGATGATGTTCTTGTAGCGCGGCTGGGAGAAGAATTGGCTGAGCTGGTGGTGGATTTGCAGAGTGCGGTCCGCGTTCAGGTCGCCGTCTGTGCCGTTCAGCCAGCCGATGGTGCCCTGGCGGCCGGAATGGTTCCATCCGTTTTGGCTGCCGGGCGCCCCGTGGAGGTCGAGGTTGATGCGGAGGCCGTGTTGGCGGGCCCATTCGATGGCACGGAGGAGGTAGCGCCAGGAGACCTGGGCCACGTACGGGTCGCCTTCGTACGTGGTAACCATCCAGTAGCCAAACGGGATGCGGACGTGGTCGAAGCCTGCGTCGCGGATTTCGGTAAAGGTTTGCCGCCTGACGAAGGCCGAGTAGTGTTGTTCCAGCGTCTCTTTGCAGCGGTCCGGCCCGAGCTTGGAGCAGAGTGTGTATTCGTCTATTATGCCGTCTTTTCTGCTGTACTTTTCGAAGAAGGAAGGTGTGATGAAAGGTTCGAGATTGAGCCAGCCGCCCAGATTGACTCCGCGGATGGGCATCTTGCCGTATTCGAAGGTATCGCTCAGTTTCGGCACTCTTTTATTGGCTTGGACATCGTCGTCCCATGTGGAGTTGAGCCCCATGATGGGCAATCCTCCCACCGCCTCGTCGGTATAGGTGACGTTGAAATCTTCCGTGTCGTACCAGCTGAACGGATCCAGAATGGAGCCTTTCTTGTCGGCCGGGATGCTGGACGCGTCTATACCCGCGAGATTGCTATTGCTAGGTTTCTTTGAACTGGAAGCAGCCTCGCTCTTGGGGATGTCTTCACTATGTTTCTTGGACATCATAACCGCGACGGGAATGATGATGGCAAGCACGATAAGGAAGCAAAGCACTCCAATCACTGTGAATGTTAGCACGAGTATCCACCAATCGCGCTGCTCGGCATACATATTCGCTTCAGCTTTTTCCTCCGCGCTCCCTCATCCTCGGTGAGATCACTAGGCTCACTCCCACCCCCTCCTCGCTTCTCCATCATGTACCGATACTCGTCGTCATCATCGATACCGCCTTCTTCAGCCAAGGGTCCGCTAATCACCCTCCGCTTCTTCTGTTCCGTCCTATGTCTCTTCTCTTCTTGTCTCCTGGCTCTCCTCTCCGCCCTCTCCGATGGCGTGTACTTCTCCTTATACCTCCTCTTCTTCTCCTCAATCTCACTCTCCGTATAACCCATCCTCTTGCCCTCATCATCGGTATACCCCTTCCTCCTGTCCTCCTCCTTCTTCCTTTCTCGCCTCTCAACGCCCGCGCCATCGCTCTCATAAGTCCTCCTCTTCGCCCTATTCCTTTCCTCCTTCTCCATCTTCCTTCTTTCCTTCTCCAGTTTCTCCTCCTTTCTCCTGACCTCCTTCAAGTACTCCCCATCATAATCGTACGCGCCCCACCCACTCCTCCTAGCGTTCACCTTGTCCAGCCTCGCCAACGCATCCAGACTCAACGGCGCTGCAGTACTACTCTCCCTGGTCCCCCGCGACCGACTCCCGCTAGCACGCGTACTCTCTCCCCTCGCCGGCGTACTCCTACTTCCTCTCCTCTCCTCCCGCGTCCTGCGCGGCGATGGCGACGCCGGCGTATCCCATTCCGACTCGCTGTTCTCGTGTCGCCGCGCCGCAGCCGGAGGCGGAAGTAATAAATCGCCCTGGGAATCGGTGGCGCGGTGTCCTCTCCGGCGTCTAGTGTGATATCGGTCCGAGTCGTAGTGGTGCTCGTCGGCGGTGTCGCCTCCTGCCCCTCGGGAATGCCTCCTCTCGCTCTCGCGACGCCGCTCTCGTCTGCGCTCGCGATTCTTTTCGGAGTCGCTGGCTCGGTGTCTATCCCTGGTGTCGCGGCCGCTGTAGTCGCGGTCCGACTCGTATTGCGGCATTCACGCTATGGACAAAGCTGGAATGTATAGCTCCGAATGAAACGTGGAACAAGCGAAAGAAGGCTTCGAAACGAGCGGGAAGACGAGGAATGTAAAAACCGCACAGGTCTAAGAATACTGTACCCCTTGCAAACGATGTATGCTGAGGTGCAAACTGGATTTCTGATTGATTTGGGCCGTTGCTGGGACGACGGAGTATTGACTTTTTCCCTGACGTGGCGGAGCGAGGGCGGGGTCTTGGCGCCAAGGCCCGCTTTTCCCTTCCTGTTTCTGATGTCCAGGGCAGATCCTGTGCACGTGGGAAAGATGTTCCGATTGCTCACCTGCAGTCATGCTATGATTAGACTATGTGAGCAGGTCGCTGGAGGGTAAGGTTTCACCCTTACTGAAATCTACCGTTAGCTGGACTAGGAATGAGAACTGGCAAAGACCAAGCCTCCATATCGGCATCGCGCAAGGCGAAGGATCATCATTTCCTCATCGCTAAAGGTGGTATCATATGTATCATGCGGCATACAAGCCGCTTAGTCCGTTCTAGTTGTCCCGTGCCAATGAAGGCATCTTGCCCGTCACGTCTAACTATGCTGCGTGCGGATGTCTGCGTGGACATCACGTGCTATAGCGGGAGGAGCCCAGTGAAAAGCACTGAAAAACGACCGCGAGAAGTCCAGGAGAGGCCAGCAGCCGGCAGTGCGATAGCGAGCGAGGCCGAAGCGGCAACCTCCTGACTGTGGAGCCAGGACGCTGGACCCTGATTTTGAAAGTTTGAATGGAAACACCGTCGACTCCCGATGTCTGCCTATGACGAGGATGCGTCGTCATCAGATGCCTTCTCCTTTCCCTTGCCATGATCGGCCTGCTTCTTGTCGTCCTCGAGATAGAGATTGTGTTCATAGATGTAGTCGACGACCTTATCGGGGATATAGTAACGGATGCTCTTGCCGCGCTTCCGGAACAAGCGGATCTTGGTCGAAGAGACATCATTCTGGATCAACTGTGGGATGACCCGAATATTGTCTCTCCACTGTTGAAGGCTGGCGAGTGCGTCATCTAGACTGGTCAGCCGAGATGCAAATCATGCCATAGACGTCAATTTTCAGTCATACCTATATCAGTTCCCGTACGCTCGAGGATGAAAGCGCCGTAATGGCCCAGGATTCGCTCCAGATCCTCATGTGCCCAAACACCTGACGTTTGTTAGAGTGGGGTCCATCCCATAGATTCCGGACGGGCTCACCTGGAGTGCTCATCGTTTGTATCAGGTCGGCGCCGGCAAGAAGCGCCACATGAATGGGTCGTCTTCCGCCATCTGCCGTGGCTATTCCCTTCCTGACCTCATTGAGTTCATAGTCAAAATGGTCCAGCACCTTCACGGTGGGAAGGTATTCCTTGTGCAGCGGCTCCCACGGGTCTACGGCTATCCATTGCGAGCTGTCCTGCACCGCGATGCGAGTCATGTTTATCCTGTGATGAGCGGAAGCCAAACCGGCCTTCTTGTATGCGTCGCCCACGGGACTGAAGAAACCTCCAACCACTTCGAAGTCGGTCTCGAACTCGCAGTAATCGGCTGCTTCCTCGAACATGCGCAGGTGGAGGTTTGTAGGCGGGGAGAAGGAGCCGCAAGAGACGAGGACGAGCGGTGTCTTGTTCGGGTTGGAGAGCACTTTCTTCATGCGGTCGTCGGGAAAGGTGTAGTTGTCGAGGGTCATGGTTTCGGCGGTGTTGAGCCCGGTGGTGAGAGCCGGTTGGCCCGCAGGGCCGTTGGGAGGGGTGGATATGGCGGCGGCAGTCATGTTGCGGAGAGCGATGGGATGTGGTGAGATGTGGGTGAAGGAAGGTATGTACAAGTATAGGTAGTGGCCACTGCGATGGATGATCAGCGAAGGCGGCACCAGCGGGGCACGAAAGATTAGGTCAGGCTTACCCGTCGTACTTATAGATGAAGAGCGAGCGATCAGAGGAGGGCCAGGCAGAGACAGATTTGACTTGTCTAAAGGAGTGACTAAGGTGTAGCAGGGGGATGGCACAATGACGCGGGGGTATTCAGGCAACCCGAATTCCCGAGAGTGGTGAATGAGGTGCTGGAGGTGAGATGTGGCGGGGTCTGGCGGTGCAGCAGAGAGGCCAGACCGTTCGGCTACCTGTTTGGACTTTTTCCAAAGGGTGGCGAGGGGGAGACGATGATGAGCAAAAGTTTGGAGGCAGGGAGCACCATAAGCTATATCTATGCGGACGGGAAGTTTGCGGATTACTGGTTTATTAGCACGTCAGTCTAGGGGATGGGAGAAGTGGCACCGGGAAGCAATGCCGTCGTTCACCATGGAAGCACCTCTGTGCCAAAGCCGCGGCCGTGGGAGTCACAGAAATGCCTCCCCAAAAGAGAGGACCGGTAATTAGTAATAAAGGATCTGGCTTGCGCGATTCTTGTTTGCGGGCAAAATGTTTCGTTTCCCATCCCATCCGAGGATGCGCTGGAGAGCAGTCTGTGATCTGAGAAACCCGAACGTTCCGACTTCGGATGAAATGGTCACGTGAGCTGTTTTCTCAGAATCGAGCTGCTGCACCAGCATAAAAATTCGCAAATTGGAGGTCTAGCTTATAATCACCTGTAACATTTTGTTTGAATCAGAGTGGTATGCGGCGGACCTGGAAGTCCATGGGCTTCAGCTTGCAGGGCAGAAAGAGACAACACGTGACGTACTTCCGCTTTCAAAACAACCTTATGTTGGAACTTAGGTTGGAGCGCCACAGTTTGAACTCCCGTTCCCCCCGCGCTTCAAGGCTGTGGCTGGCCCTGGGAGAGGGAGACTAACCATGACATCTGAACTTCCAGCGTCCGTCAGAGTTGGCCGGGATAGTCTAACTTTGTAGCGATTTCCCGTCATGCAGACCTCGTAGTAGATGTTGTACATTTCCACGGTCTGTTGGACGACCCATGAACCATCAATCCGATTCTACTGTGTACACAGTAGATACTGCAGACAGGGCATTCATCAATGGCCTTTTGGGGCTTCCCTTTCCCCATTCGGACATATGCTTGTGCTTGTGCTTGGCAAGGCGAGGCGGACCCTGCCATCTATCGTCGCTCAGATGCTCCTGCAACGCGCTTTGCGACTCTGGAAAACCGCAAAGCTTCAAGAAGCAGACGTCGGCTTCTCCACGGACAAGTCCCTCGCTCTTAATAACTACGGCGTGCTATCCCCCACCTGAGAGACTCCGCTCCACCTGCCAGCACATGACATGCGAGTCGCACAGTGCCCACCGCACTCCCAAGCATCTGAACGTCTCCGCTAAAAATAAGCGGGTCCCAAACGCCATCGCTATCATCTCCAACTCCCAGCTTCTCTGCCTCGACTCAACAAGTCTGCCAACACCCACCTACCACCACACCCTCCTTTCACTGCTGCTACATCACCACCCACGACCCCCTTTCACTACCGCGCAACCTCCGATCCTCCCTCCGTCACCGACAGTCCACCTGCTCCCGCGCCCGCGCCCGCTCCGTCCCTCACTGCTCTCACTCGCACGGCCTATGGCGTGGCTACGGCGCTCTTAATGGAAAGGGAACGTCGGCCTCCATCTGGTTTCCGTCGCGGCACGTCTCCCTCTTCTTCATCGCCTCCTTCCAGGTAAACCCCGCCTTCTCTTCTACCTCCCAACCCAGCCTCCACCACAACCACAATCCCCCACGACTTCCACTTCCGCACCACCTGTCGTCACCGCGCCTTCCTCCAACAACCACATCACCCAAGCCAACCCGCACCATCCTGTCTCATCGCCGCTCCTTTCAGCTCACCCCGCCCGCACCACACCTTTGTTGCCAGTCGGCCTGTGTCGACCACACAACTCACACATGTCTTCTTCCAGACTCACTCGTTCCGCTGCGAGACGCACTGCGGGTGCGGCTAACGGATCCCACCTCAACGATCCCGCCCCTCCTCCACCTCCTCCACCTCCGCCTGCCGATCCTCGACCTCCTTCACGTAAACGCAAGGCCGCTGCCCGCGAGCCTACTCCCGAACAAGCTCAGGATACCATCCCTGCACAACGTGCCCGTGGCGGACGTAGCAAGCGATCCCGCCTTGACACAGACGCCCCTCTTCCTGCTTCGCGGTCAAAGAAAGGCAAGGCAAAGTTAGATACGAGCATGGAGCCGGGGTACGTCTCAAGTGATTCATTTGGCTACAAGCCAGGCAGAGAACTGACTTTTGCTAGTCCTTCAGGGGAGCCTTCCGAGCCTATTCCAACCGAGACCCCGCAAGCTTCAGCTTCCGCCCGTGGTAAGAGCGGCCGCAAGAACGCGGGTCAGGGTACTTTCACCGAAACCAGTCCTGCATATCTCCATTCTGACCCATTTGCAGCATCTGCTACGCCAACCTCTTCCGGCCGCGCCTCCAGGAAAACCCCTACCAGCCCAGCGAAAGATGTGGATATGGAGGAAACACCTGGTGCAAGAAACGAAGGGCATGAAATGGATGAAGACAGCCACGATGAAGGTGCACATGGCGCATGGGATGAGGATGACGAGGATGACTTTGACCACACTTCGGACCCTTTCAGGGGCCTAGCAAATATCCCGGCGTTGCGTGCCTTCACTGGTATATACTCCGGTCAACAGGCTAGGTTCCGAAAGTACCTGGAGCAGCTGAGGAGCAAGGATCCCTCTCTCCAATTCATTGCTCTGCAAGAACTCTCCGAAACGTTGCTCCTGGTCCCCGAAGACGCTTTAACTGGAAACTTCCCGTCGGATCAGTTCGTGAAAGAGCTGGTGGCCCTAATGGAGCCGAGCGAATTCGGGGAAGAAAATCCTAACCTGATGCTCCTAGCTTGTAGGTGCCTGGCGAATTTGATGGAAGCCATACCCGCTGCCACTGCCAACGTCGTATACGGGGGAGCTGTCCCCGTGTTGTGCTCCACTCTGCTGCAGATGCAATTCATCGATGTGGCAGAGCAGTGCCTAAGCGTAAGTGTACAGCATCACCATGCGACTCCCACTAACGCCATTCTAGACTTTGGAGAAGATTTCGGTTGAGTTCCCGGCTTCGATTGTGCGAGAGGGTGGTCTTAGTGCCTCTCTGTCGTACTTGGAGTTCTTCCACACCAGTACGCAGCGTACCGCTGTCACCACGGCCGCTAATTGCTGCCGTAACATACCAGAAGACTCTTTCGACACCGTGCGAGATGTCATGCCCATTCTCAAAAACATTCTGAGCAATTCGGACCCAAAGGTCGTGGAACAAGGCTGTATCTGCATTTCCCGAATAGTCCAGAGCTTTAGGCACTATGACGGGAAGCTTGAGGAGCTGGTCAGTCCGGACCTTCTTGAAGCCATTCTGAGGCTGCTATTGCCTGGCACGACCAATCTCGTCGGCGAAAATATCCACACCATGTTCCTTCAGGTCCTTGCTTACACTGCCCGGGCCAGCCCAAGCCGATCAGCGGAACTCTTCAAGATGAATATCGTCGAGACGCTGTTCCAGATACTGACCGGCGTCTCGCCGCCTCCCGCCTCGGACAATACCCCCACCAAAATCGACAGCATCATGGTCATGCAAGCCTTGATTCACCGGCCAAAGGATCAGGTCTATGAGACACTCAACGTTATATGCGAGCTGCTGCCAGATGTTCCGAAGGACGGTTTACACTATTTGGAAGGCCTCTTCGACGCTGGATATCCGGGTACTAGGCATCCTCCCTTATCCCGTGCCGGCAGGTCTGCAAACGAGACTCGCATCAAACTTTTGGAGGGTTGCAAGCCAGAGGTGAAGCGGTTCGCAGTAGTCCTCTTCCCCACTTTGACCGACGCGTATTCAAGCACGGTCAATTTGGGCGTTCGACAGAAGGTTTTGACAGCACAGCTGAAGATGCTCTCCAACCTTGACGTGGATATCCTCGAGGAAGCTCTCCGCACCGTGCCGTACGCCTCCTACCTGGCAGCCATCTTCTCCCAACAGGATCATCCCAGCCTCGTCACTTATGCGCTGCAAGCCGCGGAAATCCTCTTAGCACGGCTCGGATCAATTTATCGGTATCAATTCTATCGTGAAGGTGTTATCTCTCAGATATCTGCCCTCGCCGAGCGACCGCTCAAAAACTCTGCATCCCTTCCAGTGCACGTGCAACGCGGAGGTGGTGATTCCGACACGGGCGACAATGAAACCGAAGACGGTGTAGAACATGCCGGCGGCGAGGATTCCGTAGTAGAGGTTCTTTCGGAACATGAGGAGGAAGAGCACGAGGCTGACCACGACGAGGAGGAGCACGAGCATAGCGATCATCACGGTGAGGAGGATGATGACACCGAATCGGATTCATCCTCTGGCGGATATTCTTCTCAACCGATGCCGAACATTGAAGACATTATTACCCTTCGAGCACGGAAGTTTATCGAACTTCATGAGAATGAGAGCGTAAAAGAAGTGAAGGAGAAAGCCTCGAGAATCATGGAAGAATTGAAGTCATTAGCCAACGAGCTCCGGAGGTGCGTTTTGGAGAAGGGAGCGGCAAACTGCAAAGAGCTCTTCACTCGCCTGGCCGCCCACTTTGATGGAGATGCATTGGATGGAATCACAACTTATGAGCTGATGACGTCGGGTATCGTCGATGTCCTGCTGGAGATCTTCGAGCCGCGCCACGGCGTTGACGTCCGATCCGTGTTTCTCGAAACCTTCATGGGCTCCTCCACGGCGAACACAGTGAACCCCAGCGGCCACTCTTCCCCGGAGACGCCATTTAGCGTCTTGGTGAGCAAATTGCAAGATCTACTCAGTAGGGCCGAGCATTTCGAAGTCGTGACAGTCCATCAGAGTTCTTATGATGGCCGGGCGAGTGCTGCTTCGGTGCTGACCAAACAGGTACGGCTGAAGTTGGTGGGCGACGAAGACTCGGGAGTTCCTAAAGCTTACCGCAACATCCTTGTCTCCATCCATGCCATTGCTACATTCAAGGCGTTGGATGACTATCTTCGGCCACGCTTTAGCCTTGCTGAACGGCCGCGTTCCAGCAACAGAGATACCCTTGCAGCATATGCCGCTGCGCTTGCCGGTGGACGTGCGCTACCCCCACCGCAGACGCCTCAGACGCCCGCAGAGTCGAGAAGTCGGTCTTCGACGAAGAAGCCATCCAAATCAAAACCCTCTGGCTCTGCTACTGACGGCCAAGCTGGCTCAAGCTCGGGAGCTCAGCAAAAGCCCCGTCGTTCATCTCGACGTCAGCAGACGCAGGGGCCTCCTCCACCACCTCCGCCGCCCCCAGCTCCTGCCCAGGAACCGAGCAACCAGGAACCACTTGAGTGTGCAGACGAAGAACGGCTTTCTGATGAAGACTCCTTGGACGACCAGGCAGCCCTCAATGCGCTGGTGGACGACTTGGATGATGCGATAGAGGAGGACGCACCGGACCCATCGGCAGTGAATGTGGAGGTTGCCTCGACAGGCAAAGTCACAGCACGTAAAGAGGACGGTACGCGGATTGCCACGCCAGTGCAGGGCCAAACACCGGTTCGATCCTCCCCAGCGGAGCGCGCTCATAGCGCATTGCGCGGCCAGCCTCCACCCTCCCTTGCTGGGGCCGCAGGCTTGCGACAGGCCCTCGGTGGTGTGTCTGGTTTGCTTTCGCAAGTTGCAGCCGCTCAATCCACGCCTTCAGATTTCCACCTCGAATTCAGTATCAACGGTCGCCCCATACCCCATGACACGACGATTTACCGCGCAGTACACTTCAGTGATGCTCAACCTGGTGATGGATCCCACCGGACCGTGTGGAATGCCATTCACACGATCAATGTTCGAAAGGTTTCTGGGCCGGCCCCTACCGAGTCCAGCCTATTCGCAGCGCCGGAATCTTCCACGCCCGGAAAATCCGGGCTGCCGACGTCCTTGGACCAGAACCCTGTGGCTTCCGGTATCCTTCGATTGTTGAGCATTCTCCATGGCCTCAACTGCAACCTTGACGATGTAGTCATTGACAAGGGGGAACATCTAGTATTCCATGCAGAGCCCTTGTCTCAATTCGTCAACCCAAAGCTGACCGCAAAGCTGAACCGGCAGTTGGAGGAGCCGTTGATCGTTGCAAGCAACTGCCTGCCTTCTTGGAGTGGAGATCTCGCCCGTTACTTCCCATTCCTCTTTCCCTTCGAAACGCGACATCTGTTCCTTCAATCAACGGCTTTCGGTTATTCCCGAGCGATGAAGAGGTGGCAGAACTCGCAGACGACTCAAGATAATGGGCGCCATCGCGACGATCGGACTGCATTCCTCGGTCGCCTTCAACGTCAAAAGATACGTGTATCCCGAACGCGTATACTGGAATCCGCTTTGAAAGTCATGGAATCCTTTGGCTCGTCTCCGGCCAGTCTTGAAATCGAGTACTTTGACGAAGTGGGCACCGGTTTGGGACCGACATTGGAGTTCTACTCTTCGGCATCGAAAGAGTTTTCCAAGAGAAAGCTCAAGCTTTGGCGGGAGAACGAGACGGACGAGAATGACGAATATGCGTTCGGAACTCGGGGGCTTTTCCCTGCACCAATGAGTGCCGCTTATGCAGAGACAGAAGAGGGCAAACGTCACCTGCAGCTGTTTAAGATGCTTGGCAAGTTCGTTGCACGTTCAATGCTAGACAACAGGATCATTGATGTCTCCTTCAACCCAACCTTCTTCCGCATTGGGGACGGTACGGCACCCGTGGCTCCCTCCCTGGGAGCAGTCAAGTCCGTCGATCGGGACCTTGCACGGTCGCTCAAGCTTCTCAAACGCTTTGCGCAAGCCAGGCAACAGATCGAAGCGGACAGCACTTTAAGTGAAGCAGAGAAGATGGAAGCCAAGTCAAATATCAAGATTGATGGCGTGAGCGTTGAAGATCTAGGCCTTGACTTTACCGTTCCAGGGTATCCCATCGAACTGATCGAAAACGGGGAGCAGCAATCCGTAACCATCGACAACGTCGATCTTTACGTGGAGAAAGTTATTGACTACACACTTGGCTGCGGAGTGCAGCGCCAGGTAGATGCCTTCCGCGCGGGCTTCTCCCAGGTGTTCGACTACTCGTCCTTGAAGGCCTTTACGCCGGATGAGCTTGTCATGTTATTTGGGCGAGTAGAGGAGGATTGGTCCGTTGAAAGTATGTATCATGCCCCAAACCTGCGTTTCTACCCTTACTAACGCCTACAGCACTCATGGATGCCATCAAGGCCGATCATGGCTATAACCTCGACAGCAAGACTGTTCGTAACTTGCTCCAGGTCATGAGCGAATATTCCCCCGCCGAGCGACGCGACTTCCTACAATTCACTACTGGCAGTCCAAAGCTGCCCATTGGAGGTACGCCGTCTGACTCCTTGCATTGCATCATCGCTAACGCTTCCTCAGGATTCAAGAAGCTACATCCCATGTTTACCGTTGTGTGCAAGCCCAGTGAAGCGCCATTGACATCGGATGATTACCTTCCCAGCGTCATGACTTGCGCCAACTATCTCAAGATGCCGGACTACAGCACCATTGACGTGCTTCGGCAGAAGTTAGCCGTGGCCATTAAGGAGGGCCAGGGCGCGTTCCATCTTTCTTAAGACGATGTGATAGGTTCAGAGACACCAATGTTTTGCTGGGGATAATGGATTTGGCATACGGCTGTCGAGCTGGGGCTCTCCACGACTCCGTTTTGCCGATGTATTTCTAAAGCATGGTAGTTCGTTTGGTACGTCGGTCATTTTCTTTTAAATCACAGTTACAGAATGGGAGAACTGCATACCGAGGTGGATCGGAATAGGCGTTATCGATAGTGCTTTTGTAGTTAATACGGCTGGAAACCCGCTCCAAGGGATGTAGAGTAGACAATTCCGTCGTGCCAGTATATCTCCTGTGTAAGATTCAGACTATCTACTTCAACTGTCTTCCTAGGTATGTTCCCACCTCATTCGATCTTGGACGCCAAGCCTCCATGCCGCATCACCAGCCACACTGTCCTGCAGTATATCAACGAAGCAACACCTTCCCCGCGCCCAAGTTTCAAGCAAACCGCTACGGGTTGTTTCAACCAACGCTCTGTGCAAACCTACACTCCTTTATAGATTGTTCAGCATGCAATTTGTACTGCCTCCTATTCGACGCCTAAATTGCACAACCCAATATGGATGAAGATCTCCAGCTTCTAGAGGTGCATTCCCCTCCCTTGTAGTCACACGGCAGCCACAGGCTAACCCGTCACCCAGCAAGAGTATTGTCCAGTAATAGACCCAACTGTCGTTTACGCCATTTACTCTGATTTTGCGGGTACCGATGATGCGCTCCAATCAGCGAGAGAGCTACTAGACGGGCTCAAACAGGCGGCGTTGGTGCAGCAGCAAACGGACTTTGATCCTTCTGGAAGTAGTGGGGATGGCGGCGCAATAATAGCGAATTCGAGTAGCAGGACGGGATCGAATGATACGGAGGATTGGACATCAACGGCTGAGGAGGGGGTTTCGCAGACGACAGACGAGTCGAGGGAAGGAGGGGTCTACTTTCGACAGACGGAGAGTTATGATGCTGCGGATAAGGAGGCGCTGCTGGCGGAGACGTTTCCGGGCGTGCGACGCGACCTCGTGAAGCATATCCTGAGAAAGTGTGGTGAGGACCTGAGTCGCGCGACGGATGAGCTGCTTAACCATGTCTTTCTGGCTGAGGCGGAGACGGTGTCGGCCGAAGAGTTGGTGGTGCCCAAGGGAATCGATGCCTTTTTCGAAGAGCACCATGTGCCTACGCGCAGCAGGAAGGGGAGGAAGAAGAAGAACAGGAGGGATAACGGCAAGATTCACACCGCGAGCGCATCGGAGTCGGATGTCCCTTCCTCCCCAACGAACAACCCGTGGTCAAATGGAAACAGCCAGATTGAGCTCATCGCATCTTGCACGAACATGTCAACGGCAGCGATATCGTCCCTCTATCACCGAAACGGCGCATCAATACCAGCTACTATAGGCGCCCTCATCGACGAGAATCTCGCCTCCAACAGGAGCACCGAGCAGCCCGAACCAGGACTCATCCAAGACGCCATCGCCCTCGTCGAAACCTTCCCCAGCATAGAGTTGGAGCACGCAGTCGCTCTCCTCCGGCTTACCTCTCCCTCCACCCCCAACGCCCACGAACTCGCCAAAGCGCTGCTTACCCCTTCCTCCTCGAAGTCCTCCACCTACATCAACAGGACGATCATCCCACACTACGCGCCCCTCCGCCTTACAGATACAATCCCTACTACCTCGCTGTCTAAGGAAAACCTCCCCCCACTCGCGCCCTCCCTAAGCCCATACACCACCTCCTCCCTCTCCATCGCCCGCTCGGCCGCCTTCACGCAAGCCTCGTCTCTCCACCGCAAGGGCAAATCCTCCCCGCTGATGAAGAGCGCAGCAGCGTACTACGCCCAACTAGGCCGCGACCTCTCGCTGCACCTGCGCGCCGCCTCGGCGGCCGACGCCGACGCCCTGGTCGCCAGCCAGTGGGTGCCCGGGCAGATGCTCGATCTGCACGGCGTGAGCGTCGCGGATGCGGTGCGGATCGCGGAGACGAAGGCGGCGGAGTGGTGGGAGGGGTTGGGCGAGGAGAGGGTGCCGGGCGGTGGGAGGAGGGGCGTTGGAGACGGGTACCGCATCGTGGTGGGGTTGGGGAGGCATAGTGAGGGGGGGAGGGGGAAGTTGGGGCCTGCGGTTGTGAGGGCGTTGGTTAAAAGGGGTTGGAAGGTTGAGGTGGGGACGGGGGAGGTGCGTGTTATTGGGAGGGGGAGGAGGTGATTGTTGGAAGGAATGGGATGTGGCATGATAGGAGGTGGGATTTGCACTGCTGAACTGGAACTTCGTGTATCTATCGCTCATTTTGTACGTTCGCTCCGTGAGCACTGGATGCCGGCATCATCTCCAACATGGTTAATCTCTCTCCGTCGTGAGAATCTATGCGTTTTAAATTAACTACATATTATAGATGCCTTGTTGTATCATATGTTCGGCATGCCTCCAACTCCTTCAGACCCGGCGGAATCATGTCTAGTCCTTGCTTAATTGAACACAATATGAGACTTGATACCTGGGTATACAGTATATCCCCACGGGTCACCGATGAGCCTCACTCATAAGCGGTTAGCGAATCGGCGGAGATGCAGATGCAGATGCCAAGAGCCTACTTTCCTAAGCTAGAGCTTCTATGGGAGCTTTGTCCCAACTTCGCTCAGTGCTGGCCCCAACGCGACGACGCGTACAGTACGCCTCTATACCTCCCAGGGATGTCCGAATCGACGTGAAATAAATCTCAGTCGAAGAAGATCTACATCATGGAGGACGACCACGAGCTCGAGGAGAACCAGTTCCACTCTTTGTTTCCCAACCCACCGCCATTCTGGAAGAGCTTCACGGCTGAGAACCTCGCGCGGCTCGATGAGATTAAGAAGGGTGCTCAAGGGGGTGCTCAGGATGGCAATGCAGATATGTCTACAATACAAAATGCCGCCACAGAAACATCTACGACCCAGCTCTCCGCCGCTCAGCTCCTTACCCTCCCAGCCGAACTCCGGTACCTTGTCCCGCCCGCGCCGCCCGCAGAAGACAGCGAGTACCGCGTCTTCAACATCCCCACCCGGATCCGCGGCATGGACCTGTTTCAAAAGAACCTCGAGTCCATGAAGCGCGACATGGAACAAACCGGGCTATTCCCTGGGTGGGAATACGAGCAGCTGTTCCCCTCGCGACCTCCCTCCTCCGACAACGGGGCTTCAGAATGGACGCTGGACAGGCAGCAATATCTACTACGCTTCCTCCGCTCGATCCTGCTCAACTTCCTCGAACTCCTGGGCATCCTGGCTACGAATCCCGCGTCCGACGACGGCGAGCAGAAGATGAAGGATATCTTGACGCTGGTCGCGAATGTGCATGCGCTGGTCAACGAGTACCGGCCGCATCAGGCGCGGGAGACGCTGATCCTCATGATGCAGGATCAGGTCGAGAGGAAGAAGGCGGAGATTGAGGCGGTGAGGCAGGTCAAGGGGAAGGTGGCGGCGGCTTTGGCGGAGCTGGAGAGGAGTGCGCCTGGGAGGGAAGCTGGGGTTCTGCGGGAAGATGAGGTGGTTGTTGAGCCGGAGGAGAAGAGGCGCGAGATGCAGCGGCGAATGTGGTATGCGATGGATGAATTGCTGGGACGTTGAGGAGGGTAGCGCCAGCGTGATTCAAGTTGCCTTGAGGGCTGGAACATGGCGCCGTCTCGAGACTCGCTATGGTCTACTTCAGCTTTCGGATGGTCGCGCAATGTCTGGACGATCGGTCATGTGAACATTCCACAGAAAGCTCGAGCTGCACCTGACCACCCACACCTCCAGTTGACCTTGGATTCCAGTCTGGGAATCGCCAAGACCAGGCGAACCATCAACACTCCTCCGCCGCTTCCATCCCCTTTTTGATAAATGCCCTCCCATACATACACTGGATACACTGGGCGCTTGCATATTCAGAAGGAGCTGTTTTCGGCAAGAGACAACCGACCTCGATTCCCTCAAATACCACTCGCTCCCGCTCTCCCTCCTCATCTTCTTTGTCTCCCCATGACATGGGCTTCTGTTTGCATCAATTCTCTACTGTATCTTAACTTGTCAGCATTCTGCTTGTCATTCTTTCGTCTCTACACATTAACTCACCAGTCTTTTCGCCTCTACACATCGACTCGCCATGGCACCCAAGCGCATCATCGTCTTCTGCGACGGAACGTGGTGTGGAAGAGAGACCGGTACCACGACTAACATCCTCGCTTTGGCCCAACTGGTCGGCACTGTCCGGTACAGCACAGTGCCCGGCACGGAGCCCACGGTCGTCCACCCCATTGAGCCGCGTCAGAAGAACATTGCAGCCGGGTACCAAGAAGGCGTGGGTCTGAACAAGACTTTCTTGGAATACCTTTGGGACGGTGTCACGGCCTCGACTATCGGTCAGGAATGCATCTCCGTCTACCGTTTCCTCGTCGACAACTACTCGTCCGAGGACGACGAGATCTGGCTCTTCGGTTTTAGCCGGGGCGCCTATACGGTCCGCAGCGTCGCCGGCATGATCAACAACTGCGGCCTTCTCAAGAAGGACCAGACTCCTCCCGTCACCGACTCGGAGCTCTCCGTCCTCTGTACAGAAGTGTACCAAACCTACCGCAGCCCCCTCCCAATCGATCACCCCAAATCCCCTCGCTGCAGGCAACTCCGTGACGACTCCGACCACGTCTGGCAGAACAAGCGGCCGGTCCGACTCATGGTGTGTATCGACACGGTCGGGTCCATGGGCATCCCGCGCTTTAACGCCGGCGTGGGCTTCGACTGGCCCGACTTCTACGACCACTACGTTTCCACGGTCGTGAAGGAAATGTACCACGCCCCCTGCCTGCACGATCGCTTCTGGATCTTCCAACCCTGCCTGGCCTACAACGACCCCTCGACGGCCGAAGTCAAGATCCACCAGACGTGGTTCCCGGGCTGCCACTACGACGTCGGCGGCCAATCGTTCCGCTTCCTGCGCCGCAATCCCGTCAACACTTTGGAGCGGTGGCTCGGCGTCCTCCCCGCCGCGCTGAGCAAGCCCGTCTACCCGAACCAAGTCATTTCCAACCTCGTCCGCAGGTGGGCTCTGACGGCCATACGCGACGTCGAAGACGCAGACGGCAGGGACCTGCTCCTGGACCGCGCGATCCCCAACATCGAGCGCGTCATCGCCGACTTGACGAGGAGGATTGCGATGCCCAAATCCCAGCAGCCCCTCGGGCCTACGGGGTCCGGGGACGTGTATGGCGAAGCTAGCATTGTGGGGTATGCGCCTGGCGGGCTGCTCCTGGCTCCGCTCGTCAAGATGGGAGATGCGGTTGTCGGCGCGCTGAATTTGGTCAAGCCGGGCTTGGGCGGGGACGTGAGGGATTTGGTTGGGGTGAAGAGTTTGCTGGGGTTTTGGGGGTATACGAGGGATAGAAGGGTCCCTGGGAGTGCGCATATGCGGAGGGGTGAGGGGGTTGGGAGGGAGGGGGGCGAGGGCGAAGGGATGGGGATGGTGGCTGTCGCGGATGTTTATCCTTATAAAGAGGAGGAGGTGTTTGCCAAGGGGAAGGATAGGGTGGTTTTCTCGGTGGAGAAGAATGCGCGGTTGGATAAGGAGAGGTATCCGAGTCGGACGGAGGAGAATTGGAGGGTGTGGAGGAGGGTGATTGGGGTGTGAGGGTGAGGTGCTTGATGGGGTGCTTGATGGGGTGCATGGGTGATGGAGAGAGGTTGCTTTTCTTTTACTGGGTATGTTTGGATAGAATAGAGTTTAACTCTCCGTGTATTCCTTGGATAATGATAATGAAGCGGTTCGTTTCCAGATGCCAATGTATACCTAGGTATTATCCTTGTGTGAATGAAGAATGACACCCTTCTTATGCACATAAAGACTTCGAGCTATCACGGGTTTTGATAGAGATCCCTCTCCGGATCCTCCTGACAGCGACCAATGGCGTACATCAAGGACCAATCATGCAGTCGTGAGTGGATTCAGGATGAAAGGGCCATAGCCAGGAGATTTCCTGCAATCTAGCACGATTCAAGCCAAATCCATGGCTATCGGTCGCAATCATAGACACGGCAATGGAAGGCCACCCATATATGAAATCCATATTTGACGGGACCTACGTGACAAAATTCGCGCTGGATTACGATTACAGCAACCTTGACAGGGGCGCTGTTGGTAGGACCATGGCCTTTGTGGTTTCCTCAAATTGGTTCAACGGGGCAAATGGTTAAGTGACAAAGGCAAAGAGAGAGGCCTTGATAGATAAGACCAAACCGCCATATTCGACTGAACACCCGGAGATCCCCGTCGCTTGCAGTCTAAACATTACGCCGCTGGCCATGCATACGTACCCAAATCTCGGATGGCAGGAGATTGGTGGGCCTCTGATGGAGAGGATTAGGTCGCAAGACTTCATCCATGGCTTTGTGGGGGACAACACCCTCTTAGAACACCGATTGGTGGAATCCGAAACCTTTCGGGCACTTTGTTGCACGAGGCGAGTACCATGTATTTATGCTGTCAGTTGGCTTTGGTGACTCCAACGTTTTAGTTGATGCATACCATTCAGGGCGGTGAAGCAAAGGATGTCCATGATGGTGAATGTTATGGCTGGAAGAACGCCCACAAACAGAAACTGGCGTGTAATCCGAGTAGGTCGCATGCTTCACGATTCAGATGCTGGATGCATCAGAGTCCTAAACGTCGTACTAATGACCGAGTATAGGTACACTCAAGATGCTGGCGTTTGCCATGAGACTTTGGAAATTGGGGTACTGGGTTGGCGAAGATGGACTGCCTCAGAAGATTTGAGGTTTAGCTCTCCGTCACAGCAACACGCAGGTAGATGTTATTGAGGCGGTTCGCAATACAAGGTTCAAAATTAACAAATTGCAACACTTGGAACAATGCGAAATGGCTGCACTTCTTTTGCGTAGGAGCTTTCTTCGGCTCCTTATTTGGATCTGCTTTTCCCCTAACAATGGCCTGCAGCACGGATATTCCAAACAACGTCATTGGTGTTGGGCTCGAAATTTTGTTCAAACTTCATCTTATCACAGACCGTTTGCCAGTCATTTCGGCGATAAGTAATGACCAGCCGCGCCTAGTTCCAGTGGACGCGATGCCATCCCCAGTTCCAGCGGAACGGTCCGGGTCTCTTAGTTGGCACTGGACGCGGAGCAGGAGGAGCCTGCTCCTCACTGTCATCATCGCCGTTTTCCTCGTCCTCTCCATCATTCCCAGCACCTTCACCTTCACCATCTCTTTCCGGTACAGAGCCAGCTGCAGTCGGGGTAGGCGTAGGTCGAGCAGAATCCGTAGAAACAGGCGTCGAAATGGGAGATGCCGGCTGTGTCTGCGTAGGCGACCCAGCGCCCTGCCCCGGACACGCACCCCCGAGGACATTCAGTCCCTGATCCTCGGACTTAATCAAGGTCGACAGTTTGACTCCGGCTGGGGAGTCGCAGTTATTTCGTCCATACTCGATGTTGAACACTGCCTTGTTCTGATCCGTAAACGGCTTGTATTTTGCGCATTCTCCTGGATATTCGTGGCACTGCTCATTCACGGCGAAGTCGACGCTATTGACGACTTCAGGGATCATGTCAACTGCATTCTTGAGGCCAATGGCCAGGTTATTGTCCTTGGAGACCTGCGCCATGAATTTGATGTACTCGACATATTTCGATTTGGGATGATTGAAACCAGTGTCGTTGTCCTGTAAAATGTCAATGATGAAGGCTTTACAGACTCGAACTTCTGAGGAATCGACTTACGAATCCATCAACATTATCCGGGTCCACCGCATCACAACCGGCTTGCGCAGCCATCTCAATACGAGACTTCATAATATTCCTCACATTCGGCGACGTAACATCCAACCATAACTCATCAGGCCAATCGCCATTGGGTCCTCCCGAGACAGCACTGCCAGTATCCGCATCTTGGAACTTGCCGGCATCTTCGCGCCAGCCTTCTCTGGTGCCGGCGGAGAAGTAGCAGATGACTTTCTTGGATGTTTTCAAGTCGGCAATGGTCTCCTTGCTCGTATCGAAGAGGTCGATGTCAATGACTTGGAAGTTGTCGTCGGCGGAAGAATCAATGCTGTTAGTATCTCCTCCCTTACTGAGGAGAATATCCCATGAACTGCCAGCTGGGAAGGTCGCGGTGCCAGCGCGGGAAAAAAGACCGGTGGGATGGGCGGCTATGCTGCGGATTGAGCTCGCGAGAGCGAGGATGGAGAGCAGAGACATGATTGCAGGAGTCAAAAAATACCCTATAGATCAGAGGTTGCGAAGTGAAAAGGTTCGTCCAACGACACGGAAAGGTTTCTGGTTCAACCAGTTTGAAGAGAATGAATGGCAAAGGAGTGGACGCAACGGCTGGAGTGTGCGATGCGGATCCCCCACTGCAGCGTCTGGCTGCATACATATATATGAACGTTAGGGGAAGCGTATGCATGAGTTGACTACCTTTGGTACCGCGGCAAGGCGAGGGGGAAGACTCGGTAATCAGAAGGCCTCTATTTTCTGTCGAAACGGAATGCTAATCTCGAAATATGCCACCCAGCTCATCTACAGCAGTGATGTGCAAACCAGAGAGGATGTCCCGGGCTCCTTTGGTTACCTACCCGGACACCTGCAGTCATCTTCAACATGCCACCAATGGATTTGTCGCGTGCTCCGCTATGTTTGAAACAATGGGAAATTACCGACATGCTTGTAATCGGAGGATGTGAAGAGCAATAAACCTCACGCAGCGCCTGGAGATTGAATCAGAGCGGGACGTCACCTTTGGTATTGCAGTACCGGCAGCGGCTTCGAACACTGTCGCAAGGGACTCTCCCACGACACCGGCTTGAGCCGAACATAATCCTCCAAACTGTCCACAATATCAGCCGCCACAGACCCAAGGATTGCTGGAGAAGCTTTACACGTGGTGGCGAAAATGAGTAGTGATGCATGATAATTAGCCCGGTCAACTGCCGGGCGAGTTGTAAGCGCCGCGTACTTTATATGAAATCGGGAACCTATTTAAGAAGCGCTAAGCATGGATACTCTGCATGTATACCCAATGACACATCAAAAGTGCATGGCCGTGCTATGTGTGAAACACTTTCCACTGCTGTTATTCGTGATGGTAGAAAGCGAGTAGGGAGCACGCTACGGTATGACATCACCTGCCGAAGCGTACCGTCGTGCTGTTAGATTCGATTAAACTAACTTGTACATTGTTTTCTTGTGACCTATACGTAACAAAATCTATCCGATATGACTTTGAGGTTCGACATGGGATCTTCGAAGAGGTGGCCACATATTGGCACTAGGCTACTCGCACGAATTTGAGGGACACGACACCTTGGCCTAATTGCTTCCCAAATTCATTACGTCGGTATATACGCTGCATTTCAAGGTGTGGCGGTGTGTAGATCACCGCTTCACCCATTTTGCGCTGTTGTAGCGACACTGGCGATGTGCTGCTTGTGTCCGTGCTATAACCATCTAATATCATTCCTACCCTCAGAAGCACCCATGCGCCATTCCATATCTTCCAACCCGTAAGGTCCTGATACCCAAACTCAGTCACCACTTAAACTTGTGCCGGAGCCCCCGTTCCGTTCTCCCCAGAAGCCCCACCACCTGTTATGTTTGCCACAAACTCCTGATACCGAAAGACTTCGCCGCGATTGATGCCTTTGCCGCCTTTAGTGAATGCTCGCCTTCCGCTGAACCCCTCCACGACCATATCAATCTCCCTTTCAGTTAGCTTTCTCTCCCCCGGTTCAGGTGCAGTGTGTAGTAAGGCGTCTTTCAATTCAGCCAAGTCAATCTGCCCATCATCACCGTCATCAAAAGCCTCAAATGCAGCGTTCAGCTCGCTGACATGCGACAACCCGGAAAGCAAATCCGAAAGCGTATTCAAATAGGTCGCCAGATTGATCGATTGTGAGTCGTGGAAATACGACGAGAGAGTGGCGGGCGTGGCAGTCAGTCCCAACTGCGATAGCATGTCTGCTACATCTGAAGCGTCCACGCTGCCATTGTTATCTCTGTCTAAAACGCTGAATGACTCTCGCATGCTGTGAAGTAGTGGAGCGGGTATCTTTGACAGCGCATCGCTTGATCCGGGACGATGGGCAGGTACTGGCCTTGTTGCTGGTCTCCCTACGGAGGGCGTGTTTCCGGGACTTGGGGTTTCGAAACGGGACGCGATAGATGCCGTGTTCATCGGCCGTACGGTGTGCTGTGTTGAGGAGGAAACTTGGCGTGTAGGTGACCGTGGAGGTTCTGGATTGGCCAGCGTCCCACGAGTACTTAACCATGGCGGAGGTTTATTCGACGCATCGCTCGTTGCGGCGTCGCGGGCAGGCGTGTGCGAAGGTGTTGGGGTTGTTGCGACAGGCTTGAGCGGCGAGCTTGAAGGAGTGGTTGCTGCTACTGGTTTCAAAGGGGAGCGACTGGGCGTAGTGTCCACGGGCTTCAAGGGTGAGCTAGTAGGTGTTGTGGGCCGGACTCCCGATGGCGACTGTGCGGACGAGTTCTGGCGTCGAAACGGTGATGTGCGAGGGCTGTTGAATGAGAGCGGTGAGGGCTTATACGGCGTCGGGGTCGTCGACTATGCAGACATTAATCACAGAATAGGTCAGGAATTTAGTATCTCGTACCATTTTGACTGATTTCTTTCACGCAGATAGGTGCGGGCGAAGTGATGTAGCGCTCATCGTGGTGTTGATGATGTTTGTCTTGGCGGTTGTTCACCCCGGCAACCTGACAATGCAAACGGTGCAAACAAGCTTTATCCCCTGGCTCAATCTAGACTGATCAAGACATAGCGCGCGACCCTGAGATTCTACCCCTGTGTGAGCGCTCCTCAGCGGTCCACGATCTTACAGCTTTCCGAAACCCATTGATCCTCCTGGACCGGCATGGAGTGCCTCGTCTGCTCTGTTGAACTTTGAACGATAGTGACCACGCTCTACGGAGTCCTACCCCAGGTGTTGCAGCTGTGGCCGGATCGCGTGCGACGGAACTCTGCAGCCTGTCCCCGCCCCCGCATAATCCGGACCTCATAATATGTTGAGATAATTGCATGGGACTCCGATGACCGAAGTGGCCGCACAGAGAACGAACGGGGCTGGCCAAGCGCCGCCTCTGTTACAGCGACAACAATCTTTCTCCTCGTTTCCAGCTTCCCGGTCGCCCTCGTTCAAATCCCTTCGCAACGATCCCAGGAAGGGCCGGTCGCCGCAGCCGCCCATGGTCCGCGAAGACAGTACATCGGCCGATTCCTCTCCTCCTCCGTCGCTGTCTCACAAGAAAGCAAAGTGTACGACAAGACTGCGATCTCAGTATCCGGCAGACTCGATCGAGAACCATGTTGAATACATTCTCGTTGCCTCTTTCGACATTGACCGCGGGTCGGTCATGGAGCACCAGTATCCTGCGCCTATATCCGGCGACGAGACGATGTTGGCCGAGCTGATGTTGCCCGATCAAGCCCATGTGAGAAGTCAAGATTGGACAATATTCTTCTTGCACAAGGACACCAGCGCGGAGGATGAAGAGAGGGAAGCACGAAGAGAAAGACGGAGAAAGCGGAGACAGAAGGGACAAGGATTGGATGAGGAAGATGATACAGTAGCGGGAGCTGCGGAGGATGGTCAAGAGCTTGAGGACGATTACGAGGACGACGAGACCGATGAGGACAGCGACGATGGCCCGGACCCTGATGGTCCGCCTTTAGTGTACGTCTTGAACTTGGTGAACACCAAACAGGACAACACTGTCAAAAGGTAGGATTTCCAATTTCGTAGATTTTCCGGCGTTGACGTTCAACAGAGGTGCCATTGTCAAGGCTATGGCTATATGCACGCGCCACTCGTTCCTCCATATATACAAGCCTCTTCTGCTTCTAGCACTAGAAGAATACTTCCGCGCCCCTGTCTTAGAAACCCTGGCGTCCCTTTACAATGCCCTCAACGCGATGGACCTGTCATTGATGCCGAAGCTGTCTCCTTTGGAGAATTTCGTTCTTCAGGCCACCGACGCTAAGGATATGTTTATTGAAAAGTTCGAGCAAATGATACAGCAACAGAAGGCTGCGGATGCCGAAAGAAACTCGTTACCGTCGACGTCATCGTCAGAGCCCAAACCGAAGACCTATGTGTTGCCTCGAGACACGCATGAGTTCGAGTCGAAAGTATATTATAACGGCATTCCTGTTCCTATCAAAGTCCCAACTGCACTAAGCCCGGAAACGGTTGGCGACTTTTCACTTATCAAACTCATACAAACCTTTTCTACGCCTCATTCAACCCAACCTCAGCCATTTGCCCTCCACCCGCATCTTACGACCAGTGGCGCATATACGCATCCCATTATTGTCCTCATCAATGCGCTTCTCACACAAAAGCGCATTATCTTCCTTGGCCACAATCGACCATCTGGCGAGGTGGCGGAAGCTGTGCTTGCGGCCTGCGCGCTAGCTTCTGGAGGCATGCTGCGAGGCTTCGTTCGTTACGCCTTCCCTTATACTGATCTTACCAAGATCGATGATCTTCTCAAGGTGCCAGGCTTTATTGCAGGAGTGACAAACCCAGTCTTTGCACATACGCCCGAGTGGTGGGACCTGCTATGCGATCTTCCAACGGGCCGCATGAAGATCAGCCCAAAGATCGAGAGTGCACCTGTCACGGATGGCCTCGTCTTCTTCCAGCAGCAGGGGATTCCTGTTGCCCTGGCAGGAGGCACGCAGCCAGGGGCAGACGTGAAAACCGGCGTGGATCCGACTGGTGACAATCAGTTCATGGAATCATTACTGCAGAGTATTGCCAACAGACATGGCGAGAATGCCATTCGTGCCAAATGGCGCTCTTGGATCTTGAAATTCACACGGATCGCAGCCGCTTTCGAGGAAACCGTCTACGGCGCATCTGCGCTCTACATCGGATCCCATGAGACCGATGTTGGTCTATACGGCGTGACAGGACACGGCTATGTCTGGCCTGACGAAGGGAGCCGCATGAGAGAGCTCGCAGCAAATGTGCATCGAATCGAGGGGTGGCGGAATACGAGATCCTATTTCACCTTCATCCAAGATCTCGCTCGCCGCTGGGAAAAACGTCCCGTTAAAGGTATCGATCTCGCCCACCAACATGATCGACTAAGATGTCTGCGCCTCACGCATGAACAAAGCGCCGCCATCTACCTTGCGCTCGCACGCGCCGTCGAACAAGCGGGATCATGCAAGTCTGGTACCTCGGAAGAGGATCTGCCATCCGCACTGTCACAGTCTCTCACCCTGACCTCGGATCGCAAATCGCGTGAGGAGTGCCAATATGACACCATCTTGCAACTCCTCTGCGTCATCCCGGAAAGCAATGGAGGGTTATTCCACTTGGCGTTGGGACTGTTTCACCCGAGACAAGATGTTCGTCTCGCAGTGGTCCGGCTGTTAGAAGTGATCATGGATCATGCCGCCGGTCGGCATCTATGGGCCACATTAGGGAGATTTGCCAAGTTGGCCTTCTACAGGGTCAAACGAGAGGAGGGCCACGGAAAGTGAAGCGTTGAGTTTCGATTGAAAGCGAACGCGGCCGTACGTTCACCGACATCCCAGGCCATATCGGCGTTCGCGAACTTTGAACGAGGCATAGATCTTATTTAAAGAAGGCTTCGCTGCTTATATATACTTTGCATATGATCCTAGCGGTTTATGATGCTTGCATTCGCCTAGACTAATCCATCATTTGACAAGCAATGTTCCCGTTTCGTCGTTTCGAGGTCTAGATGCGCTATCCTGCTCCGCATCTATGCAATCCATTTGCGCATGTCTCTATATCGATTCCTAAAGCTCTTTCAGGCCACATGGGATATTCAACATCGCAGACCGGCTTTCGTACCTCCCACATAAAACCGCAACCAGTCAATAAGGTGCTTAACTTGGCTCCTGTGTTCTACAATCTAACCTCCCTGCACCCGCGGCCCCCTATCCTCCTCTATCTTTTCCCTCTCCACTAGCGCCCTCTCTCTCCGGCCCCGAGCATCCCAAATGCGGGCCCTACCTCTCCCAGGTAACGAACCTCTCGTACACACAGGCCCTCACGACCTTCATCTCCCTCCCGGCTGCTACCGCTGCCCTTCCCCCGGCGTCCCCGAATCCATCTCCACAACCCCGGGTCTCGCAAAATGGTACTCCTGCTCCAGCTCCACAGCCTGAGGAACCATCTCTTTCGGATACGCCGCATACTGCGCCTGCACCTGCCCCTGCTCCTGTCCATGCGGTACCATGTACATGGGCGGCGGCGTCTGCTGCGGCGGTGACGAGGCCGGATAGCCTTGTATATATCCTTGCGGCCCGGGCGCGTAGATCTGCTGTTGCTGCTGCTGGGGGAGCTGACCCTGAGCGACGAAATTCCCCTGTTGCGGTCCCGGTTGCGCGAAGCCATTGCTCCTCCCTTTGCGCTTCCGCGCGCACCAGAGAAATACGGCGATACCGACGATGAGGCCCACGGCTAGGGGCACACCGACGCCGATGCCGATTTTTGCGCCCGTGGAGAGACCTGCTGCGTTTCCATTGTTGTCGTTGCTGCCGTTGTTATTGCCGTTGCCGTTGTTATTGTTGACATTACTCAACGCAGCCCCCGTCCCCGTCGCCGTCGGGCCTCCATCAACCCTCGTCCTCCTTGTCGAGGGCGCGCCATCCGTCGCCGTCGCTGTCGCTAGGAACTCGTTTATATCCGTCGGTAGACTATACGAGGGATACAAGGTTGCGAATTCGGATAAAAGGGAGGAGTAGACGGAGTTGTAGTCGTAGGTGTATGCTGAGTAGAGGGCTGGGTCGTACAGGGAGGAGATGAGGGCGTAGATGGAGGAGATGTCGTTTTGGTTGTAGGAAAGGAAGTCTTGTCTAGGGAGGAGGGGGTGGGGGAGGGTGGGGGGTGGTGTTATTGTTGGTGGTTGTTGGTCTTGTTGGTGGGGAGGCATTGTTGGAGAAGGATGGGGTGTGATGTGGTGTGGTGCGGTGAGGGGTGGGAGCTGAGGGGTGGAGATGTGCGTGTTGATGGTATCGCCGGTGGGTGAGTGCTTGTGGGTGTTCGAAGCGAAGCGGTATACTGCGTAGTTTTTCTCAAACTTCAAAATGGAGTAACTGTTAGTGTTGGTTGGACTCGGTATGCTCGCAAGAAATCGCAGTGCTGGACAGCCCAAGGGGCGGAGTCAACGAGGTTATCATCACTTCGAAAATGCAGGGCCCCCGGAGCGGGAGCTGAACATGAAATCAATAATCGCGGAATCGCGTACATCCTAATCCGGACTGAAGCGTTAAGCGCGTTGAAGCCGTCGTCATGTTGATTGGTTGCACATAGATGGACTGAAGCGATGGTGGCGCTGGTGGTTGGGACAAGGGGTTTCGGTACGGAGTCTGGCCAGCTGTGTCGCATTGTCAGGCCACCTCTCCAGCACCATACTCAAGTCCTGTTACGGGAGGAAGTACGGAGTAGTTAAGGTGCTTGGCTGCGGATTATTATCCATTTCATTATGTACATCTACCTTCCATTTTCCCATACTACGAAGTATTACCGGTGCCACAAGTTATCTCAACCGCAGGTATAGGATTTGAGCTCCTGTCTGTACAGCTAAGAGCTAAACTCGGAATCGTCACCGCTTGCTTACTACGTACTTGTACATGCAGGCGCCACAATCCCGTATATGCGCGCAGGGAGCGAGAGTCTGTAGCGGGTGCGAAAGAGGAAGAAATGATAATAATGTCGTAGGAGCATAGAGCTAGGTGCAAGTCCAACGTAGGGGATTCTTATCAAGTGTAGTCGACATAGTGGTGACGACTCAGGTGTTCAAACATAGTGCGTCAAGTACTAGCTTTCTCTTCCCCATTTCATGGAGCGTCGCAAGACATCCCATTCGCGAGCTCAATATCGCACAAGGAAGATTGAGAAAGAAAAGAGGTATCATTATCGTCTCATCTGCTCAGTCGTATCTCGTCCCTGTGGTCATCATCCTTTAGCCCCGTACCAATGTTACGGTCTCTCTTTTTTACATGACCATAACCAGAGCTCCCACCAAGGCTGCGAACACGCTTCCACCAGCGCAAGGAAGCAGTGCCGCAGCAGCGCCCGTAGGCTTAGTAGATCCAGTGGGACTAGTCGGGGTGCCAGTCTGAGCAGCATCTGCGTTCTGGATTCCAATGCCACCAACACCAGTCGAATTCTTGCACTCATCGTCGGAGAGAAGAGGTGCCGAGGAGTTGAAGGTAATGTCCGCGCACTGTACGTATCGAGTCAGCAATCAGGAGGTTTGCACGAGATCGAGAAGGGGATATGCAACTCACGTTGTAAAGACTAGCACCGCTATGCGCAATCTGGATGATCTGCAGGCTGGCCTGCTGGCCGTCAAGGCTCGCTGCGCTGATGTTGGCCTTCTTGAGTGCTTCCTCGATGTTCGCATTGCCGGTCTCCTTTAAGCAGAAGGTGCCGTTGCCCGTCTGGTTGAAGCCGTCAACGAGGCTGATGTTGAACGATGTGACGTTGGTCCCGAGGCCTAAGTTGACATAAGTCAGAGCCCAGGGGTGTGAGACCTTCAGCCGGATGGAGCCGCCGGTCGGTGGCCATTGAGTGCGGTTGCCAAGGTCGACGGTCTCGGAGACATTGGCGCCTGTGAAGGATATGGTAAGCTTCCGCATAGGAAATGGAAGATGTGGTTCCAATGCTGGCAATTGGAGGTGCTATAGGTTCCTGAAGGAGGTCACATACAAGGGAATAACCACTGCGATGCTCCATCCGCAAAGGAATCGCCACGCCACGACGGATACTCGACGCGGAAATGTGCAGAGGCGGCGCCCGCGAGGGCGAGAATTGCGACGGTTTTCATGCTGACAATCGTGGTGGTGATGGATTGAGTTGGAGTGGGTTGGAAGGGGAGAGGTGGTGCGATTGGGAAGCGGGAGAGGTATCACCGCCGGGGAAGGAAGAAATGCATGTGCACTTTATAGGCGCCTCATCCAGCAACTGCTCCACGGTATTGCTTTCTCTCGCGGGGTACAGCTATACACGACATGCATGGGGCGGACCACATCCGTCCATAGTGCCTCATTCGCGAGGGGAAATCGAGGCTGATATTACCAGTACAGGACTAGACGGGGTGTTCCCAGAGCCCAGGACCCGGTATTTGAGAACATTGTGGCGCTCGTCGCCTGCAGTGACGGATGCAAACAACTGTGTGGGGGAAGCAACAAGCTTCCTATACGGTCGAGTGACATGGTGTTTACTGCTCAAATGTGCTCAATTCCGCTTGGCGCCAAGAGGGAAAAGGAAAGCTTGGTTTGACCCTTGGCTTTCCGAATCCATGGGCTGTTTCAACAAAGAAGAGAAACGATGGTTGAAAAGTCCGCAGAAACATATCTTGATGCATATGACGTCCCTGCAGACTTCGTCCGTATGTCGTCCACAAGAGTCCACGGGTATCATCAGAAACAGGAGAAAGGACGAGTGTCATCAGAACATGCTACTCTGCTTCTTCCGCAGGCCATTCACTGTCGAATCGCTCGCACTTCGCAGCCCCCAGAAGCTCTTCTTCTTCATCTTCGGCTGTGTCCCTGCATTACTGTGGCTATTACCGAAAAAGGAGCTGTGTGAGGCTCCTGGCCCATGCCCAGGTCCCTGAGGCGGCTGCAGGTACGGCCCCGAGCAACTGGGTCGTGCTGGCTGCGGAGGAGGACGCTGGGACGGCCTCGAGGGTGGTTGCAGGAGCGGCGCGGAGTGTCGTTGCTGGGGTCGGCTCGGGGGATGCAGATTACCTTGTCTCGGCGGTTGCTGAGGTCTCGATACCTGAGGAAGCAGATTAGTCTGATCCCCAAACTGTTTCCGGAGACGCGCTGTTTCCGCATCAACTTCGGCCTGCCGTCGTCGACGCTCTTTTTCCTCCTGTTTTCTTCGCTTTTCCTCTTGCTCTAGAAACTTGCGCGTCTTCCTTTCTTCCTCCTCTTCTGCCTTTTTCCGCGCCTTCTCCTCTTTGCGTTTCTGTTCGCGAGCTTCTGCCTCTGCTTGCGCCTTCAATCGAGCTGTTTCAGCGTCAATCTCCCATTGTGCGCGCGGGTCTAGTCGTTGAGACTGCTGATTTGCTGTCTGTATGGGGGGAGCAGAGGCACGAGAAGGACCCGCTAGTGTCGGTGAAGAGTAGAGGCCTTGCGCGCCGGCCGCTTTGGAGAGCGCTTGCACGGGAGATTGAGTTGAAGGTCGAGAGGTCACTACCGGAGGAGTGGTATGGAGTGCATGTGGGGGTGGAGACCCCTTTTTACCTTTAAGCCCTGCACTGTTCTTTCTTGTCGCTGGATCGATGATGTGGAACGCTTCCCTTGGGTTGCCGAAGAATATATCCCTGATGATGGCTGCCCCGAGTAGCAACACAACCTCAAGCCCCTTGAAGTCTTCCATCTCAACACGGTATAAGTTCGGCTCCATGATAGTCATCTCTTTCAAAGAGGAAAAGAGTGCAATCGTGATATCTGGCTCTTTGCTCTTCTTTGCTTTCTTGCCAGTCAAATCCGTAGACTTTCCGGTCAGATAGCAGGCCATATCCTTGCCGATTCTGCCCTCCCGCCTCCACGCAAAGTTGAGCTTCGGCGCGGATGGATCTGCCAAGGGGTCGTGCTGGGTACGATCTAATACTGAAGAGCTCGGTATTCTGAACGAGGTCTGTGGCATGCTGAACTCGTAAGATACAGCGTTCGTCCATTTTGAGACGTGCTGTTTCAGGACCACCTGCTGGTCGGGATTATAGAGCTGTATCGCGAACTCGGTGGGGAATATGGGCTGCGGTGGTGGTGCAATGCCTCCGTTCTTGCGTATCTCATCCTGCGACAGCGTGGGCAGCGACCAGTCCGGTTTTGCCAGTACCTCCGCATAAACTACGTCGGGTATGTGCGGGTCTACGAGGGCTACGGCGTATGTGTTCCGCGCTTCCTGGGAAGCAGGGTCGAGGTGGTTGAGGAGGTAAGTCGCTTCCGGTTCAGTTCCATGCTGCGTGAAGTAGAAGGCCTCATTGTATTTGTTGTCTGTCGTCGGTTTGAGGAAGAAGGCTGCCAGGTCTTAGACGATGTCTGCCCAGAAGTATCGGGAGGGCACTCACTGGGGAGATTCTCGTCCAACATGGCATCTATTCATGCCTTATTAACAACAGTGGTTTTGCGATGCTGAACGCATGTTATATATCTCTTCTCCATTGGATTTCGAACGCGCGTCCTATCTCGAGGCTGAGCTGTGCGACTGTCAAAGCGGGTCAAAGCGGCTGTTGGGTGAGCGGCCCGTGCCGATGACGTCTCCCAATTCAAGGGTCAAAAATAGATCTGCGCCAAGAGGTGACTGGAGAGACCTCGAAAGCTCCAACTCGTTGATCCTCTCCCAGCATCACTTCACCATCCAAACATCAAATACCGTCGCATTCCCATTTAGGGACCTTTATCTTTTGTACATTGACTTTGCCTGTTATATCACATCCTGACCCTGAACCCGACCGGCTTTCACTCAATGCTGTGACCGCCTGCAGCTGGGAAACGTACGATCATCAATAATATATCTCCTAGGAATATGCTCTTTCGAATATAACATGATATTAAGCTTGCGTTATTCATACTATACAACCGGACTTACCTTACTCATGACTGAACCTACAGAAATGGAGACTTTGAAGAGTATGAAGGACGAGAACCACTGCCAGGAATCCAATCCTACTGTATCAATCCCATCCACTCTCCTCAACCTTCCGTACCAACCTCCGAAGTCGTGTGAGCGACTCCATGGTGATGCGACCGGCAATCATGATATGATTGGACAAGTGGATCTTGTCCGTCACCAGATGCACACTGGTCTGGTCGAGCAGGCAGGATACACAGAAGTCGACGTCTAACTTCTGGTGCGGCGAAGCGTGAACGGAGTCGTCACACTTGTCCTTGCGGAGTCCGACGTACTCTCTCCGGCACTTCTCTGACTTCGCTGCAAGACCCCTGCCCTGGAAGGTATACATCTGGACGACCTTGAGGCACTGAGCGTGCTTGCCCACGACGATCCCATAGCGATGTTTGTACATCGCTTTGGCAGTGGACTTGCCGCCGAATACGTTGGCCGCTGTGTCACCTTGGCCGAGTCCCAAAGGGAACGCCTCCATGTAGAACACTATTTGCCCGTGTTCGATCATGCCCATGCTATATGCTGTCACTGTATCGTACCTGTTGTGCATATAGCGCATGATGGCCTTCACGTGCGGAAGCCTCAGGTCGAAATGGTAGGCGCTGTCGTCGCCGGCATGCTCGTGGTAATGGCGGCGCCTGTCTTCAACCACTTGCTCGTCCCATAAACAAGGCGAGAGCCGGTCATGGAAATGCTCGCCTTCAAAGACCCGGTCAAGGTAGCTGAGCTCGCTTGCCGGGGGGCTGGAATACCTCCGATAGCTTTGACTAGGACTAGGACTGCAGGAGGACCGTGAGTTGCCCGACGAGTTCGAAGTGTCCGAAAGCTCACCTTCCTCTGTCACACCTTCCTCTATGCTATCCTTGTCAGCTCTATCCTGCTCGCTGAGATCAGCATATGAGACCAAGTTTCGAGCAGATCTCATTGCTCTGACTCCGTCCCGTCTCTCCTCCCTCCGGACGTCGCTCTGCTGGCGATTATTGTCACCCCGATGCTTGTAAGCATAGTGAAAAACGGAGGACCGGCCTCGACGCTCATGTTCCCTGTAGGGACCAGCCCTACCTCTGTCATCTCTGCGATTGACAGTCATTTTCCGTATTAAGGGGAAAAGCTTTGGATGGGGAAAGACGTACTCAAACTTTGGCTCTGAGCTCTACCAGAGAGTCTGAAAGGGTCTGAGAGTGCAAATCGAGGACCGTTGTTGCACCTGTGCCCGGTGAGCGCTTTCGATTCTCGAAATTGCTGTCTTCGCGTCCCTTGGGCGCTTTCGCTGAGGGCCTGTTCTTGAGCGATGCGAGTTTATATACACTGCGACTGTACATTGTAGCCATTCAGTATATACAATGTCATGTAGTGTTGTTACCTTTTTCTATCGTCTGGATGGCACATAATGATCGCACAATGTCCTGCAGCGATGCGAAGAGGTGGGATGAAAATCTCTGAGCGGAACATGATGCCTGTCAACATCGTGGGCAGTCAGCATACTTGGCTTGACGCGTCGTTGATGCTATGAACCCCCTTCTTGGATATTTGGCCCTCATGTAAGCACGATGATCATGAGCCGGACGCCTTGGAGGCCTGTCGTTACTTCCCCCGGTCGAAATCCAACCTTCCACTGAGGTACAATCGCTGTTTCGAAGTATTCTTAGAGAGTTCTATATCATACATGTAGTCACTGGAATTCCTATAGAGTAAGTCCTATTTTTATATGGGGATTATGCACACTACCTTGTCTCAATTTTAAACATGTTTCTTGGACGCTTCTGATTGTTTCTACTAGACTGAGTCGTCTTAACGCAAATCATGTCCGGGTCGGCAGCAGAATGTTTTCTGTTTCATGAATTTTTCCTGACACTGAGATCGGTCTCACCGATGAGATCAGTTCATCTGGTACTTCTCCTTAGGTTATCGGAGTTAGTGTACATTGGCGAGAGCATTGAAACTTGTCTTGCTAAGCCCTGGAAGATAGAAGATTCTCGTGGAGATCCTCACTCATGATACCGAGGGTCTCTTAGGTTAGCTTCATTCTCATGATAACGAAAAAAAGAAACGACCAGTCCATCGAACCGCCCGTCGTGCGGAGATAACGCTGGCAAACTGGAGAGTAGTCGGCAACATGCGCTTGCCGATCTTTCCTGGGAGCATGCCCGGGCTGCAACTCATCAGCTCTGAAGCGTCGCGGCGCATAGGGAAAGCCTAAACGCAACAAAGGAACCTGTTCCTGCCGAAGACAAAGAACAAGACGAATTCCTTTGTTCTTTTCTTTGTAGGCAGCCACACAAAGAACGGCATGTGCAGCTGCTACCATTTTGCGCGACAAGCCTTGGTTTCTCCGAAAACCAAAACCCAACTCAACTCCATAAGGGTATTGAATGTTCCTCAAGACGAATCAATCTATTATCGCGTGCCCTCCGTCAATCTACGCAACACGCCTATCTCCACGTCCGATCATTCCTACAACTCAAATCCTGCAAATACCCACCTGAGCCATTCACTAAAATGCCACCTACCAACTACACTCCCTCCCTCCTCACCATCTACGCACCCTCGGCCTCCCATCAAACCCACCAGCCAGAGCCGACACTGAGGCTTTCCCTCCCCCTAGCCCAAAACATTCACGCTCTAATCCTCTCATCCCGCGAACTTGCATCCCTAGAGAACAAAAGATCCAGAGAGGCTTGCTCCGACATAGAAACAGCCATGCACATGGGGCAACTGGAGGCAAAAATCTCCAGCCTGAGAAAGCGCATAGAGAGCGAATTGGAAACCGCCTGGGTAAATGCAGGATTGCTCCAATCCGTAAATGACATGACCGCTCTGTCTCTGAATAGCTCGGCCCAGCAAGCGGACAAAGAGAACGCAATGAAACCTCCCCGTCAGCAAATAAACACCTACTCCGACTACACCATCGACGAAGAACTCCGCCGTCAAAAATCTCCCAAGGATCCACAATCTGAACCCACCTACGAGGCCAAAGGCCGTAAGAAGCGCAAACTCGAAACCAAGAAGGCAAAGAAGGGAAAGAAAGCGACTAGCTCGCATAGGGATAAAGAGGACGAGGATCGCCTTTTTCCGCAGCAGATACAGCCGATTGGAGTTACATTGGCTCGGATCCCTCTTAGTTGGGCCCACAGGCAGCGGATGAGGATGTTTCAGTTTTGCAAGGGGAGGAAGCGGACGCGGGATGAAGGGTTCGATCGAGGCGGGGAGGAGTTGTGGAGTCCGATGGGGACTAAGTATGTGGATTAGGCAATCAAATGTTCTTATACTGTTTGCAATGGAAAAGATAAATCGGCGGAACTTCCTGTTATGGCTCCTTTTCTGCACGTGCAGTCTGCATGCGAAATCCTGGCAGAGTTCAGTTGGCGTGATATAATTGCAGTACTGAGACAACAAGGTGTCTGCGAGACTAGAAATGAGGGATACTATCTTCGACCTCCTCCGCAAAGTTGTCGAGACTTGAGCGCTCAGTGTTCTTTCTCATACTCGATCTCCGTACAGATCGGCTCTTTAACGCGTGTAAGGAACAGGTACATGAAAATGTTCTTGTGCTCGCTTACGCGGTATAAGGTAGGTACGGCATGCCATGCTGCAGCCCTCGGGTCTGCCGCACTTCCTCCGGTGAAAGGTGAAAGCCCACAGCCCAAACAAACACGCATACGCGTCAACCTCACCTCTCACCACCACAACAATAAACAAACAAACCCACGCCCACCCGCCATCAACCTCTCCAGAAACTTTAAATCCCCATTATCGCCTATATAAATAATAATTTCATACATTCCAGACAGCATTCAACACGCTAGCCGAGTGGTCTATACCCATTAAGAATCGCACATTGGAAGAGGACCACGACGCGAGGACGCTGTGTTCGAATCCCGGGGGTGAGAGTGCGTCTGCCTTAATCCATCAACCCGGAATCAAAAAAAAAAAAAAAAAAAATCTAGGAGGTTTTCTAGGCCAAAAAGGCTTAGTTTTTTGCCATTTTCTATCCCCCCGGGCTGTCGGGGTCACTGAGAGGAGCAAAACGAGAATTTTTTCTTTTTGGCCGTCGGAAATGAGAATCTAGTGGATGTGAGCGGAAGGGAGAAGGGAATAGGACGTCGAGGATGTGATGTCGAAGATGGGAGGGAAGGCCACAAGGTGAAAGAGTCGTAGCATTTACTAAACTCGCACGGCTTGATGGGACCCGTAGATGGCTATTTAGCTCGCTACAAATTCCACCTAGACTACTACATGTGACTCGTGCACGTAGCTACTGCCTAGCTTTGCGATCTCTGCAGTCTCAACAGCCAGTGCTGCCGAAGAGTCGGTCCCTGGTCGAACACCGCTAGCGAAACGACCCGAGCTTGGGTTCCTTAGAGCCCTTCCGTCAATTTTAAGAACCGTGAAATTTTTGTAATGAATGATGGGAGGCATGTGGTAGATGTTGTGTTTTATTTGAGGTTCAAAGTGGTACCTTCCTTTCCCTTCTTCAACCGCTCCGCCAAGGTCGGTGTTTGGTGTTGTATCCAACAGCACCCCATTACTAGAACGACGTCTACACCCTTAACTTACCCAACATATTGTATCTACTAATCCAACAACGGTAGATCCTCTATCCATTCCCTAACTTTACAAATTTACAAGCACGCAACAGGTATCTCAGAAAAACACTCAACGAACACGAAAGAGCCCGCGCCCGTTCGGGCGCTCCTACACCTACATATTCGATTCCTTTTTCATTCTATCCCACCCCCCAACTCCGCGTCTCCGGCATCTCCCAACCCTCAAGTTCTCCCCTCAGTCTCCCCGGATAACTTCGACTCCCCCAACTCAATCTACGACGGCGTCGGCGGCGGGAGTCAGGCTGCAGAGAAGGGTTCGTCGGGGTTGACTCGGAAGCAGGAGGTAGATAAGCTAAACCACCAGCTCCTGATCCCTCACAGCCTTCGCCATTGTCTGATCCTCCCGACGATGAATCGAAGTACGAGCGCGACGATATTTCGGCCTGGGCATTACGATCAGGGCGGTAATCAGGAATCCTTACTTCTACTGCCCTAAGCACACACCCTCGCTCCCGATCCGTAGAGTCTGGAATCCGGTTTGCCATTCTCCTACGCTTGGGCGCCGATTCCTCCATGCTCTCCGGGGTATCACGAGCTTTGCGCTTGCCGCTAGAAGGCTGTTCTGGGCTCTTGTTTGCCCTGTGTCTACTGCCCGGAGAGCCTTCCCTAGTCGACCAGCTCCGCCTGTCTGGTGCAGATATTGCGGGAGGGGGAGTTTGGGATTGACGGTTGCCATGTAGGTGCTCGCCAGTGCCGAACTCAATCAGAGACGGGTTCCACCCCGGGACGTTATTCTCGTCGAAGTCGCCGACAACGGGACTAGCTTCATCTTGTCTTTGCCGGGGGTGAGGTGCAAAGTCGGTCAGAGAGGGATTCCACTCCGGCAAGTCATCTTCGTCGAAGTCGCCGTGGGCAGAACCGTCCGAATCAATCGGACTATAAAACCTCTGGCCGAATTCCCGCGCCATGAACTCCAATTCATACCGCATCCGACCCGGCCAATCCCGCACGGCCGTCATCAATCCCGTTCTATCCAGCCAGGAAAACCAGCGCGTCCAGTCCCAGTTTCCCTCTTCCGTATCACCAGAAGTCGTCCTATTGATCCGGGTGTAGATGTCGCGCGCGACGTTCACTCTGCGCTCCATCAGAGCATCTTCATGCTCATCTCCGTCATCCCCTCGGAACCGCGCCACCTCGCTGATATACCCCAACAAGGCCGCACCTGCTCGATCGATAGCATCCACCAGTCTCCCCAGCCTCACCCTCTGCCGTCCCATTCCCTCCGCAGCGACAAGGCCATCTTCCATATGCATGAAGCGGCGATGCCCATCGACCCACTCAGCCCACAGCCAGCGAAACTCCTCAAACGCCCTGCGCAGACCGACTTCGGTTTCCATATCGCTCATCTCGCGCTCCCTCCTCTGCACAAGGTCGATAACAGGTTGAAGATACCAATCGCCCTCGGGACGTTCATTCTCGCCAAACTCATGCTCCATCGCGACGCGGAAGCGCAGCCGCAGTCCAGGTGCGAAAAGCGCTTCGTCCTCGCCCTCTTCTGCCGTGAGTTGTTCTTCTTCGTGCGTCCATGTTCGGTGGTACCAATCGAGTAAGGGGTCTAGGTCGGCGTCCAGATGGGTTAGGTGCGCTTCGGCTTGGTTGTATAAAGATTCGAGCTGGAAGTGAGCTAGATTGTGCCGGGATCGCCATATCTCGAATGGGGCGTCGGCGGCCGGTGGGTGGTGTCTGTGGTGGAAGAGCCGCCGACCTCGTTGTACCATTTCTTGAAGCTCCCGTTCATCCCTCTCTTCGGCGTTGGTGGACGCCACGGACGGAGGACGCGGTGATGAAGGATGCATTTCGCTATCATACCCATCCTCAAAATCAGCACCATCGGCATCGACAACGATAGGCGCAAGTACGCCATGAACGAAATCGTCGGTGGAACCTCCATCCTCGTCCGCGGTATCATAGCCCAACTCTTCAGCCTCATTCCCAGTCCCATGCGCAAAACACCCCTCCATCTTATCCAACCTCGCCCCGAACTCCTCCGCCCATCTCGCCAGTCGATCCCACCCGCGAGGAACCATGACAGCACCAAACCTGGTACGATCTTGCTGCCAGTGCACCGGAATCTCGAGACCCTCAATGTCGACAACGTCCGGTCGAGCCCAGCGCAGCAGGTAGTCGATCTCGACCCACAGCCGCACCGTCTGCGCGGTAGACAATTCGGTAACACGCCGTAGTGCTTGAGCGGATGTACTCACAAACAGTGAGGGCCGTGTATCTCCCCGGAGCCACCGCGCAACGCGAAGCATAATGGATTCCATCCTTTCGTAGATCGCTCTAACACGTTGGAAGCGCTCGCGAGACGCGACGATGTGCGTGAATTCGAGGTTTCCGGCTGCGAGGGCGAAGAAGGTGCTTCGCAAAGTACGAAAATGGGCGAGGATGTTGTCGAATTCGTCATCTTCATCGTCATCTACGGCGGCGGCGGTTTGTGCCGTTGATTCGGGCGCGAATGTTATGGCGTTGAGTCCTAGACTCGCGAACCAAGTGCGTAGGTTCGTGGCAGTGCTCGTTAGGTCAGGGGCACCTTCGGAGCTGTCACGCAGTTGCCGGAACTGGGCTCGAACTTGTTGCAGATGAGCCGGTATCTGGCCCAGTCTTTCGACGGCTTCTCTTAGATTGCGAGAACGCCGGGCGGTCGCTTCGAGTAGTTCTTGCGAAACGCGAGGCTCCTCCCGTCGGGAATTCGTCTCGTTGAAACGGCGTTCCAAATCGTGGAACAGCCTCGCGCGATGCTGCAGGACTTGAACCGCATTCATTATACCGTCGAACTGCGCGCCAATCATGGAGGTGATCTCTTCCTGGTCGAAAACGCCATCTTCGAATCTGGACAACGTAGGTCCCAAGTTGCGGATCCTCCACGCGAGCCGTAAGTATTCTCCCTCGGCGGTGGCGAAGGCATCAAGGACGTCGCTGATGCTGACGGCGTTGGGTTGCGCGTTTCCGGTGTTGGTGACGGTGGCGATGTTCACGTATACGTTTGTGGGGCTAGGGCGGATAAGGATGTGTTGGCCTGGTTTGAGTTCGATGCTCCTTGGAGGAGTACCGTGTGAGAATTCGGGATCGGGAAAGTGTGGGAGGCGGATGTTGGACTTGGGGGTTTGGAAAATCCAGGGTTGCGGGCGAGGAGGATGTGTATCGACGTATTCTTTTATAGAGAGGGTGTCGTGTTCGAGATTGTAACGGTCGAGGAGGGAGGCTTGGATTTCGGGTCCGGGAGGGACTTCAAGGAAGTCTGAGGATTCCGGGGTTTCGAGGTGGGGTGTCTGAATTTCGGAGTCGAAGGAGCGTGGCTGGGAAGGATTATTCGTGCTGATGTTGGAGCTTTCTGAGGGCTGCTGTGTTGAGCGGCGGGTGTTGCGCCGTGGGTTGCGCTTTCTAGCGGGTATCCTTCGTCTTGGTGGATTGCCCATGATGTATGGTGCTTTTGCGTGGCTAATACAGGGCGTTCGGATGCTCTTTTTAACTTTCCCTTTCCGGTCCTGAATTTATTCGTTCGATTATCTTGGACGTTTGCACAAGTGGGATTGGGATTAGGTGTGTACAGCGCGACTGTATGTTGCACTTTAGTGAGTATTATACCAGATAGGCTCGAAAATCGATCGTATAATGATTTACAATGCGATATCGATACTCCCTGCCAGCGGGAGCTCAACAAAAGATAGCAAACCGTGGAAAAGGGGAGATGTACGAGGTTGACGTTGACCACGGGCGTTGAGATATCCTTGACGAGGAGCAGGAAGGTGAAAGGCATCAAGTGCACAAAGGCACAATGGGATACCACGGGGCCAGAGAATACAATGGAACAAAGGGTAGCGGCGAATAGTACAAAGTTGTCGGAAGAGTAACAAAGGACAGAAGCTGTAGACCGAGGAAGTGGAGTTGAATAGAAGAAAGAAGTTCGAGGATGGTGATGGAACAAAGGGATCAAGACGTACGGTTAGAAAGAGAGGCTATGATTGTGCGAACCTAGCTTGTTCGAAGTGGATGACAATAGGGGAACAATAGGTAGTCGTATTGCGGAGGAGATGAGTGATGCGAAGGGGATGAGTGATGCGAAGGGGATGAGTGACGCGAAGGGGATGAGTGACACGAAGGGGATGAGTGATGCGGGAGGGGATGAGTGATGCGGGAGGGGATGAGTGATGCGGGAGGGGATGAGTGATGCAGGAGGGGATGATGATGCCCGTGGGGGGGCCTCCATTGTGCTGATTCTGGGGACACTGGCCCCGTGCTAAGAATATGGATATCGATGTCCAGAAGCGCCGAGGGGAATAGTGTAGTAGTGATGACCGCCCGCGAGCGAACCTTGGATGGTTAGCACTAGTGCTATGGTAGTCAGGCGCTGGGCAGATGACTTACAGTGACGCCTGCTATGTCCCTTCCTTCACAAGACATGATCGAAGGAGAGTAGCTCGTCCAAACAAAAAGCCCTTGAATTTTCCCTTCCCAAAAAGAGCCTATCTATGTATAACACCTATAAGCCTATACAAGAAAAGGGGCACTCCATCACTGATTGATTGCTCGACCCTTCCGTCCTGTATCCTAAAGCAGACCCGCCATCTACTCGCTCCCGAGCCTCGGTTCCCTGCCAGCTACTTCCTAGGCAACTCCGTAAACACCCTCTTGAAAATCTTCTTACTATTATACAGATTCACCAGCCTCAACCTCTCATTGTCCAAATGCGCGCTGTCACTTGCCTGTCCGCAGGGCAGTTGCGCCGCTGGAGCGCCGAACTCCTTTTCCAGAAACCGGATGCTGGGGATACTGCCGCCCTCGCGGATGTATAGGACCTTGCTGCTACCATTCTGCTGCTGTTGCGGTGGTGACATTGGTGCCGCGAATTCCGAGGGTGTGTCGTCGACAGCAGGGCCGGCCGAGCTGTTGGCGAGCATGTTCGACGTTGCGGGTTCGGGGCGGTCGGAGCTCATTTGCAGCGCGGCTGCCGAACTCCTTCTTCGTGCATCTCCAACAGTCGCCGCCGTGGACCCCCAAACCGAGCGGATCGCCTTCTCCAGCGTGCGGAAGATCTCGTTATTATAGTCGCCCAACCAAGGTTCGGCCTGGTGATCAATCGTTACTCTGAGACTATTCTTGCTATCCAGTTTCGCGAACTCGGAGTGCAGGTAGGAGACCAGAGCTTTGGAGACTTCTGATGACTCTTGGTTAGGCACCAGGCGGATGGACAGAGACGCCTTAGCCAGACGAGGGATGATGGTCGAGTTATCCGGGCCCGAGGTCTGGTAGCCGTGGATCGTGAGCGAGGCTTCGCGCCAGCGACGCATGAGGGACAGGGCGAGGTGATCGGGATCGCCGAGGTCCGGGTTGCTGCGAAGGAGGGTGTCTGTGATGTCTATGTAGAGTTGTTTTTCCTGGGCTGTGAGAGGGAGGATGGGGTCATAGAATCCGGGTATCTGTACTTTGCCATGCCGGCCTAGCAGTGTAGAGAGTAGCATGGTGAGGTCCTTCAGGGGTTCGTCGAGCAGCGCGCTGCCATCTACACCGCTGTGAAGATCTGGGTGCTTGCTTTCGATCTGGACGGTTGCGTGGATAACGCCTCGGAGACCGTATGTCAGGCACGGCACATGGTCGTCCAGCCAGTAGCTGTTCGCCAGGAGGATCCAATCGACATTTCCGATCAGGTCTTTCTTCGCTCGTACAGCCTCCTTGAAGCCGCGGGAGCCGCATTCTTCTTCGCCTTCAATGAGGAACAGGATGTCGGCGTCCAAAGATTGTTCGTTGGCCAGTTCGTGAGCTGCGTAGATGGCTGCCATGATGGGACCTTTGTTGTCCGAGACACCTCTGCCATACAGGTAGCCGCCCTCGCCTGTCAAGGTGAAAGGGTCGTATTTCCATTTAGCCTGCTCGTTTTCGGCGGATATAACGTCGTAATGGCCGTAGAAGAGTATCTTCTTCCTGGAAGCTGCAGTTGCAGGGTTGCCCCTGAATTTCGCGAAGACGATCGGATTGTAGGGTTCGCTGGTGTTGAGCATCTCAGTGACGGCGCCAAAGTTCTGGAAAACAGAGCGCAGGAAGGAGGCTCCTCGTCTGCAGGCTGCGCGGTACTTTGGCAGAGATGATACCGTGCGGAAGGAGATGAATTGGCTGAGAGACTCGACCATGAGGTCTGTCTCACTTAGTACTGGCAAGGTCATGGGGGTAAGGAATCATACCATTACTCGTCCGCCTGGGTGTCGAAGACGGCTCCGCACAGTCCTGCACGTTCCATATGGCTATCGTGCTGTCGTTACCGCCAGACACGTACATAGGCTTTCCATCAAAATCCGTGAAGGCAGATGCCAGAATCAAACCATTGTGCGCCTTGAAGGTGGATACTGATTCATAATGCTGATTGAATTTCTGCTAACTGTAAGTGAATGTAATCACGCTCAACCTCTCTAATTTCCTTACCTGAACAACGCCAGACACACCACCAGCGAACAAGAATCCTCCACCAATGCTCAGAGTTTGCACATCGCCCGTGGTGGCCTTCAGGCTCCTGACCAGCTGTCTCGTCTCAAGATCCCACACATTGACTTCTCCGCCTAGACGGCCGCTGTAGAGGAATGTGCCCTCTCTTGCGAGCGACAAGATGGATTCTCCTTCCTCTCTTCCGTCCTCGAGGGTGTATGCCAGAGATATGGCACCCCTATTTTTCGTATCTGTGCGCCAGAGATTAATGCGGCCATCGCCTCCTCCTGAAACCAGCACCTCCTCGGATGGCGCCTCTGGAAGCATGTCCCTGCCTAGCAACATGCAGTATACATAGCCGTAGTGGGCAAATTGTCGTATATCATACTTATCAATCTCCAGATTCTGTCCACCTACCGCATCGCGTAGACTGGTCTCAGCCGCATTGGGACGGGGAGTCTGGACGCCTCCTGGACCGGCCGAATCGAAGAATCGGTCTCTGCGCTCGGAGGGGTGGGATGTGAGGAGCGGTCGGGGCCGCGCATCCTTCTCTTTGAGATCGTACCACTGAGCCCAGTCAGCATGTGTCTCCGCTTAGGGAGGCGAGATCTGTACTTGGATACTCGTGTTCTGGGCTCCAAGATAGAGGGTATGGTGGTAAGAGGAGTAGGCGAGGCAGAAGATGTCGCCAACATCGTAGGTAGACCAGAGGGTGTACAGGCGTCGGAATGAGGTTGTTGACCAGACCTGAGAGGTCAGTCAACTAGTATTTTAGCAATTGGTCTTATACGCTCACATTGACGATTGGGTCGGTGGCGCTTGAGAAGAGCAGTGACTGGTCGTGTGACAGGCACAGTGCGAGGACGCTTCCCCGATGAGCCTCCAGCACTCGCCGCCGCTCAAAGGTATCCAGACTGTATACTAGTATCTCTCCGCCCTGCGTTCCAGCAAAGATGCTCGTGGCGGACACGGCGAGGGCGAGAATGGACTTGTCGTGCTTCAGTTGATGGACGAGGCAAGGCGCCCTGTCCCCATTCTCCAGAGCCGCCGTTTCGGACGGGGCAATGGCTTGACGATCGATCTGCTGCTGGAGAGAGACATGTCGGGGAGAAACATCTGTCATGGCGGTTCCAAAGTCAGCCGGCGCATCACCACTTGGACGAGTGTCGTCGGAACAGAGCCCAAGCTCCCGCCGGACCCCGGCCTAGCGTCGCGTTCGCGGTGGAGACGACCACAACTCCCACTCTATCCATGTTCTCAAATATACGCACCTGTTGCTTTGACTCTGGTCACCACGGTCGGCGGACGACGGACACCACGGGAGACGTCCTGGGCGGTGATGGACGAAAAGTGGTACATGGCGCGGCCGACGGAGCTGCAGGCGGTTGAGGAGAAACGGAGGTGGTCCCAGCCGCCATAAGAAAGAGAGAGGGCTGCTGGCATGGCACCTTTTGGGACACACCGCTTTGCGATCACTGCACAAGGAGGGTTTCTATGGCGAGCGAAGGCTGGCCGATGGCGAGCTCTTGATTCATTATTCCGGAGATGTGAAGATGCTGCGGCAGAGTCATTTTCTATCCCTTCTTCTTCTTCTTATCTGTCTTCTGTCTGCTGCGCTGTTGCACGGCTCAAACGATGAGACCTGTGTTTGCGGGCAAGTGAAGATCAAGCACGCAATGCCATGTACTCTGTAGTTATCCATCTTCTATCCATCCTGTCTCAGGTAGCCTTGGTCTCTCGTGCGAGATTGTGCTACCTCGCAATTGAGATTACACATGACGGAAAAGCTTGTGAGTCAATTTGATATTGGCGAGGTATGATCTGGAGCACGGAGTATCCGTAGAGCGATGATAAGGGAGAAGAGCACCGCCACACACACCCCGCCTCAGCCACAATTGACGACGACTTTCCACAACCCGATTTGGACTTCACTCCCTATTTCCATCTGGACCGACCGGCGAACGACACCTCACCAGTTGACCACCCACAAATCACATGTTGTGTGAATCCCCGATCCCGATTCCCTCTCTGCTCACCATTCGGCGTCAATAAATGACACGCAACGCAGCGCTGGGGGGCAGCTGTGCGAGGCGCTGGCCCATCCAACGCTCCTGTAACAGGGCGACACGCCAACCACGCCAATAATTCCACGCCCGCATAACGCCCCAACCCCCGGCTTCCCCGGCCCAAGACATCTCATTGCTGGCTCGACTCTCGATTTGACCGAAGCTTCTTTTTTGCCTCACCTGCGGCTGCTCCAGGCGCCCAATACCACAGTGATATTGGAATTCCATCGCCTCTCGTGGAATGGCTGTCTGATAAAGGCCCGCTCCCGGACCTCTGTGCTGTGCTGTTTCACCGCTACCTCCAACCTCGACACCCCCAGCTGCACTCACCACACAGCGTCTCAAACGCCCGCAGCCCTCCCTGACCGGACCTGCATCCAACAGAGCCGCCCGACGTTGCACGACACCTTCTCTTTTCTTACATTATCCTATCTCGCCATGGGCATCGGCGAGACCATCACCGTCATCAACAAGTCCGGCAAGATTGTGAGCAGCGTAAGTATCATAGGCCCTCCCTCTCTATCTCCGTCACCCTCAGCCCTACTATATCCCAAAGGCATGCTCACCCCTCCGCCCTACAGAGCCGCCACATCATCGACGTCTTCAAGGAAGCCAAATCCGCCTACCGCGAGCGCAAGGCCGAGATCCGCGCCGAGCGCCATGCCGCCCTGCAGCAGGAGAAGAAGCTGCGCGAGGGCATGAGAGCCTTGCAGCTGCAAGACAATAATGCCGTCGACCACGACGACGTCCGCTCTCGCGCTTCCTCGCGCCGCTCAAAGGGTACCCATCGCTCGTCAAGATCCCACAGACACCACCACCACGACGGCGAGCCGAGACGAAGCAGCAACCACCATCACCCACTCCGCTACGACTACTCCGCCTACGACCTCGATCCTCACAATCGGGAGCCCGCACCCCTCACCCGCCGCCACACCGAGCTCCCTCTCCGCCATCATCATCCTCCCCCTTATTACAAGCCCACGCACTCCCACTCAGAACCGCACATCGACATGGACCTCGCCTACGGCGACCTCCCCCCTCCCTCCCCCACCGCTGCTTACAACGAAGAAGACCTCCACCTCCAAGCCTCCAAACTCACCCGCCTCCTCGAAGAAGCCCACTGCCTCCACCACTCGGTCAGCACGACCATTGACTCGTTGCAAAAGAACCCCGACGCCCTCGCCGCCGTCGCCCTGACCTTGGCCGAAATCAGCAACCTCGTCGGCAAAATGGGTCCTGGCGTGCTGACCTTTTTAAAGGGGAGTTTCCCAGCTGTAGCGGCGCTGTTAGCGTCGCCGCAGTTCATGATTGCGGCCGGTGTGGGTATCGGCGTTACCATCGTGGCGTTGGGGGGTTATAAGATTATCAAGAAGATCCAGGCTGTGCCGAGTCAGGGGGAGGGGCCGGTTTTGGAGGAGCCGTGGCGGGGGGCTGGTCCTGTTGGTGGTGGATTGGACCAGCTCGAAGAGCTCGAAACGCAGGAATTGAGCCGCATCGAGGTATGGCGTCGGGGCATCGCGGACGTCGAGGCCGAGAGCGCGGGCACGACGGTGGATGGCGAGTTCATCACGCCTGGAGCTAGTAGGCATTTGGTGGCTGTGGGCGTGCTGGAGGAGGAGGAGGTGAGGTCGAGGAGGAAGTCGAGGGTCGGCAAGGGGGAAGAAACTGAGAGTAGGAAGAGCCATCGGTCGAAGGGGGCGAAGAGTTCTGCTAAGAGCAGTAGTAGCTCATCGAGGAGTAAGTCGACCAAGGAGAAGAGTCGGAAGAAGGAGCCGAGTGGGTTGAGGATGCTGTTTAGGAGTCATACGGCGCACTGAAGGAAGGAAGAGGAGGACGGGAGCTGGGTTGGACATGAGAAACTATGATGGCGTTTTGGATGTTCCGCGTTCTTTTGGCGTTTTGGTGCATGTGACGGTAGACTCGCGTTCAGCATGGTGGAGTTGGGCGATTACATATCCATTATCCATGTTTGACCACGCTACCTATGTAGCTGGGATGGTGTACTGACGTTTCGCCTCTTCCTTTTGCGCGTCGTAGTTGTCGTCGCGTAAAAACAGTTTCGCCATGCTTTGCTCTTTTTCGTCGTCACCGTGGTTTTCGAGGACGTCAAGGGTTTCTTCTGCTAGTCGGATGGTATTGCGCGTCGACTCTTCGATGCGAGTTCGTACTCCTACCACTGACCCAACGCCTATAGTCCCCGCATCCTAGACGGATCGCCAGTCGTTCCTCCTAAGATAGAGTGCCCCGGGACTCATGAACAGTGGAAGTTCAGAGGCGACCGAGAATGGACTGACCACAGCCCGCGTTAATAGTCCACCTTGCCGCTAAGCAAGAAGCTCCAACCAAAATGATATGGTGGAGGGCGCCCGAATCAGCCTATCTGCGACCCAGCCAACCCAGCGGGGCATTTCCTCTCGAATACTCTATACGGATTTGAACAAAGCCATCGATGCATATTGCCAGCATGGCAAGCAAACCAAGGGATACGACAAGTACGGGAAGAATATGTTTCGGTATCCAGAGGAGGGACACCCGCAGTTTTATGGGGGAGAGGGATTCTCGATGCATTTGATTTTTGGGGCGAAGACGGTAAATGATGGCGATGCGGAGCCGTATGAGGATATAGGTTGGTGCAAGTGAGTGATGACTCGGTGGGAATGTGGAAGTGACGAATTGCTGACGTTTGGTTAGGGATTATGATTGGAAATCAGGGAAAGATGATTGCACGTACGCCTTAAGGAGGCTGTATTAGAAGTGTATAGGTCTGAATGAGATCCGTGGGGGAGAGTTTACATACAGATGTGTGCATTACAGATCGGTACACGTAATGCTGAGGAATTGAGTGGGGAGAGAGGACATCGAGCGGGCTGTATGTCCTGATGTGGAGGAGACACACGGGCGCAGGCGAAGATGGCGGAGTTCACTTCGTGAAGACAAGAAGACCTTGATGTGATATATAGCTACACGGTCCTTATACATGTTTCCCTGACATCTATCCAATCTCTGGGTATCTCAATATCCAATCAAATGCACAACCAACACCAAACAGCCATCATAGAACCGTACAAACCGCAAATCCTTAAGCATCCTCCAGCTCACTGAAAGCCTCAGGAAACTTCTCCCGCAGAAACTCCTGAACCTGGGGATCGGCACCGCATTGAGCTTGCTGCGGGAAAGACACTACTTTTAATCCCTCGAGTGAGCGCGCTCGGCTCAGCGCAACATATGCTTGGCCTGCTTCAAATGTTCGGGACAAGTCCACTTCGACTTTGTCTAGTGTCATCCCCTACGGAGCGTTAGTATCTGAGTGCGTATATATGACGGAGAAATTGGCGTACCTGGCTCTTATGCGTGGTGATCGCATACCCAGCCATAAGCGGGATCTGTGTCCTTGTCAAGAGAGTATACGGTTTCGAGTCTCCATACTCATTGACAGTACAATCGGCGTAGATGACGCGACGTTGGCCATTGTTGAAGCGCACCTCGGGCCACTCCTTGCACTCGGCCATATTGATGAATTTCTGAATCTGTGCTTCGCGGTATTCGGAATACGCTCCTGCCAGGGTCAGAGCCGGTCTGAAGCCGAATTCAGAGATCATCTTCTTGTCGTCGCTGGAACTCGCTTTCGGCATGAGTTTTTCGTCATAGGGAACAAAACCTTGGATGGTGCCTTGTGCGCCGTTGACTAGACCGGCGGTGATGTCGAGGTTGGCGAGGAGTACGACGGCCATGCCTTTCTTGAGGTGGACTTGGGAACTGTATCGATGTTCTTTCTCTTCCTGTTGCATCGTTAGCGTTGGGAATGCGGCGGTTGAGCGAGACGCTTACCAAGTCAATCAGGGCTCCGTCTTGGTTGACGCGGCCCATCCTTTCCAGATTGCGGTGTTCCTCATTCCAAATGAATTCATCTACACATTTGTAGGTGCGTGCTCTCGACTGCAGCTTGCTGAAGCGCTCATAGTTGAGTCTATTAACCTCCGCTCTGGAGCCAAACAGCTTGACTGCATTCGCGTTGACGCCTTTGGTCGGGTGATTGAGCAGAAGGTTTACATCTGCTGTAGTCAATGGTCGGCCTATGCGTAGTTTCTGGAGTAAATTGATGAATATTCTGTCGCTTTGCCTGTGGATGTTGGTAAGATTGACATGGACAAAGTTGCACTCCTTCCAAGCTGCACTTCTGAAAGCCCACTTGTCTCTGTCATGATAGACGCCATGTTCGTCACAATGGTACTCATTGGAGTTTTTCTTCTTGAGTTCCTTACCACAGTGCATGCAGTGTTGAAAAGGCTTCACCGGCGGCAACTGGCAGAAGTCCCCTGTGACAACAAGTTGGACGCCTCCAAATGCCCTGCCATTCCCCCTCGCTGCTTGCATGAACCTATGCATGCGCTCAAAATGCAAGTTCTCAACCATGCTTATCTCATCTATTACTAGGACATCGGTTTCGTTCAGCCTCTTGTACACATGTTTACCATGCGCCAATTTGAGCAGCTCGTCCAGCATTTTCTTGTGATGGCCGGGTACCCACCCCATATACTGCCAGGTAGTCGTGCCATTGACGGCCAGCGCAGCTCGTCCTGTGGGCGCAAGTATGTTCACCGTCTTTCCTCTTTCTTTGAATTTCTTCACGAATGCTTTAAGGACTGTCGACTTGCCACATCCTGCGGATCCTGTGTAGAATACATTCCGCCCGCTCATGATTAGATCAACTAGATCTGCCTGCTCCTTGCACAGAGGGGGCTCGTCTGCAGGTGTTGGTACACTGTAAGTATGACTCGTTGTCGTCGTCATCGGGACTGGGGGAATTTGTGTGGGCGGAGTATGTGCTGGGACAGACACGGTTCCGTTTACAGCACTCAGGCTGTGATTATGCACCGCGGTGGCGGCAGTAGGTTTCTTCTTCGAAGGCTTAGCAGTCGATGATGGTTGTGAAGGGTATATTGCAACGCTGCTGTCAGGTTGGCCCAGGTGCCGTATCTTCCCCATGGTCGGTTCATCCAATCGTTGTGGCAGCGCAGAGGCGACAGATTTATGTACCATAACCGCGCGTTTTGCTGCTGGTTTTGGCGGAGAACTGAGGTCTAGGACGATTGGATTGACCTGAGTGCCTGCAAAGGATATGGGCATGTCGACAGAGTCTATTCGGTGCAGCTGGGGTGCATTCTTTGCGGATGCCATACTTGTCTGGCCTTCTTTACCCTCCAGTCTACGTTTCTTCTTCTGATGAGGCTTCTCTCCCTCGGGGACCTTCTGCCGCTTCTTGCTTCCATTTTCTGATACGGGGCTAGGTTTTTGCTCGGCAGTGGCTACTTGTGTGGGGATGCGAGCATAGGTAGAGGCGGCTTCCCATCGTATGCTGTCGTTGACTGAGGGTGTGCGCACAGCAGCGCTGTGCTCATACCATTGCGGAGCAGGCGTATACCACGCCTCGTCATACCCTTGGGTTTCTGGTTGCGCAGGTGGGTGGGAGGTGGGCGCCCCGCAGCTCGGTGTATGAGGTACTGAGGCATATGAATGAGACGAGTATGGAGCAAACTGGTCCCAAGAAGGGACGGCGGAGTGGTAAGTCGGATGCTGTTGCCACTGAGTCCAGTTTCTGGAGTGGTCCGTATAGGTAGAATGATTTGTGTCAGAAAGCGGACTTGCCGCAGAGCCAAAGGTACTAGTTCCTCCTGAATTGTCTGTTTGAAAATCAGCATCCTTGACCGCACTTGATAGTTCACCGGTATCTGTCTCACATGTGTAATAACCTTGGTACCCTGCCTGAGGCGGATGGGCTTGTGAAGCATGATTGAGGGCAGGCTGCACGCCCTTTGTCCCCTTAGACATGCTTTCCATGCAGAGCTATCAGATTCTCGGAGTTGCAATGAATACCCAACCAATATCAAATCATCAAAAATATGCCACAAGAATGGCAGAAGAGCTCAGGAGAAGTGAAATACGAATCGCGTCGCTTCCAATTGCGGGAGACGCGATGTGCAGGGATGCGTGTTCAGGCCTAGCGCGAGGTCACGGGCACTACTGAGCTTGGCATGAAGCTTCACGGCAACCGCAGTTGAGATCCGAATCTCTTATTCTGTCCTAATAAGTCCTCCACAAACCATTTCCGCTCTTGAATATAGCACCGTGCTTATCCCACATTTCTGCAGCCGATTTAAAAGAAAAGCTAAAAGAAATCCGAAAGATACCGAGCGTTTGAAGCTTGCAACTTTGCTCTTGACCCCACTGCGGGCAGGCATCAGTACCTCAACACCAATAGCGGCGCTGTGTATTGCCGTAACCACGGAGCGGTAGCACAACTGGACAAAATGGTGGTTGATCCGGAACAGTCACCGTTCTTCAAAGATCGCAGGGCTCAAGGCTGCATTGTCGTCAGAGGTAGTCCGGCTTGCGCTTATCCTACTTGCTTGTACTCACAGAGAATCAGAACTTCCCAAGTTTGACCTCGAATCATACATATCCAATTATGACGGACCCACTCGCATTCTCCGACTTCGTCACATCGGCTCCCACTCTCCATACCTAGCGGTCGACGCCTACCGAATGGCAATCTCCCAAGCCAAAGAAGGAAAGAACGTACAACTCTACACAGACCTTGTGGAGCAGTTCAATCAGATTGCGCCGGATGATCCTTTGGCAACAAAAGATGATGCATGGGTGGAGAAGAAGAAGCAAGACGTCAAAGCGGAAGGCGAACGACTGAACCATGAACTGAGGGCGTACAAGAACAATCTCATCCAGGAGAGCATAAGAGTACGCAGACCGCCCATGACTTCTGCCTTTGTCCGGGATGCTGATAAACCTCACAGATGGGCAATGAGGACCTTGGCCATTTCTACGCTGCATGTGGCGACCACGCAGAGGCAGTGAGGGCTTTCAACCGCATGCGAGATAACTGCACGTCGCCGAAGCAGATTGCGGATATGAATCTACGACTCGTGGTGAATTATATTGCCCAATCGGCATGGATGGCGGTGCAAACGTCACTGATAAAGCTGGAGGCAGTTGGACTGAGGCCAGAGGAGAAGAGCAAACTGGATCCCGTCATATCAGCCTGCTATGGCCTCTCGTACATGTGTACGGGAAACTATCTCGATGCTGCGAACAGCTTCATCAACACTTCGTCTTCCTTCATGACTATGGAGCCCGTAGGTGGTGTCCAGTGGCAGAGGGAGGTTATATCCGCCAATGATGTTGCTGTCTACGGCGGCCTCTGTGCGCTCGCATCCATGGATCGCAATGAGTTGCAGACCAATGTCCTCGGGGACTCAAACTTTCGCAATTTTCTGGAGCTGGAGCCGCATATTCGTCGCGCCATCACTCTCTTTTGCAATTCCAAGTACAGTGCCTGTCTTGAGGTTTTGGAGGGTTACCGGACCGACTACCTCTTGGACATGTACCTGTGTGATCGCTTATCGGTAATCTACGGCAAGATACGCACCAAGAGCATCGTGCAGTATTTCGTTCCTTTTAGCTGTGTGACTCTGGAGGAGATGGCATCCAAGTTTGGAACAGGCGATGAGAATGCAAGCATCGAGGACGAGCTGGCGAAGATGATCTCGACGGGTCTGCTTAACGCTCGCATCGACCTCGTCGACGGACTCCTCATATCCCCCCCGACGAACCTGCGTCACGATGTCCATTCCAACGCCCTGGCGATGGCGGAGAAGTACGAGCATACACTGCAACTGCGGTTGACGCGTCTCAATCTATTGAACGCAGGCATGAGCATAAAGCCGGATAAGTCCAAGGAAGGAGGTCCCTTTACTCCTGGGGAAGGTGGATACGCGGCGCTCTGAGTGCGGGCCGGAGTGCATTACGGGGTGCATAGCGGGACATGGTGTAGGCGTTTCCCGGCGTTCATGGCAAGACGATCAAGGTAAACACGGGTCTCAATGATCTTCTGTATTCAGCTTTGATAAGCATTCGAAGACTCAATACCCGTCGAAATTCACTCTGCATTAGCACCTTGTTTGCATGTTGATTGCCGTCACTGCATATCGAGATGATCCCTTCCTGCGTTGTCGTCGTGAGAAATGGGAGTGTCAATCCATCTGAAGAAAGCTAATAGTACATAGTCATGGCACGAGTTCTAAGTTGTAAGGGTGAGATTCAAGGCTGCCCACCGCAGTGCAGGTTGACTGGATGCGGTAGGCCGCTACAAAAGGCAGGAGCCACCAGGGCGCACAGCTACAGAAAAACCCTTCTCCTCCCCCACTGACACTTTTACTTCACCACCAACATACTCCCAGGCCCCGACTCTTGTGAGACAGAACCTACACCAGTGGGGACGGATACACTTTCGTCGTCCAGTTTTCGCTTTCACCTTGGCAGAAATGGAAAGCTAGTAAGTGCCTAGATCAGTGTCCGCATACCGCGCCCCCAGGCACCTTCTGCAAGCCTCATTGAATTGACAAGCAGCAGTTGGTCAAATCAGCATTCCCAAGATCTCGGGTACAGAGACGAGTCCTCCTGGAACGACGACCAGATGTCATGCAGAACTCGCGGATTGTTGAGCGGTCCTCTTCCGGCGTCCCGCTTCCATATGCGTGTGTGTGTGGTTCCAACTTGCAGCATCCCGCACTGTACCCCTCACCCCACCAGCATCTGGCCAGCAGTCTAGTCGGCGATGGTTCGATGTGGATGCCCAGGGTTAGCGACCAAGAGTTGGAAGCCGATTTTGCTACTCCCCAGAGAGTGGTTCGATATCAAACACAAGGCCGGATTGCGAAGGGCTTGTGACCCACACACAGTGGCGCTCATGTCTATGGCAATGTGCCCAGGCGTGTTGCGACACCAGAGTCAATAATGGGAGGGCTCCAGAGCATAGGATCTCATGAATCGAACGGTCCACCGGTCACCTTGGCTTGAGAGCGTGACATCGATGCAAGGCTGTCGAACGGAGCTTGCAGTTGTTTCCTACAACAATACCTAATAAACTACGGAGTAGTCTTGACAGATCTACCTACTAGGGCCGCGGGTTCACATGAGGCGATCACCCACAGCATGCCGCGCAGCGCAATTGGGGCTGCCAGCAAAACTGCGATGTACGAAAGCGAGTCAAAGTGTGGAGGGATCGGAGATGGCGAGACCCGTCCTACCAAAGTCGACATGCCTCGTGACTGACAATCGCTGTATTGCGATTATCAGTCCGTTTCCCCGCCGCTGCCATCTCCCATCGGAAGCAAGCCACCAGGTGCGGGTGTGGATTTGTCAAGTCAACCACAAGAACTGGCTCTTGTTGGGCTCCATTCGCTCTACCATAGTAGTCGACGATCTCGACCGCGAGGACGCAGGCATGCCTCAGGCCATGACTATCCACCTGGGCAGGCTTCAAATGATGTGTGATAAGGCAAAGGATGTTTGTTCGTTGCCTGAACTCTTTCTGCGAATCCGTTGCCGTTTTTTCAAGCGAGAGTGGAGTGCTGCGAATGGAGCCGGCGTTTTCGTGTGTGGACACTTCTGGGACGGGTCAAGAGGCTCTTCGCAACAAATGAGGGCGTGAGGAAGATTGACCCTGCATGGCACGTCGCAAAACATGTGTGTTTAAGGAGAACGAGGCGACGCCGCGAGTGCCACGACAGGGCGGAAACGCAGACCCTCGTCGATTTCACTGAAAGCCGGGACTATCGCCAACCCAGAAAGGCATGGTTTCGCATGGTCGTCTCTTATGGCTTGCGGGAAGGATGCATGGGATCTCTGCTGGGACCCGTGGACGGCGCCAAACCCACCTGGCCGGAGTTGAGCTGCTCCCAAAAGGGGCATCGCTCTCTTGCCAGCAATCAATTCCACAACCACCCCACCTCTCCCTCGACGCCCTCAACAAGCCTGCAGCGGTCACGCCGAACAACGGCGGCGGCCTTCTCACCAGCTCTGGCAACCAGTCGACTCAACGGTTGCTCACCCAACTCACGTTCGCAAACGACAGTTTTGGCGAACAGGTTCGTCGAGCCCCTTGCAGGTTCTCGGCCTCCTTCACGCCAGTGGGAGATTGAAAGACTCTTGTCACCCCTCAGGAGTCAGAGTCCCCAAAGTTGGCGCACCCTCGCAACACCACCACTAACATGTCTGGTCGCACCCACCATCCGGGCGGGCTCGTTATTATGCTCCGTAGATTGCAATTCTTTGCATTCCGCAGGTGGTACTCCGTACCTCCTTACGGAGTAGTTCCCACAACCATTCATATGGGACCAACACCGGAGCCGTGCATGGTTTGTGAATGCATCTGCGACGTTTCATTGGCAGATTACCCACCCTGACCCTCCAATATTGGTATCATAGCGAGCGACCACGGCCTGCGGATCACCCGTTACTACGGCATTGGGCACTCCATGCTCACTGCACAACTTGAACCACTGGGTCCATGCTTTCAAGTCTCGTTCCCCTGTTCTGTCACTCTGTGCACTCTTCTCGAAGCGGACCGTCAGTGCCCGCGTCAACACGTCCGAAGAATGCCGGGAATTTTGTGCACCCATATCCATGATGGGTTCCTTGTGAGAATCGAGAATGGATTCTAGTTCCATGGGACTGCGACAAGTTCAAGCAAGGTCAAGCGAGTCCCACATGTTACCATGGTAGCACCAACACGACTGAACCATCTAAGATAATTCCCACGACAACTCTTCCTTTCTGGCCTTCACGGTGAGGAGATGCGTGGCATGCTATGATCCAATGCATCTCATGTTGGCAAAGTTGGTCATGTCTCAAAAGCACTCGCTATCAAATTGTTGGCCGCGCCGTGGCTCGAGGGGCCGGATCGTCTCAGTGGGATGTGGTGTGTGGTGCTAAGGGCGGGCTCACATTCACCCGATGCTTACCGTTAAGATTAACCCGATCAGCAACCCATCCGACAGCAAATTATGGCCGGCGACTTCCCTTAATAGAAACATTTTGATGGCTCAATTCACCAATGAAAACCCACAGCATGGACAACATCAAGTCAAGACGAGACGAGGCCTGCACGCCCCATGGAGTTCCGGTGAAGACATCAGGAGTCGGGGATCGAGACGCGAAAGCCGGGCGCGACCAGGCTCAACGAAATCCGTGACGACTGGGACCCTCTCTATGGCAAAGGAGGATGCTGGCGACCAACAACTGTTTTGGCAATACCTTATTGGCGATGTGGCCGTGCAAAAGCCCCTCGTCCCGTCTACCACAATCATTGTGCACATGACGCCGATTTTGGAGACCCCATCGATCGCTGATTCGCCAAACCCTGCCTCTATATATAGAGCCGTACCGCTCTGTGGCGGTGCCACAGCCACATATCCTCGTATCTTGAAGGAACATGCCTAATCTTCCACCTTCTGTCTGGAGACAAGCTCCTGCTTGTTGAACATAATATTAGAAGCCTTCAAGGAAGCAATCATAGGCGGGGTGGCATCTCATGACGTATGGGAATCGAATGGATGGAGAGACTGACTTTCAACGCCACGCCCCGTTGTCTCTCTTGTACGAGATCCTGGGGTAAAAATAGATGCCATTCGCATTCCGGCTTCAGCAGTAGTACTGTGTATGGCGGTTATTCGATCCGCCAGCAGGATGGTGGTGGTGAATCGCAACAATGGCAGAGTCGTTACTCCCGTACCCGTCTCTCCATGTTTTCATAGTCGCCGGGTCGATGCTTTCTCTTGGCCGGCACCGCAACCCCAAAAATAGCAAGTTGAGGTCGTAGGGTAGGACATGTGCCTGGCCGGTCCGGAAGGACAATGATGCCACAGCAGATGGTGCGACTGCGATGCATGGCGATGTATACTCGATACAGGTACGACGAGGAGCGCGTGGACTGTTACAAGACGTGCACTGTAGGAATTGGCACGCAAACCATTACCGTGAGAGTCTGACCCGGTGCGTGAGCATGGCAGGAGGTGTTACATTGTATACCTTGGAGGAGAGAGCGGGTGATACAGTACCAATGGCGATATCCATGCATGGAGGAAGCAGGGCCAGTTACACGGCCGAATGCAAGTCCAGGACTGAAGGAGGAGGAAGCACAGCGACGACAGGCTGTGGCAGTCTATCTTGCGAACCGTTTTGGGGTGAAGCACGCCTCTCGTCAACCTTATCCATTGCGGCGGGCCCTGAGGGGGGCAAGGACCACGAGGGTCAGGCAAGCTGCTTCTACGGTTCTGTAATGCTTACCCGGGCCCGGCAGAACCCACGGCCTACTAGGCAGCGTGGGAGTAACGGGACGAAAAGGCTCCAGGATGACGGCCGACGAGCAAGAGTTGCAAGGCATGGGTTCGGACGGCCAATTTACTTGTACACCATTGGATCCCAACCATGGACGCTAGGGCCGGGCAGCTTTGCGAACCACCATATCGGCTATACCCTACTCCGTACTTACTCGGTGGATTACAGACGAGCAGGAGATGGGGCCATTTTCCTGCTCCCCACGCTGGATTCATGATGATGAAACGGACTCGGTGGTCTGCAAATCTGAAGTCTGACGGTCGGACAAGGAGGGGACTACCGGAGACTACTTCGGTATCGTTGTCTCGACTTGATTATCACATTGTTGATGGATGGAAACGACAGGCTCGCGACTCCGACTGCCGAGCTTTCCTTTGCAAGTGTGGCATGATGCAGACGGGGCATGTGGACGAGGCTGGCGATGGTGACCTTTGTGGGTGTGAAGCCTCGCAGGCTCCACGGTGGTCCAGCCTTACCGGTATCAAATGATGGCAGCGGTGAGGCCGCACCACGTGATGCAGTGGGGAATTGCAATGCACCCGACCTCAAGCCTCACGATAGTGGAATTTACTTACTCGGTGCCCAAACGAGGGTTTGGCGATTGGACGGCAGTCATACTACTCGGGACTACAGTAGGACTCTTTTTTAAGCGACGAGGAGAAAAGAAAAGAGACGGGGGATGAAGAGAAAAAGGCTAGCAGGGAGCACCGGTGTGGCAGGATGGCTGTCCCAGGGTCCGAACAAGTCGCGGTGTGGGTGAGGGCTGCTCCGTAACTGGTACTGTGGTCAGAAGCTTGATCGGTCCGTCGTGGTGGTGGTGGTGGTGGCTAGGGTGTGGCTGGTGGCATCGTCTCGTATCGACGGCGACTCTGGATTGGGCAAATGGTGGTATTCTTAGGACACGGCAAAGCCGCTAACCACCAATCCCGCCAAATGGAAAACACCGCTAGTTAATCGACGACTAGGAGGAGAATGTCTAAGTACTTGCACCGCCACACACACCAGCAGCCACGCCGACCCTCACCAGCCCTCTCATCGCCCCATGTCTCCACATTCCCCCCTCCGTTAGCACCAGCCCAGCCCAACCAGCGCTTGACACCACCACGACTGTTGTCCTCTGTGTCTCTCTGTCTCTCTCAATCTCTTCATTACTCTCCATCTCCCCACGGCAAATGACGGATCCGACGCCTCCTGTCTGGCATACAATGACGGCGCCAGGGATCCCCAGGACACGCAAACACGCAAAAAATCACAATGCTCGCCGAAGCGGTGTCGCGGGTTGCACCATGGTCTGCATCGTCTGCACCTCTCTCCCAGCGGCAACCACCGTCCCGCTTGTCTTCGCCCGATTGGGACGGGAGCCTCTCCCCACGCCGGGTCCTGGAATGCTCACTGGCTCCTCGCGCCTGGTCGTCGTCGCTTCGGGCAAGCTGGCTTGCAGACGTGTTGCTCGCTGAGGCCGCGCCGCAGCAGCCATGTGCAGGGGAGGCTTGCACCTCACCGCACCCTCCCGGGAGTCCTGGCCGCCCATCTTACCGTCGAGCGGTCGGGGCGCGCGATCGAGGCGGAGGCCATCTGGAGCCCAGCACAGAGGCCCCCGACGACACTCCCCACCCCGTCTTGCTTTTATTTTCCTAGCGTCATTGCACCAGTCTGCCACTCACGCTGCCACGGCATGCTCTGGCCAAGCGCCTCACGCATCAGGGCCAGCAGCCAGCAAACTCACCCCAAGGGTCAAAGGGCCCTGGCGCAAAAGTGGCTTTTGCTCTCCCACTACTTTTACTGGGGGCCATGGCCGCATCCTAGGGCGGCCTTTGGACAATACATATATCCAACTTCGCCCCCCTTCGACATCGTGAAGCAGTCCAGGCCTTTTGATCAGCAACCCTTCTCCAGGCAAGACGCCCTCCTTCGACACGGTTGCCCAGCTCCAGACCAGAACCCATACGGAGCAGCATCCTTCCCCCCCATCATCGCCCGTGTGCGACTAACCCCAACCACGCCCGCCCTGTCTCCCTTCGCTACCGGACTGCCGGCCTTCCGTGTCCATCGCCATTTCGAGGAGCTCGCATGTGCCATCAAGAAGAGAGATTTCACGCCTCATAGATACCCAGAACGGAGAAGATAGAACACTGACCAGTTGTCCCATTTCACCTCGCCGACCCGTGTCACGGTTCCACGTTCCGAGCGCCCACGGGATAATCCTTCAATTCCATGTAAGCTCCCGCCTGGCAGATTCGACATTTCCTTCCTGCTCTACAAGGTCCCTCAACCCCATAACAAGCAACCGCCCTCTCTTGGCCTGCCATCGGTGACTGTTTATGCTGACTGCAAGTCTCTAAAGTCCCGCCCGACCTGACTCCATCGTCTCTGCTTTCGCCTACCCTTTCGCGGTTGACTTCCCTCCACCATGGTCGACTATCACCCCTATTCTGGAAACATGCCTCACGACTTCGACCTCTACGCGCCTCAGGAGCAATACGAGTTTGTTCCCACAAGTCAGGCTTTTCTGCCTTCCAACTATAGTATGGATCCCTCCTTCAGCACTCCCTATGAGCCCGTCGACATGGCACCGATGCCCGAACCCTTGACATCGCAAGAACTGCAACAGCATTACGACGCCATTGCCCAGGGTGTCAAGCCGGCCTATCAATACACTCCCCAGGCGTCACCAAGCACGCCGTCGCAGACCTTTGAACAGCCTCCAGTCCTCTCCACCTCGTCTGAATCCGGTGCATCCGTCTCTTCCTCCAACATGCCCTCGCCCTCTCTGAACCCTCAGTACACCGAGCCATGGAATCCCATGGCCAACGGCTTAGGCCTCCCCATTCTTCAGAGCACGCCCGGCTTCGAGTATGAAGGGCTTGTCGCCGAAAAGGTCACTGGCTGTGTTGGTGAGTCACCCGGAATCTCCTCACAACTCTCATCCTCTCCCATTCCTTCTTCCTCCTCGAGAGGTTCCATTCAACCATCGCCGCAGCGCGAGGCGCAACAAAGCAATGTATTTAAGCCACCTATCACGCCTGCGTCATCGACGTGGACCAAACATCGGTCAGCAGGGAGGCGCAATTCCATCTTATCGCAGGAGGTGCTTCCCGGGGACATCATTGAGCAGCCGTCTCCAGCTTCTTATTCTACGAATTCCGTCTCTTCCTCTCCTAGCTTTTCGAGTAGTCATCTCTCATCTTGTCGGTTCCCTACCCTGCATGCTCTTCTTCATACAAGTCCTCCTGCTCGAGGGGCATCGACTAACGACACTTTCCAAAACAGATCCCAACCTCGTGCAGCCCTTCATGCAGTTCCCTCAGTCACCATATCCCGAATTCCGCACGACCCCTTCACCCTACTTCCCGATCGAGCATCCCCCCTCGCCTGCACTGTCCCACGTTTCGTCGCAGAGCCAACGGCCCGGATCTAGGCAGTTCAAGAGGGGTTCCCAGTCCCCCTATCTCCACACCCAACAGTTCCAACCATACCCACTTGGCCAGCGGCGGAGATCGGATGCTTCCCTCCACTCTCAACAATCGGGCGCTAGCCGCAAGAGCGGCAGCCACGGGATTGACGACGAGACTCGCGAGAAGGGACTCTGCCCTCTTCCAGAGTGTGGGCGCGTCTTCAAAGACCTGCGCGCGCATATGCTCACCCATCAGAATGAGCGACCGGAGAAGTGCCCAATCGCTACCTGCGAATACCACGTCAAGGGTTTTGCGAGGAAATACGATAAGAACCGCCACACCCTGACACACTACAAGGGAACCATGGTCTGCGGCTTCTGTCCTGGATCCGGCTCGGCGGCGGAGAAGTCGTTCAACCGAGCCGACGTGTTCAAGCGACATCTCACGTCGGTGCACGGCGTCGAGCAAAACCCGCCCAACAGCCGGAAGAAGTCGCCGAGCGGAAAGAAGGCCCACGCCGGCCAGCAGAATATGACGGGTACTTGCTCAACCTGCTCGGTGACCTTTGCCAATGCGCAAGAGTTCTACGAGCATCTGGATGACTGCGTCCTCCGCGTCGTGCAGCAGGCCGATCCCAGCGAGGCCATTAACCAAAGACTGCTCACTTCCGTCGCCGAGGACAAGGAGGTTGCCAACACCTTGGACAGGAATGGCTTGTCCAACAGCGTCGAGTACACAGTGCCCAACTACGGCGAGGACGAGGACGAGGACGAGGAGGACGAGGAGGTTGATGCCGACGACCACAACGACGACACGTACGGTGTTCGTCGATCCCGCTCAGGCAAGGGATCCCTCAAATCCACCAAGAACCATTGACAATCAGCACACTCCCGGGGTGTCGCATCGCACGCCGGGAGTGGCAACACATCCAAAGTGACGAAGACCTCTGGTGGGAGGGGTCTTCGGGCCGGGCTGACCTTTTCCAAGGGCGGCGTGGCGATTACCGGGTCGGGGCGCAAGAGGCGCAAGAACTACCCCGTCTCGTGGGGCTGCCCGACGGACCGGATGAAGATGAAGAAGCGGGTGCTCTGCGTCTTTGACGGGCCGCGACGCCTGTGGAAGGACGACATGATGCTCGACCAGGAGTTTGAGGTGCGCATGAAGCTGCCCGACGGCAAGTCGTACGTGACGGACCTGGATGTGCAGACGCTCAAGCGGGCCGAGGCCATCCATGGCGCGACGCCCGAGGAGCGCGGCCCTTATGTACCGGACTATGGCGTCGACGCCGTGGGAGAGAACGAGGCGGACGACTTCGTGTCGGGAAGTGTTTGATACCCCCCCAAGACCTGGCTACCAGCTTGGCTGGCACGCACATTGAGACGCCGCAACGACCTTATTGTTGTACTTTTACCTCTTCACGGATACGCCTGTTTGCCTCGCATCCTTCTTCATCTTTGACTTGGCTCTTCTTTTCTTCTTCGTTGGCGTTTTCTCTTCTTTTCCTTTTCTTTTCCTTTAGTTACGTTTGTTGATACCATTTTCATTCCTTTTTGGAGGATACTTATTCTTCGCTGTTCTGGCCATCCAGGGGAGGCGTCGACGACTCGTCATGACTTGCTCTTCTTCTTCCTCTTCTTCCTCTTCCCCCTCGCCTCGGACAAAGGGACAAGAGGGATCATTGATTCTTTTCTTGGGAGGGAAAACAAAAATCTGTGGGGTGGGTTTCTTTGGGATATGGGAATAATGTGTATGACATGGGGACTTGAATTTTAGAAAGGGCTGGACCGGCAAGGGGAGGGGAGGGATATGCATGTTTTTCGTGCTGGCGCGCGCGCTCTGGGGGAGGGTTCGTGGTGGTTTGGGAGGGCCTTCCTCATGAGCGTAGTCATTCGTAGCGGGTAGCGTTCTGGACAACTGAGTTGTTTTTCCGTCGCTTCATGATCATCATCCTCGTCTTCTTCGTCGTCGTTGATGTCGTCGTCGTCGTCGTCATTGATGTCGTTGTCTTCGTCGTCATTCTTTGGCCCATCGGGTGAGTCGTCGTGATGGTCTAATATCTTGACTTGGGCATGTTATTGGAAGGGAGTTTTTGAACGGGAACTGGCGTGCTCCCTGGTTTTGGAAGTGTCGGCGGGGGAGCAGGAGGAGGGGGGACAGAGAGTGGAGGGAACTTCTTATATGTTTTCCACTACTCCGTACGCCCCATTCTCATGCTCAAAACGTGGAAATGAGGGACTTTTTATCCAAAGCTTGGAGTTTATTTCGCTTTGGGTGCTTTTTGCTGCTGCGCCTGCGAGGCGTGGCGAGGCAAGGCAGACTTGGACTTTCACTGCGCTGCGCTGCGCAGCACTGCACAGCACGGGACAGGATAGGAACAGGATAGGCAAGAAAGGAACAAAGAAAGCGATTCTTTGCATCCATTCCGTCATCTATTCATTCATTCATCCATCCATCCATCCATCCATCCATTGCCCCGTCCTCTCCTCGCAGGTAGACCAACCAACTAGGTAACCTGTACCCACAGCCTCAAATTCCCTTCACAGCCAACGCAAGAATTGACTCGTCATCGTCATCCACCTACACCCATGATGTCGTTCTTCCGCTCAACGCTGTTGGGTTCGGGATATACAGCAATGGGAAGTCTGCAGGGGTGGAAGCACTGATTGGCCCTCGTTGCACGAAATGGTTCTTGGCGGGGAGGGGGGCTGGGGGCTGTACGGTTCTTTTATTGGGTAGGGTACTAGGGACGGGTACTGAGGGGGGTTGGAATTGATTGGGTGAGAGTGACTGATATCGAAAACGAGAGGGAGGAGGGAGAGGAGAGGGACAGGGAGGGAGAGGAAGCGGAGAGTAAGTGCACCGCCGGACTGTAGATGTGCGGCACAGTTCTCCATCCTTCTCGTCTCGCCGGTTGAGCCGAGTGCGGTGAGTCGAGTTGAGTTGAGGCGGTGAGTTGAGAGCGCTGTGCGGTGTGCGGTGTGCCTCATATGAGCGGGTTTCCAGGACAGACAAACAAATCTTGAGAACGGTGGTGGTGGTATTGGTGTGGTATTGTCGAGTGCGGTGCGGTATTCTCGAGTGCGGTGTGGTGCGGTACGGTGAGGGTGCGGTGCGGCTTCGACGTGCGCGGGTATACTGTGTATATAGATCTGTTCTACATGTACCATCTTCTCTGTATTTGCACAGGTTCGGTGGATCCGGGCAGGGGAATCGTTGCTGGATGAGTATGTAGTACCTTAATTGAATAAAAGGCATGGGAGGGACGACAGGGAAGTGGAAGTAGAAGTGGGCGAGGTGCGTTTTAGTTAGCTCGTTGAATTGGGTGGGTGGAGGTGTTTTTCTGCTGTAGAAGGGTTTTCTCTCCAGTAGACGGTATTTTCTATAACTGTACATGGCTTGTAGCTTGTAGCACATACTAGACGCACATAGGTAGAAAATCATGCGCGTTTGTCCCTGCGTTAATCTTTAGCCCTATCCTTAATTTTTCCACTCATCTTCCTCACCTATACTACATTCCTAGAGAAGAATTCCCGTCCGCAATGTAAGCCCAATCGTACGAAGCATAACAACCCTCTTATTCTTTTCTTAATAATTCCTGCTATAACCTATTATACCTATAGCCTATAGGGCTCTTGTAACTAGGATAGCCATGTTATAGTCTGTAGACTCAATACACTTATTGATATTAAAAAAAAAAAGAAAAAAAAGGGGTTTTTCTAGCGACTGTGCGCGTAGAATAACCGAAGTGAAGGAACTAGAAACCAATATTAGTCAACTACTGTCTAGTGCTCACTTATGTGTTAACGTATGTAAATTACACATATCCTGCTGCGTTAAGCTTATTCAGATCTTTTACTTACCCAATCCAAAAGTCGCTTCGGCTGAAAGTACTAACCAGGATGGCAATCTTGCATGAATCCGCATCTATTAGAAGCTGCGGAACTCTTGATTGCGTCCTGCTATTGCAATAGGATACTGATGCTCAAGCGCTATTGATTATATATTTGGAACTAGATAGAGCTTATAATAAGTCTTATAATATAAGGTTTCTTGTCTACAGCATAAAATGAGTCTTTGTACAAGATGGACAAGAACTCTATATAGTGTACATATTTTTTGGATAAAACGACTTCAAAGTATGTAGAAATAGTTAGAACACAGAACATAAGAGTATTAGCGTAGTATTAAGATATGTGGATGGAGATTGAAGTACTTGAAGATAGGTACCTCATTTATTTCTCGGCAAGCAGTGTTTTTCTACCAACAGTGAGGGACGTTACATAGACAAGTTCTGTAGAACAATT